ATAATTATTGAAGTGAAGTTTGGATTCATGTAATTCATCATCGACATGGTCACGTGACGTGTTAACGCTAACACTCCAGAGTGCCGATAGATGTCAAAACCAGATAAATGTGAACAGTTTTAATTTACAAATTTTAATTTAAGATCAAACAATTAATTTGAATATCCAAAAATAACAACTGTTTGTTTATAGTTTTAAGTTTTCACTTCCGTCGGCAGTCCTCATGACTGCATTTTATAATATATTTTAATATAATTTTCAAGACTTTTTAGTTGATGTTAATGTCGCCATTTTCAATGATTATATCAATTTATGTAATCACCGTCACGTAACATCGAGAGTTACAATTAAACTGAACTGACACATCATAATTTTAAGTAATTTATCAAAAAATAAATACTTTAACATAATACACTTATTTAAGATCTTTGCATCGATTAAGTGAATTTTTACCAATTATAAACAAAAAGTCGATGTTCACAGCTTTCCTTTAATCATATACATAATAATATACCGTGATTATGTAGACACTACATACCTGGCACATTTTTATTTGTCAATTCTTTTAAGGCAGATAATAACAAATAAATAATAAGTCAGACAGTGTACTTACCATTTATTGTAAAATAATACTTTCTTAGATTTACGCGAATATGTATTTGGCGTTTTAATAAAAAAAATCTATCTTACTGAATGTTTACGCGGATTTATTTTGATTTTTGATACAACCTACGAACAAAAAAATCTTAGTAGAATATATAAAACTAAATTTCGATTCAAGATCGAATTCTTAATTAAACTAGCAATAAGTAGGTCGAGCCTATTAAGTTTATTGAACCAGATGTATGTCTAGTAACAAACTGACACATCGATAGTCGGCTAATCGATTTAAAAGTAACAACATCGATTTCGTCTTAAATGCCATTACAATCGATTATATCTCGAGATAAAATCCCTTAGCTTTCAATGAATTATGGGACATCGATATAAAATCAGCTGTCAACTGTCAAAGCTCGTCATAAAATAACCGGACTGTTAGAACCAGTATATGTGCATTTGATGTATGTTGGCTAACAAGTGAAGAAATGACAGAAAAAAAAACAAATGTATATCTTACACAGACTAAAGATAGAGAGAGTGTGTAAATGATAGAGAGATTGAAGCCTAAAATGATATAGTAAATAGCGCATTTATAATATGATTACTACCGCTGTGGCGGTGCTTTATTCACTTATAAATAAAAAAAATTATTAGGAACTATTAAGTTACTTGAGACATCGGCAATTTGTATATTTTTTTATACCAATACGAAGAGACAAATCGCAATCAAAATCTAATTTACAATAAACGGGGTCAAGTATGATGATATGAGTGCCTAATAAAAGAAACAATAAAGTAGTTATCCAAAATATCAAGGTCATGTTAAAATATGGTAGGTCAAAATATCAATGTTTGTCCCACATTAAAAAAACTCTATACAATGGTAAAATATTTATACATCCATAGGTAGTAACTAAAAAAGTGTGTGTGTGTACATATGTACGCACGTAAGAAGTTATACCTCTTTGGCGTAACAGAACAAAAATAGCTAAAGATTTGATCCCGTATGTCACACCTCTCTGTTTGTAAAAGCAGAAGGTAAATTCATCATGTCACTTTTTGGCTGTCGGTGTGCGCGTGCATCACAAAAATTTTACTCTCATAATTTTTTTTTAAAGTTTGACTCAAGATTGGAATAGTAACTTTTGTTGTAAATTCACGTCCTAGGTAGGCTAGTAGGAAAAGTTTCAATTTTGAGTTATTTAGTAGGTACAATAAAATATCTACAGCCATCGATCCATTCGACTGTTAATTTACATAATGATTCAAAAATACTTAGTTTATGACAAAAAAAACGTATACTAATAACAGGAAAACAAATACAGTTATTCAAAAGAAGAGTTAAAAAAACATTTTAAGTACATACAAACTCGTATGCACTTTAACCATTAAAACTCAGCTTACAAATAGCGTAACTTGATAGAGGAATCGAATCCGCGATATGCAAATGCGCGTCCGATCGTGACGCACGACGTCCGGACACTTGCCGAGATCATGATGATAGACAGGTTTTATCACAATACACGGTGACATTCAGCTGAAGAAATGTTTTATATGGTTAACCGACTTTGTGGAAAGTGAGTTCTTTTATTGTTTATCCTATTAACTATTATTTATCTAAACATAACGTAGTATTCATATTAGCTATAATCTACATATCGACACCCACAAAGAATAATATAGTAACTGCACATAATAACTGTACATATTATAAACTAGCGACTCACGTTCGTCACTTGATGATTCATTAAATTGACATGACTTTCATATTTATAAACCGATTCAAACAAATACTAAATATTAAGTGAAGCTTATCATAATTAGTGAAAACCGCACCCAAATCGGTTAAGCCGTTTCTGACCGGTTAGCGTGCACAAACGCACATACAGACAAAAATTCTTTAAAATCATTGTTTAAGGTTCTATTAAGTTAATAAAGACCCACAGACATCCATACATCCTCACAAAATTTCGCATTCATAATATTAGTAGGCTAAGTATCCGGAATAGGCTAATAAAATTCTCCAAAAGGTGACGCATTCGCAACTCCTCTTAAATTTATGTACAATCAGGTGGATCGTTTGCCCCTTTTACTATAAAAAAAAAAGAAAAAAAAAGGTGACACTGGCTGTAAGTATTCATACATACAAAATGCATCTAGCGAGGGTAAGTCCCTACTCTATGGTATGGTAAGGTAATATGTAAAACTTTAGAAGAAAAAAATTATTTGCATTTATTTCTTTAGTTTCTATTTCTAGAATTATCATTTGTGATGTGACTAACAAACACTCAGCATCATAATGTATAGCATTTGTACAATTCTGTTCACTTCTAGTACATCTGGATATATCTAGCCTGCCATGAATTCTTTAACAATACAAATAGGCACGTATAACAAAATAACATAGTATTAAACGTATATAAATTAGGTACAAAGTGGGAACATTTACACAATCTGTTTGGCTCGAGTGTATCGGAGATCGATACTGGCATTAAAAGCCATTACTATCGGTTTACGCGATCAATTCGCTGTACTTTAAAATTGCATGAGCATTTAGTGCTACTTTACAGGAATCTTACTGGCTGAACGGATCTGGATGAAATTTAGCACAGACATAGATTATAGTCTGGAAAAGCACATAGGCTACTTTTCATTCCGGAAAAATGTACGGTTCCCGTGGGACAGATTTGTTAGTTTTCCACAGGTCACGAATCCGAGCCAAGCGACAGTGAGCCGCTAGTCTGATATAAATGCTACTTCTTGATATAACTACAATTACTCTTGATCAATCACGATATTAAAGATAATAAAGTGGTTAAATAAATAAAGAATTAGACATTTGAATAATCGATGTACAAAAAGAAAGCAATAAATCTAAAATTAATTAATTTATTAAAAAAGACCTTAAAACTTCAAAACTCCTGACGCCTGAATTTATGACATCAAATTAAAAAAAAAAAATAAGAAAAAAAATGATATAAATAAAGCATAAATCTCATGGCGGACTTTTATTACAGTTTAACAGTTTTGCATAAATAATTCATACCACTTTAAATGTTTCAAATAATACTCCCTCATTACTAGCATTATGCAAATAAAGCTAATCTAAAAACGTTTTATCGCATTTAAAATAATTAAATTTAAAACTTTAACATGTTTTCGAAATCACAGGTAATGGTATCAGATATGGTATTCTAGGTGATCGGTCTCCCGCGTCACAGCACAGATCTATATCGCGTCGATTGTGACTGCCTCGATGCACGACTATTTTAATTGGGCCCCGATCTCCGATCTGATAAATAAAGGACAAGATGGCGGCCTTGTTTTTTTTTATGGACATGTAGGCACGTGTTCGATGTTTGTCCGACTTATAGAATTTTGAACGGCCGTTTAATGGTGCTTGTAAACGCATTAGACGCTTGATGTGTAGATTTGAAATGGGTTACATTAACAAGTTTTTTAATCTTTTTTAATATTTTCTTTTCTTATACATATTAGGTTTGTGTGTGTTTTTAAATATTTGATAGACAAATGAGAAAATTTTAGTCATCATAACATGTTTTAACGTTTCCATGTACGTAAGTTAATTTTATCATAACACCAATTTCTGTTTATAGTTATTATGTATTTTAACATTGAAATGTTAAATGAAACAGCTTACTTCTAGTCATTGTTAATAGCAATGCAAGTACTAAGAGATTTGAAGCAATATAATTGCGAGCCGCATGCTGGCCTCTCATATAAAAGCCCTTTTAACCACATTATTTGACGTGTCTATAAAGACAAAAGGACACTGATGAATATCATTTAACGAATCGACATTTGGTTTCGCGAAAGTTGTTTAAACGACACCAAGTCACGCCATCTATCTGATTGAACATTCAACCTTTTTCAACAATCACAACTTATAACTTACTTAAGGAAAAACGGGAGCTCGAACGCAACTAACGAACTGCGATAACTGGCGTTCGGTATGACGCCGACATTAAGCTGCCAGATAAATCGAGTTCGACTGAACCAATCGCGCGTTACCGCGGAATCGTAGCAGCCAATCGAAATGCGCTGTGACTAGGATAGCGTGACCCAAACGCAATCCGATTCGAATTGCATTCGTTACCGCCAGATGGCGGTGCGCGAGCGCCAATCGTCGCGTCCATCTCGCTGTCGTGCCCATATAATGATCTTCACAGGGGCAGGAGAATGAAGTTGAGCCTCTCATTAATTGGCGTTTTGAGCTGAGATCGCTGCGCGAAAGATAGGTTAATTCCTCGCCCGTTCGAGATCGTTGTCGCTCAAAAAGGAAGGTGAGCGAGCGTTTTCTGGAAATCAGATCCAATTACAACGAGGCCCGTTAACTTTTTGTTCTGTTTGCTCGATGGTCGAAAGCATACTCACGCGCAATGTTGACAGACGAGGGTCATGCAACCGGTTCGTACTGACGAATTGTTTTATTTCCTCGATACATGAAAATGTTAGTAGAACATTGGCATTACTACTCGCATAACTCAAAACCCTATACCCCACCCACGCGGGGACATTTACATACCGCGAGCACGTCTCAATTAGGAGCGCTAATGTATGCCTCGACCGAAGCCCTGATCTGTCTGACGTCGACAGATAGCGAGTGAAACGTGACGAGTGACGACTATCGCGAGAAAACCACTGCCAACTTAACATCGCCGCACTATTAACAACACTAATAGCAACTGATATTGTCGATTTCTTTTAATTTATATAAGTCTTTTAGAATTCCATTTATATGTTGATAAAGAAAGTATGCATATTAATGAATTTAAATTTGTTTTACAGGTGAGGACGAGGAATGGGGAAACGAGAGCGAGGCGATGCCAGGAGAACCTCGTACGCCAAGCTCTGGCGGGGAGCGACCAGCCTCTAGCGGTGGCGCATCGCCTACTTCGGAAGGTTCCGCTGCTGCTTCTCCACCACGCCTTCGTCTTAATGCTAGTCTAGCCACAGACCCGGCTCTTGCACCTCAAGCTACATCTCTAAAGCATGAACCGCCATCACCATCACCCCCGCCGCCGCCAGCTAGAGATTATGGTTTGGCACTTACAGCAGCGAACTTCTCAGTGCTATTTCCAGCAGCGGCCGCAACTCCACCTGGTTACATGTGTAAACCATGTGGCATTCGATATTCTTCGCTAAGCACTCTACAGGCACATCAAGAACATTACTGTTCAAAACGCAGAACTAAGCCTGATGGAACAGAAGCACCTGCAGAAGCGGCAGCAGATGAATCAAGCGGTGATTCTAAAACACCTCGGCCACCAGGCAAGCAATATGCTTGCACTTATTGCTCATACAGCGCCGACAAGAAAGTTAGTTTGAATCGGCATATGCGAATGCATTCTTCATCACCTGTTAGTAGTGGTACGCCTGTACCAACACCCACTTCTAACGGTGAAGCTGTAGAGGGACCACCAGCCCAAGATCGTTATTGTGTAGATTGTGATATCCATTTCACTTCGGTCAAAACATATCGAGCTCATAAAGCACATTACTGTAATACCAGACAAGTTGTCAAGCAAGTTTTAGCTGCAGCTAGAACGGGATCTGCTACTTCAGGATCTGCTCCACCATCTCCAGGGGCAACTCCTCCTGCCCAAAGTCAATATGCATTAGCTTTACCAACGAATCCAATTCTAATAGTTCCATATTCAATATTACAAAGCGCTAGTAGACTTCCAGGCGCCACATTGCCAGATCCAGATACACCATGCTTTTTATTACCAAATGGAACTCTACAACCCATTAGCCGGGCTTTACCAAATATAAATTCAGAGTTAAAAGAACCTGAAGTTTTAAAATCCGCAAATAGACCACGTGAACCATCACGGGATGGAGCCACACCTTTAGATCTGAGCGTCCGTCGTACCCCAGAATCTGTAATAACTGATGAACACGAAAAAGAAAATAGAATGCGTTCTACTACGCCAGAGCAAATAGTTTGCGCCCCCTCATTACCTGGATCTCCTGGAACACCATCTCCTTCAAGAAGATCATCTTCACCCAGTGGGGAAAGTTCTCCAAAGCGACGCCGTCGTAATTCAAGAGGGCCGACACCTAAACCACCTTGTGTACCTTCACCGCCTGAAGAAAAATTTACACCAGTACCCTCTCCAATTATGCCACCCGCCCTAGCGTTACGACTAGCGACTGAATTACCTGTAACAACAGCGTCCCCTCAAGTATTGGTCAAACAAGGCGTATCAAAATGTATAGAATGCAATATTGTTTTTTGCAAATTTGAAAACTATCGTATTCACAAACGATATTATTGTTCAGCTGGGGGAGGAGAAGAGAGAACCAGCCCAGCACCTCCGGAACCTGGTCCACCTCCACAATACAGACAACTAATTTGCTTGGCATGTGGTATACACTTTAGTTCATTAGACAATTTGACAACACATCAATTATATTACTGTACAAAAAGAGAGACCAGATCGCCACGTAGTTTACCGGAAGCTCCGAGGCCTTCGTCGGGATCTGATGGTGGATGGAAATGTCCATGTTGTGACGTAGTGTCACCGACGGCTGCGGCAGCGCAGCGACACATGGAGTCTCACGCTGGAGTCAAAGCGTTTCGCTGCACGATCTGCAGATACAGAGGAAACACGCTAAGAGGCATGCGAACTCACATACGTATGCATTTTCGCGAAAAACCAGCTGATCTTCAGGTTGGTATTTATTAAATCATTTTTTTATTTTAATTGCAATGATAGGTAAATAGATTCTATCTAAAGGTATTAATTAAATTTTACATTAATTTCTTAAATGAAAAAGCGATGTCTTAGGATTACTCTAGAAGGAAAATAGCGTTAAGTTATGCACGCATAAGTGTATTAGAACACTATTTAAAATCATTCACAGAAGAACATATTATGTACATCTTCTTCTTCTTCTTCTCCCTGCCCATTTCCCAAATCACTTGGGGTCGGCGCAGTACATCTTCAGTGAACTGCTGATAGGATTTGGCAAAAGTTTTACGACTGACTGACGTCAACCCTCCTTGGGAATGCTATTGTCTTTCTTTGTTTGAATGGTATTAAATATTATGCACTTTCGATTTTGTTGTGTTTTAAAACATTTTTTATACTATTAATTCAATTATTAATGTTATTTTTGGATATATTTTAAAATAAATTTCGATTACACAATAAATTTTGTATTGACGTTGTCAAATTTTTTCTTTTTTTTTTATAACATATTATGTACATGTATTTAATATTACTATTAGCATAATGTATTATATTTACAAAATGGCAAGTAAACTATTTATCTCGCTAATTTCATAAGAAGTAATATCTGTTCTATACTCGTATTTCAGTTAAAAACTATGGCGAATTCTAATTAACTTATCTTTTTTCATTCATTCCAGGAGGAGAGCTATATCTCATGCGTGCTCGAAGAAGATAATCGCGAGACCACTTCACCCAGCCCAGCGGTGGGAGACCGGGTCCACAGGTGTGGGTCGTGCGCTTATACCTCCACGTACCGCGGTAATGTAGTGCGACACGCGCGTCTTGTCCACGCCACAGAGGACCCCGAGCCCGAAGAACAGACGTCCCCAATACCTCCTGTCGATATTAAAAAAGAACCAGAGACTGAAGAGGACACGCCTAATTTCTGCAAGTCCTGCAATATACCGTTCAAATACGTAAACACGTATAAGGCTCACAAACAGTTTTACTGTACTGCAAACCAAGATACGGCCGCCAACAATAACGTACCAGCAAGGGTCAACGACGCTCCTGTTGTATAAAATCTTTTTGAAGTATTCAGCGGCCTTCTAGTAATTCAGTACCATGATATTTTGGAACTATTATAAAATGTAATTAACGTTTTATCCAACCTGCCTTCTATGTATCTACATAACTTATATAAATATAAACAGTTACATTAAGGCTGCTGTACTCTCAATCTTTAGCTTATTTTGCTTACGGACGTTATTAATAAAATAAGTGTATCTACTCGTTTTCTGAATTATACAAGTTATGTGCAATAATTAAAAATTAAAAATCTAATTCGATTTAAGACACTCGTACTGCGTATCGAAGCCAAATTGACGTTTGACATTTAATACGTTCAATGAGTGAATGAATGAAATCTCGGCTATTGTATATAAGCCATAGACGTGGCTAGGATTATTTCCACCTTGAAATTGTAATGATTTTTTAATATTAAAATCAAATTTAAAATAGTTAAAACGGGTTCATCTAAAAGAATACACTGAAATATTATTTTTATGACTAATACCGACGAGTCAAAAGAACCGTTCATTCATTCTACACATTACAATTTGAATTTCTTCTAGCAACGCCTATGATTAAAGCCCTAATTAAGGTTTTGTTATATATTGTTATGTAAAAAAGTTAACCTCCTTCGTCATTGTATTAGTATACGTTAAAATACCAAATTGTAAATATATGTAAAGATATTATCGCGAACTAACTAAATTTTATTACCATTTGTTCTAAGTGATTGTTCTTTCTTTGTTGTTAATTTTGTTTATTATTGATAATTACTAGTAGATGAAGTTTATCATATCTTGCTAAGCAAATGAATGCTCATTCCATTTTTAACCAGTGGTCGACGCATCTATCTCTAAATATTAATTGGCGCTACATTTTCATTGAGAATTATATAAAAAGCATCAATTCAATTTTGTTTTTCGTTTGCTCTAATGTAGGTCTTTTTTAGTTTGGTTCAATAGTAAAACTGATGACACTTGTTATCTTTTATAAACATGTATTGCGCTCGTATGGTAACTGCTACTCTGAAACTAAGCTTGTCAAATATTCACTAACTAAATGATACTCTCTTCGCGCATGCAAATTGCTTATTTGGTAGCAGAATTGCCATAATTTTGCAATCAGAACGGCAGTTATAATTACGAGTACTATAAATACACGCACTTCACCGCTTTCTAAATATTTACATAATGAAATGATCTGCTAAAGTGACATTATTCAATTATATTTAATTTATTTAAACATCTCTCAAATTTCAGTCAGGTTTTACTCGCGTGGAGTTATAACAATTTTACACAAACACTGGCATGTTAATAAGTAATGAATTATATTAAAATTATCCTAGCACTGCAATATAATGTATATTGAATAGATAAATAAATATAAAGAGATATACCTTTTTAGTAAGAAGTTCACGCAAAATACCATGTTTTGTCAATGCCAAAGCATCGCTAGATTATCGTAATTTGCATTTATAGGTATCTCATTAATTATAGTTAGAGTTAAGCGACTACAAGACTTATTCCGTAAATATATATGTATTGTGTTTGTCTGTACATTGGAATAAGTCTCGAATTTCCAACATTCGCGTAATGGCCGTATTGTTTCGGATTTATAAATTGTTTGTGACGTAATTATCATTTTTAAGTCGTTGACAAATTATTTAGTACAGATAAGTTCTCTGTTAAAGATTATTATATTTATTTTATATTTTATTTTTTATTTATAATCTGCGTCGGAATCTATTTTTTTTTTGCATTGGAGTTTTGTCCATTGTCTTTCTACATGCTTTATGCATGCCATCTAGTGGTTTAAACAGGACATTACCATTTAAACTGTCCTTTAATTGCTTAGGTCTATACCAGCAGAATAGGTCTATTTAAAATAGGCATATAATATCAGCTTCTTTTAATTATAAATAAATTAGTAACATATTTTGTCTGCGACTTAAATCGTACCTACGTAAAGGTATCATGACATTTCATTAAAAAACATAGCATCTGATGTGACGTGCCATAATCAGTGTTTAATATAAAAAATAGTTTTAAATTTATGGTGATATTCTCGAATAAAATTATGGCTAAAATTAACACATATTGTCAGTAAAAATTTGCATGTCACCCTATTTAAAAACTCCAATAGGAGAATAAAAATTTATTGGTTTCTATGTGGCTTTTGTCGCTTTTGATGGGATTCTATTGGAGTTTTTCAACAGGGCAATACGCCTAACAATGGCCAAAAATTAGTGTTGAAATATGCCACGTTAAATTGTAACCATAGGATGTTTTAAAGTGATAATACATTACGTGATGTACGCGTACATTGATATTGTAAAATACGCCAGACAATAAATTATTATTTATCACATATTATGACTCTGTTTATTTTATTCTACCCAAGACCTACTGGAAATTATAACCCCAATATAAGAGCTCCTTAATATATAGGTCAAGAATCCCAAAAATCTTTGACATTTATTTTCTAACTGGCATTGCCCGCGGCTCCGCCCGTGTTCAGAATTCAGATGACCAAAAACTGAATTCTGAGGTTTTACTTAATGGTATAATCTTACATTGCAGTTTTTGTAATTTTTGTCAAAAATTTAATATTTTCCCCCGGTAAACAGTAGGTATCCTATATGTTGACCTGGATAACCAGCTATCACCATACTATATTTCATCAAAATCCCTCCAGTAGTTTTTCTGTGATGCGGTAACACAGACAGACACACAATAATTCTAAAAACTATAGATTCAGCCTATGTATCCATGATAATGTTTATTTCTTATCTATACTTAGAATACTAAATACTAATATACCTATACTTAGAATTTTATTATATGTATAGAAATAAACCAAAATAAAAATTAAACAGTCCAACAAACTGTATAATTAATAGACATCCTACTTGAATGAAATGGCAATATTGAAAAAGAGTGCGACAAATTTTTGAAAGTCATATATTTTGGTATCCATTACCAATTACTTCCAATGGCGAGGATATCTTGAAAGGAGGGCGCTACACGTATGATCTACTTATAGGTCTCAAGTTAGGCAATATATTATGATATCTCTTTTGTACCTGGTTTTTTGCTTCTATTGTGTTCGCATCTTACCTGTGCGATGTATTGTACTTGAAAGTTAGACCAGCTGAACTCTGAAGGAAGAATTGAGAAGGAGAGGTGCATCCTGTGGTGGTCCTGACTTACTGATGGATTAACACACAGCCTAAACCGCTGGTCGTAGAAACGTGAAATTTGGATGATGTATTCCTTATATAATGTAGGCATCCGATAAGACAGGATTTTTCGAAATTCATCCCCTAAATGGGTAAAATAGGGGATTAAAGATTGTATTAAATCCTGTAATTCTTAATGAGAAATACACAATTTATAGGTACTGAATAATGAACTACAGAAAGACTTCAAGTCAAGTAAGGTCTACGAGAAAAATTATCATCATCGAACATTCGAATGTATAAATTCCGTAATCCCTATGGAATTGTGAAAATGACGACTAAGATTTCATCATTTTTACAGTTCCCATTTTACGCCATGTAAAAGTGCATACCGATATATTTAATGCACATGAAAGAAATTCTTCATGCACATTTTTGGGATACATTTTTAATCTTTTGTTATTTCTATTTTATACACAGACTTGAATAACAAATCGTTACAAATTATGCCATCTATTGGTATTTATTTAAACTAATTTGTCTTTGTTTCTGATGAGATCTATACATAATTTACCTTTGAAAAAGTGTTCAAAGTGAACACAAAGAAAGGCATACATTGTTAATAAAATTAAAATTGATAAAACGACATACATAACATGTTTTCTTTAATGTTATTACAGTACCTAATAGGTACCTAACAGATTTTATTTGTGACTAATTAGAATTACCAAATATTTAATCAGACTATTATTGCAAATGTGAATTTATGTGTGCGTTAAAACGACTGGACAGATTTTGATGAAATTTAACAACTACACAGATAGACTACGAAAACAAAAATTATGTCCTTCTAACTAATTTGGGTTACGTAACTAATCTCAGTACACAAGTGCACTCTCTATTGCTTTAACTCACATTCAGATGAAACGACAAGTCGACACGACTTTCGGCAATAAGGCGCAAGACCGACAGCTTAACGCGCTCTCCGAGGCAGGGGACTGAAAAACCTCTAACTTCCTAACTCCAGGCTGCTAGTTAATATTTCGTGACATAAAAATCGATACGGAAAGGTCTGATTTTTGGAACTCGAACCCAGGACTTCTCGATCTAGGAGGAAGTTGACAGTAACACAGGCAAATGTTAAGCAAGTGATACACTAAAGCATAAAGATGATAACTCGTTAGTGTCAATAGCGGTACAAACGCTTAATATGCTCTAAAATTCAAGAATTCCAATAGATCCAGAGTTTTCACTCAATATTTTACAGAATTATTTATGATATATAAAATATTTTAAAGAACTTCAAATATTACTCAATAGAAACAGGTGATTAAGCAACATGAACATTAAAAATATAACTAATTGTCTTTATAATAAAACAACAATTGGAATAAAACAAATATATATTTACAAAACATATACCTTATATTTAAAATTTATTCTGCAGTAAAAGTTTTTACAATAATAGGTTGGTGTAATTTTTTCATTCTGCATAAAATCTCAAAATTATAATTATATCAACAACATGTATTTAACTTAATCTGGATCAGAAGTGTCTTCATATTGTTCCCGAAATTGCTCAGAATCTTCTTCTTGGCCATAGTAAAATTCATCATCACTATCTTTGTATCCTTCATCTACTGTACTATGTACAAAATTCCTGCTATCGGATAAATCGGTGTGTTCTGAAAGAACTCTGGCTTTGTATTTAGCATAAGCTGCACCATATCTTTTGACATCTTCATTGAATAAATCTGGAGGTTCGTCATATATTTTTTCTTCGCCTGCATCACTTGATAAATCATCATCTATAAAAAAGTTAAATATCAATTTTACTATAATGTATTAATTAAATATGTTGGAACATTAACACACAGCACCACCTAGTTCCAAGGTAAGCTACAAGGCTTGTGTTATGGATAGCAGATAGTTATATTCTATGGTATATACAGTTTTCTATATTGTGGAGTCTCATCATGAACAAAGAATAATTAGTTTAAAAAAAACATCAATAGATGACTTTGCATTTGTCATTAAAGTGGTGTTAAATTAACAAAAGATAAAAAATGAAATCCCATAAAGACATATTTGTTTTAAAAAATTCTTAGTGAAGGGAAAAGAAATAATAAGCCCTTAAATCATATTTATTTAATTTTACTTTGGTTTGTAGTGTATATTCAGTATTCACAGATGGCAGTTTTACTTTTTATGAGTTTTTGTTCATCATGGTTAAAAATTGTTAAAATCACGGAACATTTTTTATTCAAATTTACTGTTAGTTGGTTTGCACATATTTATAAAATAAAGCAGTTTAATTATTTGCAAATCAATGATATCTATTCAAGCATACAAAAATAGCCCGAATTAGCACTGCCCAATTTCTTTGTATGGGATGAGGCATTACAATATTATGTGATCTGTGGCTTTATGATGTCACAAAATTAAGGTTATCATGAAAATACTACTAAAGAGAAAATATAAGTAGCAAATTTGGTAGCTAATGCATAAAATATGACTAAAAGTATGTCTTACCTAAATTACAATTCTCAACAGCTTTAATCATTAATTCTTCATCAATGCTACTGGGTTCAGAGTCCGGATAATCATTTCTCCAATTATTCTCTGCATTGGAATCTTCACTGTCATTCTCATCATCAGATGCAAGAATACCATTTTCTCTATAGTTACCCAATACTAAATCTGTTTCATAGTTCTCTATACTGCAAAGAAAAACTTTTTATTGACATAACATTTTTTTTATTGATATGAAACAGTGTTTATAAATTATATATCCCATAAACATCATAAATGCAAAAAATTTGTTACTTGATCACACCAGAACGGCTGAACAGATCTGGATGAAATTTGGCACAGAGATAGATTAGTCTGGAATAGCACATAGGTTACTTTTTATCCTGGAAAAATGTGTGGTTCAGTACGTTTAAAATGTACCTAGGGAAGAACCCGAGAGAAGCGAAGGTGAGTCGCTACTTTCTCATAAACCAATCTGATGTAATTTTAATATACTAATAGTAAAAATTGTAACTTACCTAACAAGATTATCCAACATTGATATATCGAAATCTTCTTTAGCAGCAGTATAAAGATCATAAATATATTTTTCATTCACCTTTTCATCTTTCTTTTGTAAATCTACTAAATCGAAATCATCTTCAACATCTTTTATACCTCTCCTACAATTGACAATCTCATAGCGACTTTCTGTGGCAAAATCTTTTCTCTCTTTTCTTATTTTCTGAATTATGTCATTCACATTTGTAGAAGTTTTCAATTTAATTTTATCTGGAACTATACTTTTCACATGAGTTGTTTCCTGTTGAAAGGTTAATGTTAATAGTTTTACCATTATCACAATTTATCTTAAATTTGTAAAGTAATACACACAAAAACACACCTGATTTTCTACACTTCCTCTAAATACAAAAAGTGAAGGCGAAATCTCTTCCGAATCTGTTTTCATACGTTTACATAAAAGTACTAAAGCATCTTGGGGGTTATCCTCTAATCGGCGCTTTACTCTCAAAACTGTGGATGTAGCCATTCTAGATATTTTCAGAGAATACAAACGTGCAAAACCCAAAAAAATTATTAATTTTAATTATTATATAAGTGATAAAACATTTGAAGTAAAATATTTCAAATATACAAATGTTTTATGAAAAATGAACAGGTTAGAGTTTCATAAATTCACCCAGACTCCAGACTCCAGAGTTTTGAACTTTTGACTTTTGAACAAAAACAACACAAACTATACAGCATAAGAATCTGTCAAAGTCAATTTCATTATCATTGAAATTTGACAGTATCCTTTTCTGTTTAACCAATGGGGAAGATTTATCGAAAGGAGGGCGCTACACGCATCGTCTATTTACATTCAGTCTCAGGTTAGAATAAGCAATTTATTGTGATTTCTCTTTTATACCTACCTAGTTTTTTGCTTCTATTGTGTTCGCATCTTACCTGTGCGATGTATTGTACCCGGAAGTTAAACCAGCTGAAGAAAGAAATGAGAAGGAGAGGTGCATCCTGCGGATGTCCTGACTGACTGATGGATCAACACACAGCCTAAACCATTGATCGTGGAAACTTAAAAATTGGTAAACGTATCCCTTATATTATGTAGTTATCGGATAAGAAAGAATTTTTCGAAATTCGTCCCCTAATAGAGAATTAAAGATTGTATGAAACTTTGTAATTCTTAATGTGAAATACACAGAAAGTAGTATTTAGCTGATAAAAAATAAGAAATATATCTATTTGACTTTTTTTAGAAATCCATTCCATAAAAGGGTAAAAGGGAGTAATGAAGCTTATATGGGCAAAGAATTATTTATGATCTGAAATTTGCATAATTGATAATCTCTAAAACTTGGTATTAATGCTCTTCAATACAATTAAATAAATATGTGTTTTATAATTTTTTGAAATTCAATCCCTTACCTATGTAAAATGGAGGATTAAAGTATGAAATTCTATCATTAATATGTAAAAAGGTTTTAATTTAATTCTTAATAATCTTAAAATCATTTTCTTAAAAATTTTGTGCAGATAGCTTTAAATATAAAGATTGTAATTTTACTAATTTTGGTCGTCTTATTGCTTTAGCCCAAAATTTCTTCAGTTTTTACAAATGATAAATGTTTTCTTTGCATTCTGGCACTGCACAATTTGTCATTTTAATTACATTTTAAATAAAATTAAAAAAAAACATTCACGCTATAGAGCTTTACAATATACTGAGGGCCATAGTGATCATGACATCTGGCGCGAGACAAAGACAAAATTCTTCCCCATTTATAGACTTTCTGGCGACTTTTGATATTTCATATTGAGCAAAGAATATAATAATCAGCGAGTGCCAATTGGCGGATAAATTACCTGGTAAGCGGGTAATTTAAGATGATTTTTGATGGCGGGTAATGTCGACGGGTATTTTCATTGAGCGGGGTTAAAGCATGTATTTTAGTTTAGAGGATTAATTTGATATTTTGATTTTTTTTTATGTTTGATTTAATAAGTTAAATAGAGTGATTGAGACTGTTTAATTGAGAACTGATTCCAATAACTTCTTTTTCTAACAGGAGTACTTATTTTATTCTATATAAAACTTGAATAAATTAGTTTAAGAAACTATTTTCAGATATTCTGCTCATGGTTGGCGCCGCAGGATAAGCCGGGTATTTTGAGGTTTATTGGTCGGGTAAATCGACGACTGTTACCTGGCAGCCCTGTAACTTGTAAGCGACAGTTGACAGTCGACACGCAGTTGGCAACACTGTGCGGATCTGGATTGTGCTTCTGCTTCATTTTTGGAGACAAATGAAAACACTGAACACTGTGTTTTCAGTAATTATTGATTAATATCGCTTGTGTGCTCTAATTAACAAAACAAATTTCGTTTCACCATGGATAACCTGAAACAATTCTACGCAATGGGTTCGGATGATAACAATTGGAGAACACAAAGTGTAAGACAGACCGTAGTGTCGAAGATGTACGTATTTCAAGATAATATTACAATTGAACTTAAAAACAATATTAAAAACATAAACTATCCAAAAAAACACCTTTTACTTGTTTTGTTTTTGTTTCACTCTTAAAATAATTTATTATTAGATGATATGTGCTTGAAAACAATCAAAATGGTTAATTAAATAATTATATTTTTATAATTTTAGTGAGAAAGTGATTCAAAGGTATTATAGGTCAGGCATGCAAGTAGCTCGCGACAGTAGTGAAATGGAGAACCATGTATTCATGAAGGCAAAGACCAGAGAAGAATATATGAATATGGTTGCAAAATTAATAATACATATAAGAGAAATGTGTAAGTATCAATATTACATCGTAAACCACATTTATAAAAAGCTTGATTAGTTTATTTATTTTTTAATATATATATATTTGTTCTAGCACAACCAAAACAAAATCAAGGGGCACCAAACATGCAACAAAACCAAAATCAACCAGGACCTAACTCTCAAGTACAGAATCAACCTGGACAGCCACAACAAGGACCTAGTAACCAACCTGGTATGGCAACTGATCCTATAAATACATTACAAAACATGGCATCTCAGGGTACAAGAAACCAAATGATGAATATGGGCCCAGGGCAGATGCAGCAAGGGGTCTTAGGTCCTAACCTTGGCATGGGTGGAATGCAAGGTCAAATGAATCAACAAGGCCCGATTGTATCTCAAGGTCAAGGTACAAAAACACCAAGTACGAACGCGTCCGGTGAGCCGAGCACAGGTCTTCCTGTAGGAGGTTCCCACGCTACTCTCCAACAGGGCAGCAAAGGGAAGGCTGGCAAAGGAACTAAGGGGCAACCCAAAGTCCCTAAGCCCGCCCTACCGGGCCCTAACAAACCAATGAGGTCGGTGGAGGCCGCACGAGGCCCCCTCTCCTCATCACTTCCGGGCCACCCCAAACCGGTTGCAGCAACTGCAAGCGTTAGAGGCGAGGAGGCAGCCAGACGACTGGAGGCCCCCCCAATTTCGACTGCAGCTGAAGCAACTGACAAGGGGAAGAGGGAGGTTGGAAATGCTCCATCGGCACCCCGGACCGGCTCAGCGAAGGCCAACGCTGAGGTAGAAGTGGAGGCATCCAAGACATTGGAACTGCCCCCGTCCGCCAAAGCAACGGCTATCGCGAAGGCTGGAAAGGAGGCGGCCACGGCTGCATCCACAACCACTCACTTGAGTACGGAAGAAGCAGGAGGACCATGGACTGTGGTAACTTCCCGTAAAACAAACAGGCACCCCCCGCCAGGGGAACCTTACCAGAACACCGGCAATGAAGCAGGAAACATAACAGCGAAGAGGCTAAGGAAGAGGCTGAACGCAGCCGCCAAGTGGAAGCGTAAGAGGCGAGCCGGAATAACCACGGTGGCGCCTACACCCAACGCCTCGGCAGGCTGCTAAATTAGACCTAATAGCAGCCATTACAGCAAGTAACTCAGGGCACCTAACCAGGGAACAGGCGGAGGAAACCCAAGAGTTGCTGAATAACAAACTTTGGGCCTTAGTTCAGGCCAAAGCTAAAGACCCACCAACCTTCCAAGGCAGACCCACCTATTTCGTCGGATCCCTACAGATTTGGTGTATGAACATGGAAGCCATGAACTGGTTGAAATCAGCAATTCATGGCCACACATTAACATCCGGGGTTAAGGTCGAGGTCAAAAAGCAGTCGGACCTCCCAAAGAAAATCCGATGCGGAATATTAATACCGGGGAAAGTCGAACCTAAACAAATAGGTGAGGCCCTCCGCTATTTCAACCCGTGGGCAGGAGTCGAACGGTGGCTACTGCACACCGCCCGCGAACAAACCGCAGGAACATTTATTGTGGTCAGCATACCAGAGGACCTGATCACCGCTATACTGGAACGAGGACGGCAGCTTTGCTACTTGCTGGGCGCCGTCTACGTTAAATTTGAAGTAAGGAAGGGCAGGTTCTCGGAAACACCACCGGATCAAACCGAGGATAAAAATACATCCATCGAAATTGACACCACCGAGCAGGCTCAACACCCCAGCACTAGCGACGGGGGCAATAACCTCCCATCAGCGGATCCGGCTGATGCACCGCACGATCAGGCGAACGTCGAAATGGCGAGCGTCAGTGATGAGGCGGAGAGCATCGGGGATTGGGCCCAGGGGATAGAGGAATTCGACCTTGGTACAGGGGATGACTCGGATGACGGAGTCCCTTTTACCAAATAGTCGAGCCCTCCAGATCAACCTCCACCACAGTCTCACCGCCACAGCACAGCTACGAAAGTGGTTGGAGGTAAACAACACAGCCGTAGCCTTCATCCAGGAACCCTGATTATCTTTCTGTTCTGGTTATCTGGATTAAACAATCTCAAAGGTAAGATAATAACAAGCAATGAACCCCAAACAAGGGCTGCTATTTACATTACAAATAACATTCCTGTGCAGATCCTAACCGATTTCTGTTCTAGAGACATCTGCACAATTAAAACAGCCAAGACTACGACGACGTCACGGGAAGTAGTCCTCTCTTCGGTATATATGCCGAATGGAGAGGACCCTCCCCCCCAAGACCTGGTGCGTCTCGTAAACTACTGCGAAGCAGAAGGGCTAGATATCATCGTTGCCACGGATTCAAATTGCCACCACACGATCTGGGGTAACGAAAACACAAACAACAGAGGCAAGACTTTAATTGAATATTTATCAACCACTACCTTAGACATTATTAACACAGGTAATAAACCTATTTTTGTAACAAGGCGTGCCAGTACCATTATTGACCTCACGCTAGCAAACGAAGGTGGGGCCAAACTGATATCCAACTGGCATGTGTCCGACGAGGCTTTCTGCTCGGACCACAGGTGGATATGCTTTGACTTAGGACTTACTCCTATACCCCCCCCCAACCCTTCAGGAACGTCCGGAAAACCAATAAAGTGGCTTTTCGCAAACTACTCATAGAGGGCTTGCGAAAGCTTGACTATCCGGAAAAGATAACAGACACTGATAACATTGAACAACTAGTCAACAAATTAACGCTGTTAATGAACACATGCTATGAGGCAACCTGCCCACTAATCTACCCTCCGGAAAACCCAGCGGACAAACGGTCATGGTGGGGTCCAGAGTTAAAACGCCTTAGAACCAAGGTTAGGAAAGCCTCCAATAGGGCTATGAATACATATAACGATCAAGATTGGGACCAGTACAAGAATGTCAAGGCCATGTACAAAAAACGTATAAGATATTGGAGGAACCGTGCATGGCGGAAATACTGTGATTCTATAGAATCGTTTATACAGGCTAACAGAATCCGGAAAATCCTCACCGGACAATCACAACGAGAATTGGGTTCACTAAGGAAACCAGATAACACCTATACCAAATCATTAGAAGAATCACATCAAGTGCTTCTGCAGACGCATTTTCCCGACTGCTCAATGGTTAATGAACACAAGTGGTTAGACGTAAACCACAATGCAACAGACACCTCCTGGCAAGTTGCGTCAGAGGTCATAACCCCCAAGAAAATAGCGTGGGCCATCAAAAGCTTCCAACCATTCAAGGCGCCGGGTCTAGATGGAATCTACCCTGCCTTTATACAATGGGGAGGCCCGAGACTGCACCACACTCTTAACAAAATATACCAGGCATGTTTGGCTTTTGGCTACGTGCCTAAAACCTGGAGAGAGGTTAAAGTAATCTTCATACCGAAACCAGGTAGAACAGACTACTCGGATGCAAAATCCTACAGACCAATCAGTCTCACATCATTCTTACTTAAGACTATGTAAAGATTATGTGATAGACACCTTAGAGATAACGCTTTAGCAAAAACACCCTTACACAGGAATCAACATGCCTATAGTTCAGGCAAATCAACGGAATCAGCTCTTCATGCAGTAGTATACAAAATCGATGAGGCACTAGATACCAAGGACATTTGTCTAGGTACCTTCATTGACATTGAAGGTGCCTTCGACAAAACCAACTTCACTAGTATCTAAGCCGCACTCAGCAGACATAAGGTGAATCCAGCAATAGCTGACTGGATCCAATATATGCTAGCGAATAGAGTGGTCAGGCTAGGTAACAGCAACAAACAAGGTGCCATCGTGGCCAAAGGATGTCCTCAAGGAGGAGTACTCTCACCTCTCTTATGGAACCTAGTAGTCAACGACCTAATAACCCTGCTCAACAACAACAGATATTATACGATAGGCTATGCAGATGACCTAGCCATCCTTGTAACGGGCAAATTTACAAGTACAGTCTGTGAATTAACTCAGACAGCCCTAAATATAGTCGAAAAATGGTGTTATGACTATAATCTGAGTGTTAACAAACGCAAAACAGAACTAATAATGTTCACAAACAAAAGAGCCCTAGGAAGCTACACCCTGCCGAAACTCTTTAACTCCACCTTAACATTAACCACAGAGGTAAAATATCTTGGAATCACTCTAAATAGCAAACTAAATTGGTCTAAACACCTAGACAGTTTACTAAACAAAGCCAGTATTACCTTCTGACAATGCCGAAAGATGATAGGTAAAAAAATGGGGCCTCAATCCAAAAATAACTTTATGGCTATATGCATCGGTAATACGACCTATGATCAGCTATGGTGCCTTAATATGGTGGCGTAGAACACTTTTGACCACAGTACAAACCAAGCTACAAAGCTGGCAAAGGCTGGTGTGCATGGCAGTGACGGGCTGCATGAGAACAACACCAACCGCAGCTCTCGAAGCCATGCTAAACCTTTTACCGCTTCACTACCGCGATAAGACTAGATAGTCAAAAACTGCTAAGGAAAACAGGCACTCCACAAACAAAAATCCTAATAGACGTAGCCAAAGACATTCCTCTCATGGGAGCACCCAATGATGGAATACAAATAAAATACATTTTTGACAAAAAATATAAAATACAGCTGGAGGAAGATACATGTGAGGGTCGCGACAGCAAGGACCTAAGAATCTTTACCGACGGCTCGAAAACCAAATCGGGGACTGGCTGTGGCATTTTCTCCGATGATCTAAACATTAAAACTTCAATACCTCTAGGTACCTACAACACGGTGTTTCAAGCTGAAAGTCTAGGTATCCTTGAGGCAGCTAGAACATTTGCGACAAAGAAGGTAGAAGACTGCTCCATCTGCATATTATCAGACAGCATGTCAGCACTACAGGCATTAAATAGTAATTCTACCACATCAGATATGATCTATGAATGTCATAAGGCCTTGACACAGGTAAGTGACCGGAATGAGATCACCTTACAATGGATCAAAGGCCACAGTAACTCGTGGAGGAACGATAGGGCAGATGAGCTAGCAAGAAGGGGTTCGGACATGACGGCGATAGGACCAAAGCCCATCGTCTCGTTACCTTCTTGCTGGCTCAAAGGCCAAATTCGACAACGAACTAAACGCCAACACAACAATGTATGGCGTTGGAGTTGTAGACTGCAGACAGGCGAAAGAATCGCTTCCAAACATTGATGCCAAAATGTCGAACCGTATCATCAAACTTAACAGACCTCAACTCAGGCAAATAACCGCGGCCTTAACCGGCCACGGACCATATAATAAACATCTATTTAATATAGGTTTAACTGACAGTCCACTTTGCAGGGCATGCATGGGGGCAGATGAAACGGCTGCACATGTGATCTTGTATTGTCCAGGTGTAGCGGCGTACCGGGCTCAACATCTTGGCACTCCTAGGTCACTCCCGGAAATTTTCGGCAAGACAAAGAGGTTGCTGAAATTCCTGGAGGAACTGGGATGGCAATAGTAACAAGAAGTTAAATTCCCACACACGCAAAATAGGCGCATAGTCGTCGAGTTGAGGAAAACAACCCGAACAGAACATACCATACCATACATAAATATCTTAAGGTCAAGCTCAAACAGCCACAAATTTGCTTCAAACCCTGAATCAGCGCCCACAGATAAACATGCAATTGCAAAATAAGCTTGGTGGTTCTATTGGGATGGTGCCAAACCATGGTCAGATGGGTTCAAACATGGTTAGTGGTATGGGCATGGGCAATATGGTCAGTCAGCTACAGAACCAATTGTCAGCTCCTGGAATTCCGATGATACCAACAATGTCCATGTCAAACACCATGCAAGTTCCCATGACAGGAGCCAATACTATGGTAGGACAGATGCAGTGTAATCAAGGTGTTGGTGGAATGGGAGGGCAATTGTCACCAAATAATATGCAAGGGCAGATGCCTAATCAAATGGGTAAGTTATGTTTGTTATTGGATCATAACAAAGCTTCTAGAAATATCTAATGTTATTCAGTGAAGAAAACCTAATTTAATAATATTATAAATGCTATTGAGCTTATTAGTTTTTCAGTATGCCCTTTATATCTTTCATATTTCTTTATATAGTACCAGGTAGCATTTTATATATATACTTGTGGACCGAATTTTTTTTTCTTAACTCTAGATTAGAATTTGTAGCTTATGAAAAAACTTTTTTGAAATAAAAAATATTCTATTCAACATTTTGAGGCCCACTGATTTTTAAAATAATAATTATTTAAAATTTTTGGCTTGAATAATTTTTTTTTTCATGTGATCATCTTTGAAAGCATTCCAGAATTGACGAATGTAGTCATTTTCTGCCCAACTTTCACTGTAATACAAAAAAAGTTACATGTTATTTTTTTACCTTTTTTTAAAATTCCAGTAAGTAATATTACAGTGAAAGTTGGTTAGAAAATAACTATATTTCAATCGTCGAATGTGTTTAAAGATGATTAGTCAAAAGAAAAATATCCATTCAAACCAAAATATTAAATTAATTAATAATCAAAATGTTGAGTAATTTTTTTTATTTCAAAAATTGTTTTTTTATAAGCTACAAATTCTACATCCATCTAAGAAAAAAAAGTTTTTTTCTTACTCCACCCAAATATACCTATAAAAAGTTAATATTTTATTAATGTACTAAACAATTCAAATTTATCTACTCATAGACCATAAAAATATTCGCTCATTCACAAACTGTATTTGCATTTTCACTGGTTGTTTCCAGTCGGTAATATGGGGAATAACCAGTTAGTAAACATCAATATGCTCCAACAAATGCACCGGGGCAATAAGGAGGTTGTGATGGGTGCAGGGTATGCCCCACGACCAACGCACAATCAGTTCCTAAGGCAGAGCCCTTCGCCATTTGCCTCGTCACCTAATATGCCTGGTCCAAGCCCTGTCTCAATGGGTGAGTAACTAATCCTATATGAATTAAATTCTTCTCGGTAATAACGCAAAGATATACATATAATTATTAATTGTATATAATAAATATAGTTAATAAAAAATTGGCAGTTATGTACTGCCGACAAAAGTGAAAACTTTGGAACAAGTGTATTTTTTTTAAGTTTTAAATAAATTATAGTCTGAATAATTGAAATTTCATAATATGTAAATTGAAATTATTATTAGTCTAGGTTTTTTACATTTTGATATAGTTTATGTATTAATCAAAACATTTGACGCTGCACGTAGCCAGTCTCATAAAGTAACTTATATATAGGGGTATAGAGTAATCAGCTATCACGAGTTAACAGCGACATCTAAGGATAATCCTTCAAACTACAAGGTGTGCATATATATGTATAACTACAGTTAACATAATAAATATAGGTAGCATTACGGCCAGCCTACTAAGTTTAAATTTTTCCTTTAGTTGGATGATAAAAGAAAAAACTACTACAGATTTACTCAAATGATTTATTTATTTCGTTAACGTTTTTTACAATATTCTAATGCAAGATTTTGTATTATATCGTTAGCATCTAAACATTTGCTGGTACCGTACAATAATTTATTCACATTACGACACCAATTGTTGCACAAAAATCGACATGTATAATCGCACACAAATTAAATAATTTCCCTTTTGTGGTTTTGACATTGTATCCAATTAAAATTAATATTTGTGTATAATAAATTAGTATTTGACAACGTCAATACAAAATTTATAGTGTAATCAAAATTTGTTTTAATAACATTAAAAAATTAAGTAATAGTATAAAAAATGTTTTAAAAGACAACAAAATCGAAAGTGCATAATAATTGCAAGACTTCCGCGACACCATTCAAACAAAGAGAGACAATAGCATTCCCAAGGAGGGTTGACGTCAGGCAGGCGGCCGGTCGTAAAACTTTTGCCAAATCCTTTCAGCAGTACAAAGGATGTACTGCGCCGACCCCAAATGATTGGGAAATGGGCAGGGAGAAGAAGAAGAAGAATTTGTGTATAATACAATTTTGATATCATTTCTTAAATTTTTAATATGACTTTTACTTTTTAAGATATAATGCGTTATATCTTGTATTTCGGAAATCATTTTCACGAAATTTTCATTAGGGTACGTTAATAACATTTTATGTTTTCTATAATCCCTGTATTTTAAGTAACCGCTCTTGGTATTAGTTTCAATGAGTTCTTTTTTACAATTTTTGCACAATTTAGTATTTTTTGGCATTGTCGCAATATGTAACCAGCTACGTACTGTAACGTACCAAAAATACGCGCGTCCTCTTTCTTTTCATCAAAACAAGTTATCATGTTTTCGCACAATATATCATTTATATCAACTTCACACGAGTTACATTCATTTTTATCGTTATTATAAAAAAACAAATCTTCAAAGCATTTAAAATTTTGGCAAGTATCATCTTCACAATTTGAGCCCTTTGAATAATTCCTGCTCAAATTATTTACTAATAACGAAGCAAAAGCTGCTTCAAAGGCAGCACATGTGGGTGAAGTATTTCTTACTCCATGACTGCGTATGCTGCCAAAGAAGTTTTCTAAAGGGTCTTGATTTAAATGTCTAGCCCATATTGATTTTATATTTTTATTAAATAAGGTGTCTCTCAATAATTCTATATTTTCTACAGTACGTAGCCAATTAGTAATTGACGGAACGGTACCGGCGTTTCCTTTGCCAGATATAAATTTCATGCTTCTCAAAACATGCTTAGCTTCAATCAGATTTATGACTTCTGCCATTGGTTGACTTTTGACAAAGAATCCTGCAACAATTTTTATTAATATATTTCAAAGTAGCAAAGCTCTTTACTATCATCATAATTGAACTTTTCAAATAAATAATAACAATAGGCAATGCTTCCATGCTGGACTGGGAGTGAAAGAAAAACATAGAAGGTTCTAGCTGCATTATTACCCACATGTAAATGTACTGTAAAAGTCAGTAGCAGTATTGGAGGGTTTGATGTTTTGTAGGCAATAGGCAAACAACCTATCATTATCGATAAAATTACTATCTTATATTATAACCCTCCAGTCCTTGATAGATGTGGCATCAGGATCAATTATTTTATTGTCTTGCTCTGCTTACCCCATAAGGGATATAGGTGTGACTTTATGTATGTAATAATAAATACCTACCTGGTAGATGGAGTTGGAATGGCATTATGAGCTAGCCTTTTACTCCAAGTGTAGTAACTTGACTCAAAATGCAAATGGCATAAACTTCGATACTTGTGAATGTAGTTGTTATCCAGTGACAGTAAATCTCCTCCAACAGCATATAGCCATGTTCTAAAACGGTCAGGTTCTTTTTCAGGATGAGGAAACTTGTGCAGGATATGATTTTGTGAACCTGAAAATGTTATGTTATTGGTAAAATTTAGAGGGTCTCATTATGTTATTGAAAAGATGTTATTTGAAGTAGAATGGTTATGCTTGACGTTGGGCTACCTTATGGGGCATACCATTAATGATAATTAATTTAAAAACATAAATAAACCAATGACAATAAGTCATACTCATTTTAAGATTTTAACTGCATTAAAGTGCATAGAATTACATCTAATTAAAATATATCTACAAACAAAAGCTTACCACAGCTTGGAATACAACGTTCTTTTGCAGCCATTTCAAAGAGGGAAAATCGAAGTCCTGTTGACGAAGCCAGGGTACACGAGAGAAAAACACAAACGTCGGAGTCCAAGAATGAGCACGGGTCAAACGTATGAAGCAGAATCACCAAAATCCATAAAACACGCTGAAGTCGTCGAGAGATATCACAAAAAAGCTTAAAAAACACCATGAGCAGTTTCGAAAACAAACGGAAAGAAAATCTGAACTTGAGTGACACTTGTGACTTGACACAGTTGACAGAAAGATTTGGAAATTACATTCCGTTTAATACATTTCTTTTTCACATAGAGAATGTTTTTTATAATAGTTTCCTGTTGGTAGTGAATTCTTATAAACACAATTAGATAAATAATATTCTGTAAAAATTTAAAACTTGGGAAATGTCTGTTTAGTCAAATATAGTATACATTCGTTGTATGCGTAAAAGCAAACGTAGCTAGACATGCGTAGGTCCGGATTGAAATAGTTCCCGGAACTATGTCTTAGGCCGGAACGATATCGTTCCAATCCGAGATGTCAATTGAAACAGGTTCACAGTTCCATATAGTTCCACATGTGCAGGAGTGAGATGGAGCGAGTAAACGAATATATTGGACCGATCACCGGAGCGACTGACTGAACTGAACGTAACCGACTCCTGCCGAACCTACCCGAGCTATAGCTGTATATTAAATTTTAAGGTGCTTCCTCACAAGAGTTATTTTTTTTAGGAAACATCTGTTAAGCCGCGTCCACATGCTGGGCGCTTGCCACAAGCACCGAGAATCATAAACACGTGCCAAACACCGAACACAAACTAAATACATCAAATAAATAAATTAAATTAAAATAAAAAAGCCTTTCATTTCTTGCGCTTACTAAAATGCTATTAAAACAATTTAAGAAAGTAGGTATTTATTAATTACTTAGAAAAGTATAAACAGATCTATCCCACGGGAACCGTTCATTTTTCCGGGATAAAAATAAGTTACCTGTTGTTCGACCGGCAATATAAGGTATCAGCATGCCTATATTACTCAATTAGGTGCATAAGTTGTTGTGTACTGAGCTGTATAAGTTACTATAGTTTTTTAACTACCCCACGAACTCTTTAATTTTCCGGAATGAAAAGTACCAAATTTCATTTAAATAGGTTCAATAGTATCGGAGATTAGCCCGTACAAACAGACAGAGAAAGAAAAAAATTGAAAAAAATCTGGATTTGTTCTATTTCTCTCCTTACGGGATGTAAGGAGAGAACTGACTCGTTTTTCAGCATTTCTTTCTACCATCTATGTACAGACATACGACCTCTACAGTTTTATTATTCATATATGTACCTATATTCAGATAGAATAAATAACGTATAATAAAACAGAAATATATAATAATGAAAATAGTTATAGCGAGTGTACCTTAGGAGATAGACATATACTATGTAGAACTTTTCTATAGACCTTTTTAAGACTTAAAATTTTGTTGTACAATGTTTGATGAGCCAACGTTAGCCATATAAATTTCTAAGGACAATTCGATAGAACCAGTTATTGTGTTTTCCCGTGGGAATAATTTGCCTGTCGTAAGAGGTATTCTAAATGTTAACCCGAGCACTAAGTTTTAACACTATACAAAATTAAGTTAAAATCGGTTGCTTACTTTTTGCGTGAAACGCGCACATAGATTTGACTAAGTTTTATTATAGGTATAGATAAGAATAAATATAGCGAGTGTAACTTAGGAGATAGACATATACTATTCAGAATTTTTGTGTAGGACTTTTCTAGACCTACAATTTTTTAGTATATTGTTTTAATGTATGTAAGTCTTAAGGCTTAGCCAGCGGAAGGTTTCTAGGGAGGACTCGATAAAACCAGTTATTGTATTTTCCTGTGGGAAAGAAAGATTTTCTTTAAGTAAAAGGAATCTAGGCAGTGGTATCCCAGTGGTAACGCGCTAGCTTGAGAAACCGAGTGAAGCAAGTTCAAATCCCGGGTCTCGCACCTCTGATATTTTCATGTGTGAATCATTTCTAACACAATTACCACTTGTCTTAACGGTGAAGAAAAACCTGCATGTCTGACAGAACCTAGCAAGTTTTCGAAAGACATGTGAAGTCCATCAACCCGCACTTGGCCAGCGTAGTGGACTATGGCCTGATCCACCTCGTACTGAAGGGAGGCCCGTACCCAGCAGTGGTACGTTAAAAAGGGCTGAATACAACATACATACATACATACATACAAAAGGTACCCTAAATATTGACTCGAGTAATAAGTAATAATATGAAATTTACGTCATTAGTCGCTCCATATTTTGTTTTTTTAATCTTAACTTTTAATTCAGGATTGATTCTATAAGCATAATTAGATATCTAAGTTACCTTTTGAGTAACCGTTCAATGATCATAATAATGTTTTCTGTGTATACGTTTTTTAATATGTTTTTACATGATTTTTGTGAAAACATCATTATTTGCAACGTCATTGTCTGTAAAAATGGAGAAGAAGACAATGACGCATGTTGTGAGCAATGACGATGTAATTAGACGACAATGATTACTGATGAGAACAATGACTTTGATCGTTTAGATTGATGTGCCGATAGGATTAGCTGGATGAAAGTGTCATTTTAGGTTTTAGTTCCAGCTACACTTTGACAAAATTAAATAATTTTACAGGTACATATGTTAACTATGGTTATGTTTATTTTTTCCTTTTAAAACCTGAACATAATTCTTCATATTTATTTACTAGCTTTCGTCGTATAATAATCATGGAGAGGAAGAGATCAACTTCATCCTCAATTTTATTTCCTACACTCTTTTGTTCAAATTATGTCCGATACTTAGAATATAAAGTTCTTGCTCCTTTGTGTTTCAACGATAACGTTTTTATTTATATTTTGGGTGTCTTATCACTCTGTTTTATATTGTTGCAGGTACTTATCAGAGATTATATTAGTTAAAGAAATCAAACTACACACAACTGTGCTAGTACTTTTGTTTGTAGTAAATATTCCAAAATGCGTCAGAAAAGGAAAACTAAAGTAGAAAGACTAGCTCAACAAAGACTTCTCAAATGTAGGCGGTATGCAAAAATTAAAAATGACCCGGAATTACTAGCTCTTGCAAAAAAAAAAGAAGAACGAAGTATTTAAAAGATAAAGAAGCAAAAAATGTAAAAAGTATTTCGAAAAAAGCTTCACGCATTCACAGAAAGAAAGTAGTGGAAAGAAAATTCGAAAATTCGTTCAGTTTAATTTTATACTTAAAACTATATTTTCCATGACATATTTCTAGTTACTACGTTATGTTTTACATAATTTCTCAATTGTCAATATTCATAAATTATTCAAGTAATTAACATGACCCACTAAAAGAAAAAAAAGAAAAATTTAACATGACAGTTTTAATAGCTATCGACAAAATAAAAAATAAGATAAAACACCAAGATTTGAAGCAGTTGCCGTTACTGGTAATCAAGGTGAAAGCATTTCTACGCATGATCTTGAAGGAGATCCTTCGCTTAAAAATGATGCTGTAGCTATAAGAAAAGTTCGCTACGTAGAATTAAAAAAAAAGAAAAAAATTGGTCAATATCATCGCGGCTTACAATAAAAGGGATAAAGCTCGTTGTAAACAAATTCAAAAACAAATAAAGCAACTCAACGAACAAGAGAAGACACAAATGGAGGCAGAAAATGACATACCAGTTCTAGAAAATTACTGTTCCGAAATTAGCCTATAATCAGAAAACTGTCCCAGTGTGGTCTTTTATAAGCGAACGTGTAAAAAATTCTATTTAGATGATGCCAAATAGCATCTCATGTGCTTTAAAATATGAATTTATTCGAAAAAATCAAGTCCGTACGCAAGAAAGGTTCTTGTATCTACCACTGAAGGACTTCGGACTTCTGCAGGAAGTTCAGAATGGAAACAAATATTAGAATTACCCATTCTTTTTTTTAAATGCTGCAGCCTTTCTGGGTAGTTTTTCGAAAAAAAGTTGACAGAGGTACTTGTTTGTGCTCATTCATCTCATTATGGAGTTATTAAATGAAGGTCTAAATAAAACGTCTATAATAACAGAAAAATGCTGTGATGACAAAAACACTGATTGTTTGCAAAGAAACTGAGACCTGTAAATCAAATGACATAGAATATAAAGATCTTCAAGGAATTATGTACTGCAGTTATTACGAGTGGAAAAAAGTTTCAAAAGAAATACTTACTTACGAATATAAACAAGAAGAAACAAACAATTATAGAAAAGACGAAAATCACAGTTACAACGATAGAAGCATTAAATAAATTCAATAGAGATTTGCCAAATTTTTTTGGAACGCAACAATAAAATTATGAACCAATACAAAGCTATTAAGAATCTTAATGAAAATCTAAACATTCAGGAAGCATTAGTACATGTCGACTTTTCTGAAAATGATGCCTTGAAATATGGAGCAGAAGTTAAGTCGATCCACTTTGGTGGAAATAGGCAGCAGGTTTCCTTGTATACTGCAGTTACCTACATACATCAATTTTCTACTGGACAAGTTTGACCAACTTCCACGTGCACAATAAGTGATCGTTTTCGCCATGATGCTCCAGCTGTGTCGGGTCATTTAATACCTTTAATAGAGGACGTGATTAAATTAAACCCGTTTATTGATACCATACATTTTTTATCAGATTCACCATCCTCCTAGTATAGGAATAAGTAGGTATATATTTTGTCTGATAACTATTATTATTTATTATTATTTTGTTGGGTGTGGTGGCCCTAGCTACGTCGACCAGTTTTGGTCCATTGTAGCTCCCTTTATAATGAGTTCAAAGTTCTCCGCTTAGTCCTGTTGACTCCAGGAGCTTCCAGATTTTCTGAGCGGGGAGCATCTGTATCTCTTCCGGTTGCATAATATGCTGCCCTAGATAGATACTTCTGCGGTGCATGAGTGGACCGCACGAGCAGAGGATGTGCATAGCAGTTTCCTCTGTCTCATGGCATAGTCTGCACATTGCGGCCTGACTGAGGGAATTTTGAGAATTGAATAGTCATGTTGTTTTGCAATACCACAAAATGGTTCTGAGCCACATTCTGGGGTTTCAGCGCCCCTTCTTGCCAATGCATCAGCCTTTTCATTCCCATCTATGCCTGAGTGACCCATCTGAGGGTAACTCTGTGTGTCTGGATGTACCCAGGACATTCAGATTATTGTCTGTCTGATAACTAAGTTAAAGAATAATATCCCGCAGCTGAACATATATAAATAACATAAAAATATCTAAAAAAATATATATAAATGACATCAATATATCTAAAAAAAATCCAGGACGCATCTCTAAGCATCTTGATGTAACCATTCTTGCAAAAACAAAATCCGACAAGATCAACAATCCCATCAAAATAGTGCCTTTCTGTTCGGTTGATGATTTTTTGGCTCGTTTTATTATATTTTAATTTATGTTTTCAAGACTGCTTGTTTTCTTAGAATATCACGTAATTCGCACTAAATGATTTCTATTTCTATTTACTCTTAATTATATGTATTTATATTTGTTTTGAGCAATACTTGTGTCTTCATTTTGATTGTGATTTTTTATTGTGCCTCATAGAAATCATAACAGTCTTACGGAAATTTAGAACGTCTGTCACAATATTTGAATTTTCGCTTTGTACATTATTGTAAGAATTTTATAAGTTCCCTTAATTCGAGTTTTAGAGTTGTAATTTAGACTAATAACCAAACATGTGATTTAAAGTAAGTAGGTAGATTCTTACAAGTTCCTAATAATATAAGTCTTTAATGTCCAAAGATATGTATTTCTACTAAATATGTATTTTTTTTCTAAGAATATTTTAGTATCATATATATATTATATGATACTAAAGACTAATCGCTGAATTCATAGAAGTTACAATAGGTCTTAAAAAAGATTTTCATATCGAAGGTGGTAATTTCAAACATCAATTGGGGTTTTTTACCCATCAACTCTGAATTTGTTTCAAAATGTCCCTAATAACAATTTCTATGAATTCGAAGAATTTTTGATATTTTGTTGTTTAATATTCTAAAATAACAAAGGTTCGTGTGTTTATTGTGTCAAGTTTTATATGTTACGTATAATATTTTTTCATAAAAAATAAAAAATATTGTAAATTATCATGCTATTTATTGATTTTATACCTCAAATTTGTATTATTCATAATGAAATTGTCATTATTAGTAACATAGCATCATTTTTCTCCGCACTAATTTCATTATTCTCACAAATTGTCATTCTCGGTAACAGCAAAATTTATTAAATGTCATTTTTTTTCGAAAACTAGTCCTTAGTTTCGGATGCCTCCTTGATAAAACTGCTTACTATCAACAAAACAATTAACTACGCTTATAATATTAGATCTGCACGAAGGTTTAAAAAATTAGTAATTTTTTTGCAAAAAAATAACATTTTGATGAGAACTACCCAGGTACTGTGTGTAAACTACTGTAGTGACTAGTGCGTGTGCGAGTATTCGCAATATAATGTCATCTCTTACTATGCTGTTACAATTAATAATGTGCCTACTTCACTGTGCGTTAAAGTCGATAATTCATTGATTAAATCTGATTTTCGTTTTGAACTTTTAAAACATTAATAATATATTTTTAAATTTTAATATTCTTCATTCACTTTTGAAACAATATTTTTGTACTTTGTTGCGTTCGTCTAGATTCACATTGCGCGCGAAAGCACCATAATAGTTTTTTGAAGTTGGTTTAATTTTTTTAAAAACCTTTTTTATTTCGTATATTTTAGTTTTAAGTAAAAACTGAAATAGTTTTTGTAAAAAGTAGTAATTACAAAAAATACACTTTTTATCCATATCTTCAAAACCACTGAACCGATTTTGATTAAATTCTTACTATTCCTTAAGTTAAAATAAATGTAAGCAAATAAAAAAGCACCATCACGTCGGTCGGAACAGTAGTTTCGGCGAAATGTGTGGACAAACATACATACACACAAACAAACATACATACATCTATCTATACACCTATAAAATTTTGTATATTTGCTTCGAAGCCCTTATATATCATATTGTGTTAATATCTTGCAGTTCTAATAATATTATATACATACGTGTCGAATTGATAACCTCCTTTTTTTTGAAGTCGGTAAATTAAAACTATATCTCCCGCTATACTGCCCTCGGGAACCGATGTCAGTGATAGCCTGTTAAAATCGGAACGATCGGACCGGATGAACTATCGGAACTAGATAGTTCCGCGAACATGTTTCGTGAACATAGTTCCTTTATGGAAAGTAAATATTCCATGTTCAATCCACTCCAGGACCTAGTTTGCGCATCTCTGAACGTAGCTTGTCAGATAGCGCCATCTAATAATCACTCTTCGTACTAAAGCGCGCATATTAAAACTCATACAAGGAAATAATGTACTAGCTGAAAAGACCGTGAGAGCATGGATGACAAATAAAATAGATGAATTTGCTCCAGAGCTTTGACTTTTGAACAAAAACAACACAATTCACAAAGTACAAACTATAAGTAGGTATATAAATGCTACGATGCTATAAATAACGATCTGTCAATTTCATTGTCATTGAAATTTGACAGTATCCTTTTCTGTTTGAGCAATGGGGAAGATTTCTCGAAAGGAGGGTGCCACACGCATCGCCTATTTAAATTCAGTCTGAGGTTAGAATAAGCAATTTATTGTGATTTTTCTTTTATACCTAGTTTTTTTGCTTCTATTGTGTTCGCATCTTATCTGTGCAATGTATTGTACCCGGATGTTAGACCAGCTGAAGAAAGAAATGAGAAGGAGCGGTGCATCCTGCGGATGTCCTGACTAACTAATGGATCAACACACAGCCTAAACCACTGATCGTGGAAACGTAAAATTTGGTAAACGTATCCCTTATATAATGTAGGTATCGGATAAAAAAGGATTTATCGAAATTCGTCCCCTAAGGGTAAAATAAAGAATTAAAGATTGTATGAAACTCTGTCATTCTTAATGTGAAATACACAGAAAGTAGTATTAAGCTGATAAAAAATAAGAAATATATTTATTTGACTTTTTTTAGAAATCCATCTCATAAAAGGGAAAAAGGGAGTAATGAAGTTTATATAGACAAAGAATTATTTATCATTAATTAATTATTATAAATATATTTATTATATAGCATTACAGCTCTTCAATACAATTAAATAAATGTGTTTTATCATTTTTCGAAATTCAATCCCTTACCTATGTAAAATGGAGGATTGAAGATTGTATAAAATTCTATCATTAATATGTTAAAAGGTACAAAAAATACAAAAAAATATTCAGCTGTAGACGATTTAAGAGTTTTAAAATCATTTTCTTGAAAATGATCTCCAGATAGCTTTAAATATAAAGACTGTAATTTCACTCATTTTGGTCGTGTTATTGCTTTAGCCCACAATTTCTTCAGTTTTTATAAATGATATATATTTTCTATGCATCCTGGCACTGCACAATTTGTCATTTTAATTACTTTTTAAATAAAATAAAAAAAAAACCATTCACGCTATAGAGCTTTACAATGTACTGAGGGCCATAGTGATCGTGACATCTGGCGGGAAACACAGACAAAACTCTTCCCTATTTATAGATTTTCTGGCGACTTTTGATATTTCACATTGAGCAAAGAACATAATAATAAGCGAGTGCCAATTGGCGGGTAAGTTACCTGGTAAGCGGGTAATTTTAGGCGATTTTTGATGGCGGGTAATGTCGACAGGTTTTTGATTTAATAATTTAAAACAGTTTAATTGAGAACTGATTCCAATAACTTATTAGTAAAAAAAAACTATTTTCAGATATTCTGCTTATGGTTGGCGCCGCAGGATAAACCGGGTATTTTGAGGTTTATTGGTCTGGTAAATCATTAATCAACGATTATTACCTGGCAGCCCTGTAACTTGTAAGCGACACGCAGTTGGCAAGTGGCAACACTGTGAGGATTGTGCTTCACTTTCGGAGACAAAAGAAAACACTGAACACTGTGTTTTCAGTAATTATTGATTAATATCGCTTGTGTGCTCTAATTAACAAAACAAATTTCGTTTCACCATGGATAACATGAAACAATTCAACGCAATGGGTTCGGATGATAACAATTGGAGAACACAAAGTGTAAGACAGACCGTAGTGTCGAAGATGTACGTATTTCAAGATAATATTTCAATTGAACTTGAAAAACAATATTAAAAACATAAACTATCCAAAAAAAACACCTTTCACTTGTTTTGTTTTTGTTTCACTTTTAAAATAATTTATTATTAGATGATATGTGCTTGAAAACAATCAAAATGGTTAATTAAATAATTATATTTTTATAATTTTAGTGAGGAAGTGATTCAAAGGTCAGGCATGCAAGTAGCTCGCAACAGTAGTGAAATGGAGAACCATGTATTCATGAAGGCAAAGACCAGAGAAGAATATATGAATATGGTTGCAAAATTAATATTACATGTAAGAGAAATGTGTAAGTATCAATATTACATCGTAAACCACATTTATAAAAAGCTTGATTAGTTTATTTATTTTTTAATATCTTTATATATTTGTTCTAGCACAACCAAAACAAAATCAAGGAGCACCAAACATGCAACAAAACCAAAATCAACCAGGACCTAACTCTCAAGTACAAAATCAACCTGGACAACCACAACAAGGACCTAGTAACCAACCTGGTATGGCAACTGACCCTATAAATGCATTACAAAACATGGCATCTCAGGGTACAAGAAACCAAATGATGAATATGGGCCCAGGGCAGATGCAGCAAGGAGTCTTAGGTCCTAACCCTGGCATGGGTGGAATGCAAGGTCAAATGAATCAACAAGGCCCAATTGTATCTCAAGGTCAAGCTCAAACAGCCACAAATTTGCTTCAAACCCTGAATCAGCGCCCACAAATAAACATGCAATTGCAAAATAAGCTTGGTGGTTCTATTGGGATGGTGCCAAACCAAGGTCAGATGGGTTCAAACATGGTTAGTGGTATGGGTATGGGCAATATGGTCAGTCAGCTACAGAACCAATTGTCAGCTCCTGGAATTCAGATGATACCAACAATGTCCATGTCAAACACCATGCAAGTTCCCATGACAGGAGCCAATACTATGGTAGGACAGATGCAGTGTAATCAAGGTGTTGGTGGAATGGGAGGACAAATGGCACCAAATAATATGCAAGGGCAGATGCCTAATCAAATGGGTAAGTTATGTTTGTTATTGGATCATAACAAAGCTTCTAGAAATATCTTTAGAATAACATTTTATTCAGTGAAGAAAACCTAACTTAATAATATTATAAATGCTATTGAGCTTATTAGTTTGTCAGTATGCCCTTTATATCTTTCATATTTCTTTATCTAGCACCAGATAGCATGTTATATATATACTTGTGGAGTGTTTTTTTTTTAACTCCAGATTAGAATTTGTTGCTTATAAAAAAACATTCTATTCAACATTTTGAGGCCCACTGATTTTTAAAATAAATAATTATTTAAAAATTTTGGCTTGAATGATTTTTTTTTTCATGTGATCATCTTTGAAAGCATTCCAGAATTGACGAATGTAGTCATTTTCTACCCAACTTTCACTGTAATACAAAAAAAGTTACATGTTATTTTTTTACCTTTTTTTAAAATGGCAATAACGTAATATTACAGTGAAAGTTGGGTAGAAAATAACTATATTTCAATCCTTGAATGCGTTCAAAGATGATTAGTCAAAAAAAATATCCATTCAAACGAAAATATTAAATTAATTATTTTAATAATTAGTGGGCCACCTCAAAATGTTGAGTAATTTTTTTATTTCAAAAATTTTGTTTTTTTAGGAGCTACTAATTCTACATTCAAGCTAAGAAAAAAAAGTTTTTTTCTTACTCCACCCAAATACTTATTATTATTATAAAAAGTTAATATTTTATTAATGTACTAAACAATTCAAATTTGTCTACTCATAGACCATAAAAATATTCGTTCATTCACAAACTGTATTTGCATTTTCACTGGTTGTTTCCAGTTGGTAATATGGGGAATAACCAGTTAGTAAACATCAATATGCTCCAACAAATGCACCGGGGCAATAAGGAGGTTGTGATGGGTGCAGGGTATGCCCAACGACCAACGCACAATCAGTTCTTAAGGCAGAGCCCTTCGCCATCTGCCTCGTCACCTAACATGCCTGGTCCGAGCCCTGTCTCAATGGGTGAGTAACTAATCCTATATGAATTAAATTCTTCTCGGTAATAACGCAAAGATATACATATAATTATTAATTGTATATAATAAATATAGTTAATAAAAAATAGGTAGTCATGTACTGCCGACAGAAGTGACAACTTTGGAATAAGTGTATTTTTTTAAGTTTTAAATAAATTATAGTCTGAATAATTGAAATTTCATAATATGTAAATTGAAATTATTATTAGTCTGGGTTTTTACATTTTGATATAGTTTATGTATTAATCAAAACATATGACGCTGCACGTCGCCAGTTTGTCCCGGACTGCGTCACATCACATCTCACACGTATCGTGGTTACGCTTTTGTCGTTGACGAAGTTTTGTCCATATTAAAGAAATTTTCACTTCAAAAAACTATAATTATAAAGACTTAATATATAATTATAAAGACTTTTGTTTAACTGTTATTTGTTACTACTACAAATCTGTGGGAAAAAGTAGGTATATAGTATATAAGATTAGTTTTGTAAAAAGCTGTAAAAAGATGTAAACTATACTAATATTATAAAGAGGTAAAGTTTGTGAGTTTGTGACGTTGTAGGAAGTAATCTTTGGATCTACTGAACTGATTTAGATGGAATTTGGTAAGGAGATAGTTTGAAACCCTGGGAAGGACATAGGATAGTTTTTATCCCGGAAATCATACCTTAAGAGGGTGAGAATGGGGATGAAAGTTGCATGAGGAATCAACCTAGGTAAGAACCCGAGCGAAGCGCGGGTGAGTCGCTAGTAACTAAAATATTATTGATTTTAAACATTTAATGACAGTTGTCATGACTTAGTGATGTTATTATGATTTTTCCAGGAGGTGGAGTTCTCAGCGGTGCTTTATCCTCACCGATGTCAGGGCTCGGAGGCTTAGGGGCCTGTTCTGGGGGTAGTCCTTCGCCCTCCACAAGCCATCATCTTGGTCACCATCCACAACAGCAACGGTAAGTTCGCACAATGCACAAACACTATGGTATAACTATGTGCAGTTGATAATGATGTAAAAAAAATAAAAGTAATCTAGCAACTTAATGTGTGCTTAATAGCTTAATATGTCCGATACATAATCAAGCTTTTTCTTTCCCATGAAGAAGAAACAAACACCAGTATTGGTTGATTCCCATACAAACTTTGATCCCCATTTTCATCTTCTTAAGGGATGATTTCTGGTATAAAAAGTATCCTATGTCCTCCCCAGGGTCTCAAACTATCTTCTTACCAAATTTCATCTAAATCTGTTCAGTAGATCCAAAGATTACCCCCTACAACGTCACAAACTCACAAACTTTACCTCTTTATAATATTAGTATAGATAATATGAGACTAACAATCTATACTACATTCCAGTGTCAACATGGGTATGGTCGCATCCCCTTCATCATCCCTCAACACCCCCGTGGGGGCCGGAGTGGCATCCCCTGGCGGAGAAGAAGCTGCCTACAGGGAGAAGGTTCGGCAACTCTCCAAATACATCGAACCACTACGAAGAATGGTTATGAGGATGGTCAGTGAAGGAGAAAGTGAGTAAACAAGTTAAATGCCCAACATATTTATTATTTATTTTTTTATGTGATGTGATTGACTTTCTTTTAGTTATTTCATTTTTGACAAAAACCACCTGTAAATATGTTTATGGGATATTTTTGCTAATGTTGAATCAATTATAAATAATATTTTAAATGAATTTATAGAATAAAATAATAACCATTTCCAAAGTGATTTGTGTGATTTTAAAGATATTGTATTTTTTTAAATTTAATAACAATTGAGTGATGCACATAAATATGTGAGTAATGCATACCAAATCATAAGAGGGGATATTTGTAATTTAAATTGAAATTGTCCAACAGTGATAGTGTGTACGGAGATATAAAGTGTTTTACTGTGGGACTGAGATAATCTCCCGTGGTAAAGAGTATCCTATGTCACTCTCCAGCCCTCCAACTATTTCCACACAATCATGCCAAAAGTCACTCTCTTTTGACTTGAAACAAGGACAAACAAACACTCACATTTATAATATTAAGTGTGGATTTAATAATAATAATATAAACATATATTTTCTTGTAAGATATTTGTGATATCTTTTGCAGACGTCGAAAAGCTAACAAAAATGAAGAATCTACTTGACATACTATCGAATCCAAATAAGAGAATGCCCCTGGAGACCCTGATCAAGTGCGAGGTGGTGCTAGAGAAGCTGGACTTCAAGCGGAGTGAGAGTGTCGGTCTTGGGTTACCTTCGTCTACTGCAGGCAAGGTAATTTAGTGAGGAACTTATATATAAACCAGGCAGTTTTAGTCCAGAGTAAAGCTGGTTCAAATCTCGGGTAACCTCTGATATTTTCATGTTCGAATCATTTCCAACGTAACTACAAACCTAGCAAGTGTTCAAAAAACATGCTGAGTCCTTCCACACTTGGCCAGCGTGGTGGACAATGGCCTGATCCCCCTCATATTGAACATATTGAAGGGAGGTCCATGGCCAGCAGTGGGACGTTCAAAAGGGCTAAATACAAGTTATAGTGATGATATATATTGGAGTAACTTATAAATAGCAGTAGCTATAGAAATGATGTATGTATGTATGTTGCAGGAACAAATCTGCAACCCGCTGCTTGAAGTGGTGAACATCTGCTTGCAATCACCGCTCGCCAACCACACGCTCAAACGCACATTCGGCTCCACGCTCGACGCTCTCAATGGCCCTGAGATCAAGTATGTATTCGGTCCCTTCAATCAAATCAAAATATACTTTATTCAAATAGACTTTTACAAGCACTTTTGAATCGTCAATTTTACATTTTTTGATTTAAATTAAATGTCAGTGTAGTCATAATACTTTCTTAGATTTACGCGAATGTTTGACATTATTAAATAAAACTATCTTTTCGGATTATTTCGCGGATTTAGGTGTAAGATGTCTCTAAGGTATTTATATAGTTGTTACAGACAGCCTACCCACAATTAACAAAATGAAAATTGCACCAATTACATTACAATGGTGCAATTTTCATTTTGTTAATTGTGGGTAGGCTGTCTGTAACAACTATATCTTTAAGACATGTAACACCTCAGTCTCTCCCGTGACCATGATTGCTGTAAAGCATTCGAAACGTCGGGAACCAAAAATCAAAATAAATCCGCGAAATAATCCGAAAAGATAGTTTTATTTAATAATGTCAGTGTATTCAGTCCGTGAGGAATCTACCACCGGCTCGGAAGGCAGTTCTGCTGAGAAGAGCCGGCGAGAAACTCGACAGCAGCTCTTTTAAAATAATGATTGTGTTAAAAAATAATAATACGAGGGGGATCATAGTCCACCACGCTGGAAAAGTGCGGGTTGGCGGACTAAACACGTCTTTCGAAGACTTGATAGGTTCTGAGATCAAGTACGTGCATGCTATTGTGGTCGTGGTGGTCTAGTGGCTAGCGTGTACGGCCGCAGATCCGGAGGTCTTGGGTTGGACAATAATCGAATTAAAATAAATATAAAGTACTAATATCCTACAGGAACCGCATATTTTTCCGGGATAAAAAGTAATTTGTGTGCCATTCCAGACTATAATCTATCTCTGTGCCAAATGTCATCCAGATCCGTTCAGCCGTTCTGGTGTGATTGAGTAACAAACATCGGTCCGGACTTTCGCATTCAAATCAAATCAAAATATTTTATTCAGCATTAACTTATTGCAATTTTGTACTGAACGTCATGAGTCTACTATCATTCATAATATTTGTGAAGTCATTTATAATATTTATGGGTATTATATATTTCAGGAATCTTCCAGCCCCACCTCAGAAAGTACAGAAACTAGAAGAGCCAGCTTTGGAAATACCAGATGTATTGCAGGGAGAGATCGCCAGGTTGGACTCTAGGTTCAAGGTAACTAAGAAATTGGTTCTTTTTTTCCTTTTTTTAACACATTTTTTTAAATTAAACAGTCATATCGTCAACAAAATCAATTATAATATATGGAAATAGACTTTACCGGTACTTTTATTTATTTGTTAAAAATCCTTCCTTGTATTTTTTATTATTATCAATAGTCAATTTTTAAATTTATTTTTAATTTAGTACTTAAGTTTATTTAATGTTAATATGAAGTCTACTCGGTCAATGTTATGGTGAAGTCATTTGAAAAATTTTGTGGAACACGTTCTCATTACACTGGTCTCATGATAGAGCCACAAATTAATTTTTACTATAGATTTTAACAGATTGATCAAGCGAAGTGTCTCTGCTTCAAGTTTGGCAAAATTTGCTTTCCTCTGTCAGTTTGTTGGTACTTCTCTGCATGTTGTACTTTACAACAGTTTTGGACGAAATTTAGTATACAGATTTTACGACTTTATAGATTTTTTTTGTTGTCGCGGTTTTTGATTTGAGTACCTTAGTTTTAAAGATCTTAGCATACAAAGGGACAGACAGACAGCGGGTGGCGTCTTCGTTTTATACTATGTAGTGAAGAAACTAACAAAGTTCGCTTCGAGCAGGTGTCGCTGGAGACGATGCAGCTGTCCGGCGGCACGTCGGCCATCTCGCTGACGGCGCAGCTGGACGACGTGCGGCTGCCGTGCGTGCCCGCCGTGCACGTGCGCGTGCCGCGCGACTACCCCGCCGCGCCGCCCGCGCGCACCGCGCCGCGCCCGCGCGCGCCCGCCGCCGCGCCCAGCGCCGGCGACAGCTTCCTGCTGCGGGTGGAGCGCGCCATGGACGCCAGGTGTGCCAGGTGAGCCGCTGTACTTTCTACTACTATAGAACGCCAAGGCAGAAAGGCAATAGTAGCTCAGTGGTAACGCGCTCGCTTGAGACACCGAGTGGAGCGGGTTCTTATATTGCGGGTACAAATCATTTCTTACATGATTACATTGTGAGGAAACCTGCATGTTTGGCAGAACCTAATAAGTTTTCAAAAGATCTGTTTGTTTCTAAGCACTTGCTACATTTTGCAAATCGGTCCACCTTGCCGCAGGGCATCCTCTATGTTTGCCTAAGCGTGGTCTTCACTATAGCCGGTATATGATCTACAATTATAAATATGTAATTAGATTACGATTTTTTTGTTGTTACTATTACGGTTTTCAGATTTTTCTCTTTGCTTCTTACAAAATTTCATTATCCTAAATCTACAATATCCCGATTCCCTTGCGAGTATCAAAATATGGGACATAAACGCCCATATCTTATGAGTGCGTCGACTTAGAAGATTGATTATTTAGAGCTCCAAGAGATTGCAAACCTGAGCATTTGATATTAATTTCAACTTGATGCTTCACGCGTTTCTGAGAAAAAGGTTCTTGACAGACAGATGGACGGACAACGAAGTGATCCTATATAAGGGTTTCTTTTTCCTTTACTATATAAGGGTTTTTTTATATAATTTATTTCCACAGACTGCCAAAAAGCTGTTCAGTGGGCCAGTTGCTAGACGCGTGGGAGATGAGCGTGCGCCAGGCCTGCGCGCCGAGCCCCGTCGCATACACGCCCGTGCCACCCCTCGGACTATAAATATAAGTTATATTAAAAAGATTTTGTTATTTTAAATAACTTGGTAATATATTAAACTAGCGGCTGACCCTAGCTTCGCTCGGGTTCGTTCCTAGATATGTTTTAAAGGTTAGTATGGAATACATAGACTATAATATATTATACGAGTAGGTATATGTATAGGGTAGAGCGAAAAAGATATTTTCTTTTTTTGCGTAAGTTGAGTAGAACATGGCTGACTATATTCGTCAATTCTTGAATGTTTTTAATGATGATCACGCGAAAAAAAAAATCATTCAAACCAAAAATTTAAATTATTTATTTATTTTAAAAATCAGTTGGCCACCTCAAAATGTTGAGTATTTTTTTTTCATTTCTTTTTATTAGCTACAAATTCCATCCCCAGCTATAAAAAATGAAACCATTTTTTTTTCGCTTCACCCTAGAATATACAATATATATAGGTATGATGAGTTGTTGTGGGTTGTAGTATGTTTTCCCGTGGGAATGAGATAATCTTCCCGGGTAAAGTAGCCTATGTCACTCTCCAGCCCCCCAACTATCTCCACACCAATCACGCCAATCTGTCGCTCTGTGACGCGACACACGTGACAGAAAGAAAGACAAACAAACACACTTTCACATTTATAATATTAGTAAGTATGGATGTCTTGTTGGTGTAGTGGCTAGCATGTACGGCTCGGAGGTCCTAGATTCGAGTCCTGAGTCGAGCCAACTATATTTATTGTTTTTTTTTGTTAAAAACATCTCAGTTATAAGGCCAGGGAGATTATTGTTATATTTTTTTTTGTATGTGTTTGTGTAAAGAATACTCGGTTTTGATTTTCAAAATGCTTGGTTGCCTCTTGGACTACATACGAGTTTATAATTAAAGGTAAGACAATATGTTTTTTTTATTACTTTATTGTGTTAGTAATTATTTTTCTATGAGATGTTTTTACTCATTAGTAATATAATTAGATTTTAAGTAATTTATAAGTAAAGATGGTTCCACACTATATTATTGTGAAAATTTGTATAAAATCTCTTGCAAATGTAAGAAGCAATAAATTTTTGTAGTGTAATTTTAACATACGTTTATTGTATATACGGATTGATCTAAATAAAAATTTCGATTTATATTTTCGTTATAATTGTAATTGAAGCAACGAAAAAATTTTAAATAATAAAATTAAATATAGATATTTATTGATTAGGGCACGTTCGTAAAATATGTCACACAAAATTTTATCTTTTTAGATCCCCTCTTCCTACCGTAATCGTTATCTTAGAATCCCAAGAAAGGGTATGAACGTATTTTACAAGCGACCCCCTTAAGAAACATTGTGGACATCACTATTGAAATAAAAAAATAATTTAATACTTTCTTAGATTTACTCGAATATTTGACATTTTAAATAAAACAATATTTTCGGATTTTTTCGCTGATTAATTTTGATTCCCTGGTTTAGTGATTTGGTTGGGTAAGCAAAAAAAAAAAATCGCGAAAAAATCCGAAATGATAGTTTTATTTAAAAAACAATTTGTTTTCAGATGTGATATTTGTCTGTGATAAGTTAGCGAAATGATGACAAAGCAATTATTGTTAGTTATTTAATTTCATAATAAATATAACTTATTGAATTATCTGATTTTAAGGGTCCTTATATACTGCCTTAATAGTAGAGCTATTGATATATAATAACAAAAACTAACAAATATCTCTTCAAAAATTGGCGTCGACTATATATACGCATAGAATAAAATTTAAAAATCGTAACTTCTAATTGTCTAAACACGAATTCGACCTTACGCACACCACATAAAGTACTTTTTTAAACGAAACAACGTGTCTGTAAATTTTGTTATTCAAAAAGCAATGAATGAAAGGCTAAACTAAACTAAACTACACTTAAAGCTTATCTTGGTTTTTGTATGTAAGAGCCCTTTTTACCAGCTAATATGATAACTTTGTATGATGGACAGACAAATGTTACATATAAGTTTATATATAGATATGTGTATAAGTTAGGGACAAACATGATTTTGTTTTGAATGCGATGATAATATTTTTTTTAAATTTCGTCATTAAATCGTAATAGATTATATATTATTTTTGTACAATTTTGTGAATCAAATTTATAAACTATAAAGAATTCTGAAAAGCCAACTTTTTATATTTTTCAATATTTATAATACGTAAATTATTGTTAATAAATTTATTGTATTCCAATTGTAAGTTTTATTTATTTATTATTAATATTTTTTCAACTCTACCTATTAAATATAAATATTTTAGATATGAGATACAGCCCATTGACAGACGGACGGACGGACAGCGAAGGTTTAGTAATAGGCTTCCGTTGGCACCCTTCACGTCAATGCATCTGTTTATAGTAAGTAGCGCCATTATGAAATCTGTTAGTATATAGTACGATAGTGTAAATAAAACCAAAATATTTATTTAATTACATTTATTATAACAATAAATGAAGGACAATAATACATTATAATACCTAGTATTTTAGGACAACGGGAGTATAGTATTCACTTTTTGTCCGACTTCAAAAGGGAGGGGTACTTCATACGGTTGTATGCTTTTTTGTATGTAACATACAAGCAATATCTTCACCAAATTACTATTTTTAAATGAATATTCCAAATATAACTACTTACTGATTTAAAAGTGATTTTGTAGTCGGCTTACCTTTTTCTTTAAAAATTAAATAAATTGTGTTATATGCTCTGCTTGATTATGTCATTTTTTAAAGATTTAAGCACAGATAATATATAAAACATTTAAAATTACGCGTTAAATAACTAACGTTTCTCATACACTGTAACATACATGATTTTCTTGTTCAAAATATACCTAAGCATTAAAACCGTAAACATAGTATAAGCCCCTGATGGTACTGGTTCTTAAATCAGGGAGCTCTCTTTGCTCATATCTCTAAAACTATTAATAATCTGCTAAAGGTCAAAGGGAGAACCGTGCGGAAGAAGGATAAAGGTTGAAGGTCAGAAGACTGTTTGGGCTGATGTCAAAGGACAAAGGTCAAGTAGAGAACTGGTAGGGCAGAGGTCAAGAAGAAAGTTCAGAAGCAGAGTTGTTTAGTGGTAAGGCAGAGCACAAAGGTCAGAGGGAGAACTGGTAGGGCTGGTGGCGCGTGCAGGGCGCGTCGCGGCGCGTGCTGCCGCAGCACGACCAGTGGCGCGCGCCCGGCCAGCCCGCGTGCCCGTGCCCGCAGCCTGCGCCACCGGACATATATATGTACATTTATATATAGGTATATTTTATTACTTTGATATTTATTTAGGCGGAATTTGTCTATGTATTTTTACACTTCAATTTAATAGCAGTATGAGTACTCAATTAATGAGTGAACAAAAAAAATCAAATAGACTAAATTTTTTTGATTTTGACATTCATTTTGGCTGGCTCTTATAACTATATATATATATATATATATATATATATATATATATATATATATATATATATATATATATAATATCAATTGGCCCAAATGGCATTACTAGAAATTACTAAAGCAAAGAATGGAATCTACTGAATTATAATTGTTTAGAGAATTAAAAATTAAATTGAATTGTAATTCTTTAAAGAATCAACAATTGAATTGAATTAAAATTAATGAAAATATTCGATGAACTGACCCTTGTACCCGTGTCCCATGGGCGCGGCGCAGGCGCAGCGCGCGTCGCGGCGGCCGCCCGACGAGCAGAAGGCGCAGCAGTGGAAGGTGCCGGAGTGCGCGCGCGACACCCGCGCGAAGCACGAGAACGGGCTGCCCTGCGCGCACACACACACACTTCACTTCTCTACTTCGATCACTTGCATTTTTTTTATATATTGGGACATTAACACACAGCACCATCTAGTTCCATGGTAAGCTACGAGGCTTGTGTTATGGATACCAGATAGTCGATACACTACACATATATAACTTTACTAATACATTATAAATATTGATGTGAATTAATTTTTCTTTTATGAGATCTTATGACTTTATGAGACTTGTATCTTTTTAACATCGTGACCAGCCCTTTTTAACATCCACTGCTAAGTATCTGCCTGTAATGTGGAGTGTCGGTTCATAGTCGACGCTGGTCAAGTACAAATTGAGAGACTTCACATATCTTTCAAAAACTTGCTTTTAAAACTTGCAGGTTTGCTCACAATATTTCAGAATTAATTTTATAATAATGTTTCAACTAACCAATTTTTGTTAAGGTGACTAATTTCATTGATACTAGTTCTGCACAAGAGACAACATTTTGTTAATATCACGAATCACACTCTTTACTCTTAATTTAAACCTGCGATTAACAGAGATACATAGAGAGAAATCGAGAGAATAGATGATAAAGATACCGCTGATAGAGAGAGAAAGAGAGGGGGAGAGAGAGAGAGAGACAGTAAGAGATAAAGCTACTAATAAAGTGCAAAATACAATGAGTACCTTAATAGGCACGTTGTCGACGGTGACGGCGAGCAGGTAGTGCCCGGGGCTGGCGGGCGCCAGCGCCAGCGCGTAGCGGCCGTCGCGCGGCGCCGCGCACACCGCCGCCGGCCGCGCGCTGCTGTCGCGCCGGCGGAAGTACCCCGCCACCTGTCGTTTCCCCATACAAACTTTCATCCCCATCTTCACCCCCTTAAGGGATGATTCCCGGAATAAAAACTATCCTATGTCCTTACCAGGATCTCAAACTATCTTCTTACCAAATTTCATCTAAATCGGTTTAGTAGTTTCGGAGCTTATTCGGTACAAACAAACAAAAAATCTTTCTTCTTTAGAATACATATAAGTATAGATAACGGTCAGTCCACACGATAATTTTGTACCGTTCTCTACACGTATTCTGCGCTGCTGCCTCCACCACCACTCGCGTGTAAAACATAAAGGCTAGTGTACACGATGACTTGGTGGTGATGATTTTTTCTGTACTTACCTATGTATTCTGCGCCGATAAATTTAAAAAAACATAAAATTACCACCACAATGTATAATCATATACTTACATAGTATCATAAATGTACGCCGTCGAAAATACAGAATGCACACGTTCGTATCGTATGTAAAAGCTTGTCAAACGATGGTCCATAACACGTTAAAATGTCGTTCGTGTGCATGGGCCCTAATATTTGGACACAATCAATCAATTGACATGCTTTTTATGAACAATCGTAACAAATTGGGTGTTTTAATTAACTACCTATTGTATTTATTTAAAATGTCAAATATTCGCGTAAATCTAAAAAAGTATCACTAAAAGTACGAGTATACTAAATCTCATGCAAATACATCCAACCTTTTTGGCGCGAAGTGATAACAAACATACACATGCTATACTAGTGTTATACTAATATTATATAAATTATACTAGCGGACCCGACAGACGTTGTCCTGTCTACACGTCTTTAATTTGAAAATTTCAAACTTTTTTAATAATTTTTTTGATGAAAATTATTATTCAAATTGTGAATCTAAACCATTCCCAGATCCCCTTGAACACACACAAAAAATTTCATCAAATTCGTTCCAGTCGTTTGAGAGAAGTTCAGTGACATACACACTCACAGAAGAATTATATATATAAAGATTTATCAACTGCCCCGATGGTTTATTGGTTAATATATATGGCTGCAGATACTGAGGTCCTGGGTTCGAGTCCCAGATCGGGCTATGTTTAGTTTACTGAGATTTTCTTTTAAAATATTCTCAGTAACAGTCCGATGTTGGGAAGTTGGTGGTATGTTATCGGCACATATCGCGTCGCTCCCGGAATGGTCGTCCCATCGGAGTAGAAGAGTACAGGAACAAAGATTGTACTGGTGTCTGTGCGTACATTTGTGCCCTATAATATCTCCTGCTCATCTGGCTAGTCTCCATTTGATTGGCCTAAATCAATCAGAAGGACATTATTATTATATTATTTATGCCTACAATAATTTAGTAACTTACATTTTCTTCACCACACCATATATGCTCGCCGTTACTATCTCTTAGTTCCAATATAGCTGTGTGTGGAACGTCCACTTGGAGATCTTGTAGTCCTGAAATATAAAATAATTAAATAATAATATTTTTTTTATTCTTCGCCCGCGTTCAGATGACCTAAAACCAAATTCTTAGGTTTTACATATTAGTATACTCCTAAATTGCAGTTTTTGTGTTTTTATCAGAAATGAGATATTTTCCCTCGGCAAAAAGTATCCTATATGTTGCCTTCGATAACCATCTATCACCATTCAAATTTCATCAAAATCCATCCAGTAGTTTTTCTGTGATGCGGTAACAGACAGACAGACAAAAATTCTAAAAACTATAGATTCGGCCTCAGTATCGATAATAATGTCTATTTCAATAAGATTTTTCAAAAAATATTTAATGTACAGATTCGGCTTAGTTACAATTTTATTATAATGTATAGATATCGCATAGGGATTGTGAAACCTTCAGTGGTGAGCACGCAGAAGCGCGGGTCGGGCGCGGCGGTGTAGAGGCGGCCCACGAGGCGGCCGGCGGGCGCCGCGGCCGCGAAGCGCAGCGCCGCCCCCGCCGCCCCCGCCGCCCCCGCCGCCGGCAGCTCCGACACGCGCTCCAGCCGGCGCAGCACCGCGCCGTGCAGGGACAGGATCTCGTCCGTTTTGCCTTGCGACAGCAACTGTGCCACAGCATCAATTTTGTATTTAAGTATCTGAGTAGTTAGTTTTGCTGTGCTCGAGCTCGTTCCCGACGTGCCTATACATATTATTATTAAACTAAATGGTTCATATTCTATGTGCGTGCTAATGCTAAACATTAGAATCTGCCCAGTCGTTTCGATATGAAGAAGTAACACACACAAGTGAAGCCTGCATATAGCCTTTTATTTTTAAAGTTGAGTCTTAAGCCTAAGTCAATGGAGAGTACCTCCTCAGTAAACTTGACGGCCTCCACAGCCTCGCGGGCCCTCTGGTCCAGCAGGCGGGCCTGGCCGTCGACGCGGCGCCTGTGGGCCGCCCGCGCGCGCACCGCCGCGCCGCACAGCTCGCGGCCGTGCGCCTCCACCGCGCGCCGGTACTCCTCCGCCCAGCTCCTGATCTCATTCTCTATACGAGAGGCTTGAGCCTATGATTCATTTTTGTTAGTGTTTACAATTTTTTTGAATGGAAATTTTATAATATGTATGTAATTAGAGTGTGTATATGTATTGTATATGTTTATATATTGTACTAGTGACTCACCCTCGCTCCGCTCGGGTTCGTCTCGACACGTTTTGACGTTTAGTAGGTATAAATTTCTCAGAGATGAGATATTTTCTCGAAGTAAAAAGTATGCTATTATTATGTTGACCCGGATAACCAGCTAATAATTAAATTAATAATTTCATCAAAATTTGTCCAGTGGTTTTCCCATGATCCGTTTCCAAACAGTCAGAAATTCTAAAAACTATAGATTCGACCTTTGTATCGATAATAATGACTATTTCAATAAAACTTTCCAAAAAAAATTTATGTACAGATTTGACTCAGTTAAAAATTTTATTATATGAGTAGATTTATTTATACTTTAACTATTATTGTCTATTTGCATTTTCTCTTTCTGCCCCTCTAACACTATTTCCTACATTTGTACATGGGTTGACTGGAAGAGGTCTCGTAAAGTGAACAAACAGACAGGCAGACAGACCACTAGAGGGATTTTAATGAAATTTGATATGGTGACAGCTGGTTATCCGGGTCAACATATAGAATATTTTTAACCGCGAGAAAATATCTCATTTTTGAAAAAAATACAAAAACTGCAATGTAAGAGTATACATACTAATATGTAAAACATAAGAATTTGGTTTTTGGTCATCTGAACGCGGGCGGAGCCGCGGGCAATGCTAGTTTATTATAAAAAATTAATAATATAAGGATTATCGGCGCAATTTTTTTTTCTTGAAAATTATTTTATAATGTTTTGTGAAATTATTCCTACTAATAAAATATATCCTCATAAATATATATACCTACCTCAAAAAATTTCTATACATTTTACTACTAAGATACTTAGAGTATTTAATAACTCAAAATCAAAACAAATCCTTGAAAAAATCTCAATAAAAAATTAGTTTTAATAGAAAAATCATATATTCGCGTTAATATATAAAGAAGAGAATTAAATCGGTATAAATAAACTTACATCAACTTCAGCAGCGTGCACCTCAAGGATCCTGTTGACGCGTTCCACGTTCTCTGGCACGTGCTTCGCGCGCTCGCACGCGTCCCGCAGCGCGCCCGCGCGCTCGCCCGCCGCGCGCGCCGCGCTCGCCACCGCGTGCCCCGCGTGAGAGATCAGGCAGCAATCTCTGCATATCACCTACGATAAATAAGCCACCATCTAGTTCCATGGTAAGCTACGAGGCATGTGTTATGGATACTAGATAGTTGATACACTACATACATATAACTTTAAATATATACATATTATAAATATAAACACCCATGACGAAGTACAATCGTTAGTGCTCATCACACAAATTGTGTCCCCAGCGGGACTCGAACCCACGACCGCTGGCACAGCAAGTAGGGTCACTACAAACTGAGCCAAACGTGTCGTCGATGTTATTATCGGACTCTTTATTTGGACTACTATGTACATAAACTAGCGACTCACTCTCGCTTCGCTCGGATTCGTAACTAGGTACTTTTAAACGGTTAGTATGGAATAGATAGACTATATTATATTATATAATATACACATAAGTACGTTGTGGGCCGTATTCTAACATGTTTTCCCGTGGAAATGAGATAACCAAAAGCGGTAAAAGTAGCCTATGTCACTCTCCAGCCCTCTATATTTCCACACAAATCACACCAACATCACTCTGTTTCGACGTGAAAGAAGGACTAACAAACAAACACACTTTCACATTTATAATATTAGTAAGTATGGGATGGGAAAGTTAAAAAATTGTAGGTAAGCAACAAACTTATCATACCAAATTTCATAAAAATCTGTCCAGTTAAAAATTCTTAAACTATAGATTCGGCCTCTGCAATCTGTATCGATAATGATGACTATTTCAATAAGATTTTCCAAAAAATATTTAATGTACAGATTCGACTCAGATATAATTTTATTATATGGATATATAAAAAAAAGAAAATTTAAAATTAAGATAAAAATGTCTAACCTGTTGACAAGTAGCGCAATAAACGCTAAGCTCAACTTTCGGATGCTGTCCACAGAATCGCAGTATTGGTTCCAAAGGCTGCAAGAGATGGGTCGCGTGGCCTTTCTGACTCGTGTGTGAGTCTCCGCAAGTAGAACACACGCTTACTAAACATTGACTGCAACGACTTTCTGCCTGTTGAAGTTTAATATTCTCATAATAACGTCCTTAGATTTACCAAAACACAATATAAACGCGAAATTTAAATTTAGTTTTTTATTATAACCCATAAGCAGAGGTAGCCCATCGGCAAAATCGTTCAAATCCTGGCCCAGCATCAAATCACTTAACATTTTAAACTGGAAATCTCACATTCAACAAGATTCACGTTAAAGTAAAACATCGTGAGAAAACCTTTTACTGCAACAAGTATAAAATATTCAATTCCAATATTGTAAAATGATATTTTTAAAAGGGCGACTTTTGAGTTTTTCGAAGGGTGTTTTTAGAAGCTATGATTGCATCGGAACAACGCGATTAGGCATAGAACGGGTTTTACTTTTTTGAACCTACCTATACAGGGTCATTTTTAATTTACTGAAAACCTTTTGGGAATACACTATTTTTATTTACAACATAACAACAACATCTGTAAGAAAAAAAAATAATATATCTTAAATTTTACAAAAATAAAAATATTTTTATTGCACCTTCTCAACAGTAATAGTCCAGCATTAGCAAAAGAAAGTGCGTGTCCGGTGGAGGGGGAGGGGTGGAGGGGTGTAGAAAGCCGCGCTTACTTTAAACTTGACCAGATGCTAGAACTTTAAAGTTTAGGAGGTGAAAAATTTTTTTTTATTTTTGTATGAAAATAAAAATTTAAGAAATATTATTTTTTCTTATTACAGATTTTTTTGTTATGATGTAGGTAAATAGTATATTCCCAAAAGGTTTTCCGTAAATTAAAAATGACCTTGTATATAAATATACCTACTAAATAAAAGTTCCATTTTCTCTAAATGGTAAGAAACATTTACTTGATATATTATAACTTATTCTCAAAATAAACATATAATTCCAGTAACATTCAATGTGGCGTGACATAGTAAATGAGATTTTTCTGAAATCGCTTGTGGTTCGGAAAGCAATAAGTTGCGCATGAGTTGCACTCACGTGGGGTGGTATTTTGATCTCGTTTTCTATCACTCACATTGTTTTCTTTATAAATAGAATAAAAAGTATAAATAACACATTAGTTTTTCACTTCAGCTAGCAATTTACACTAATATAATATAGAGGTAAAGTTTGTAAGTTTGTATGTAGGGGATAAATGGTAACCTCAGAAAGTACCGATCCGATTATGAAAATTATTTTACTAGTCGGATGCTACATTAATGTTCTCCTAGCCGACTCCGGCCACGGCGGCCAATCTCATTGAGACTAGCCAACTGCGCAGGAGATATTATAGTGCCGGGGCGCCGTAGTAGTTATGCGCAAGCGATCCTGCGGCGTCCCATTAAGGCGGAGGGGAGGGGAATGTCGGGTTTTAGTGGGTAGTACCGGCTCTTCTAGCCGGTGAGCCCCACATCACCACCTGGGGGATCAGGTGGTATGCGTAAATGCATTTCCCGACATTAAAAAAAAAAAAAAAGGAGATATTATAGTGCTCAAGTGTACGCGCAGACACAACGTGCACTCTCTATTCCTGTCACTCTCATACTCCGGTGGGACGACTGCTCGACTCGACCGGTGAGAGTTAAGGCGCAGGACTGGTGCAGGTTGTTCAGTTTATTGAAACAATTTATTAAATAAACCATTTTCAAATGTAGACATACCTTATTATCAGTACAGCACAGATCACATAACACGGAGTTTCCACCCTCTTTGGTGGTCATCTTCCGCAATAGCACATAATTGAGTGGCAGAGCAGATATGCCTCCCAGAGGTAATGGAGTCTCCGAGCCGCATATCGGACAAATAACAAAATGGAAGCTTCTACCTGAAATCTAAAAACTTAATTAATAAAAACAGTAGGTACTTAATAGTCCCACGGTTATGTAAGATTCTAATTTCTTATAGCATAGACGTCGATATATTTGCTGATTCCTTAGCCAATTTCCGCAAAACCATTTGCACCAAATTGCTAAATAAATGCATTGATAGTCTTAAATAATGTTATAATTGCTAAATTAATGTAACTGTGTATCTGCTCATTGATTAATTTAAAAAAAACTATTTACTTCTAAAATATATCTATTTTGCATAATATTTTAAGAAACTTTATTTCTGTGCATGCTGTGTTTATTTGTAAGTAATTACTACATTTAATTCCTAGTTTTTAGTTCTATTTTTTTTATATTATGTGTATTAGTGTAAGTGATTGTAAATAAACCAAATAAATAAATAAAATATTCTTTATGTGTGATGAAAATGAATGATACCAATTACTATACTCTCTTGTAGGTGTAATGGCTAGATTATATAGCCTTGAAGATCTCATGGGCGCCATGGCGCATAGGAGTAGTATTATATTGTAGTAGTAGTAGGAGGAGCATATCATACCTTTTAAAAAGTTTTCGCGAAAAGAATACAATATTCTCCCTCAAATACCTACACCTCCCCCCCCCTCCCCCACTTCCCTGCCGGAGCATTTCCCAACATTAAAAAAGAAAATAGACTATTTCGCTAAGGCAGGGAAGGTTTCGTTAAGTTTTAGCGACCATGTTGAGGGTTCTATAGCATGAAATATGTTGTTCTTAATTCCTACGTTTTGTGCTTATGTAATATTTTTCTGTTTTACCTTTCTTGTCACAATGGCATATTTGTGGATCTTTTCCAGGCTTGTGTCTGAATTAGATTGACGGACGTCGCTCTCGTACCCAGAGCCTGCAGAACCCCCGCCCGACGCCGGCCCCGATGTACGAGAATTATTTGCAATGGCACCTGATACAATAACATGTATTTATGATTGTAAGCATCTAAAGGATATATAAATAAACTTTGGATAAAAATAATAATTTTAAAATACATGTTTGTGTCACACCACAGCGTATTTACTCAAAATCACTACATTTTTATAAGTCGAAATGTGGGTCTTTTTAACATAGTGCGATGGATATTAAAGAGCTAGGCGTTGATTTTTTTTATTTTTAAGTTTTCAAAATCTTATGTAAGAAGGGGAAGGGGGAGTCCGAGAAATCTTATGTGCTAATGGGGGTAGAGAGAGTCATAAATGGCAAAAATTGTCTTATCCATATTTGTTTTTTTATAATGCCATTATATGACATGTATAGTGTATAGGTAGATAGCTAGGATAATTAGTTTTTGTTTATTATTTTATATAATATAACTAAGTTTTTAAATTCAAGTTAATAATTCGCTTCAGTGTTGCTATGTTATCTAAATTGTATAAATATTTCACATAGCAACACTAAATAGAATTATCTGTATAATAATAATAAATATTATAAATGTGAGAGTTTGTGAGTATGTATGGATGTTTGTAACTCTTTCACGACAGAACGGCTGAACAGATCTGGTTGGAATTTGGCATAGAGATAGATTATAATCTGGAATAACACATAGGCTACTTTTATCCCGAAAAACTATACGGTTCCCGAGGGATACATTTCTTTTTGTTTTCTAGAGGCGAAACCGAGCGAAGCGAGGATGAGCCGCTAGTTAATTATAATTCAAAAGTTTAAAAGTGTAGACTATACTAATTTTGTCCATTGGCAAACTATTTCCTCTAGCGGAAGAGTAAAGTGTTTGTAACTCATTAGGTATATCGGATGCGCGGATTCTTTAAATAAATCGACCTCGGGGCGGCTATGAGTCACAGAATATAATTAAATGGTCAGCTGTTTGGAGCTTTCCTTGAAGCTATTGTAAAGTTTTTCTAATTAATAAATATTTATTGTAACTTATACAATATAAAAAATATATAAATAACAGTGCAAAAGAGAGTTTCGTTTGGGTATATCCCAAACAATAAACAGCCTATATACCTCAGACCATAGTCTGTGTACAATGTACAATCCAAGACCAAAGCGGCTGGACCGTTTCAGCGTGTAGGAGTAACAAACATACATACATACACACACACACACACACACACACAAACTTTCATATCTAAAATAGTAGGTTGATAATTATATTAAATAAATATTATGCAAAAGCCCGCCAACCCGCACTTGGCCTGCGTGGTAGACTATGGCCTGATCCTCCTCATACTGAACGGAGGCCCGTGCCCAGCAGTGGAGCGTTAAAAAGGGCTACATGCAAAAGTTTAATTCATTATCTGTATGTAAATATACTAATATCGTTCAAATTATAGTACTTTTCCTAGTTAAATAGAATAATTTTATGAAAAAAATCATAAGCTATCAGTTTTCTTTTGTGATTTCATTTGAAAATTAATAAAACGTTTTCAATACAAACTCACCAATGTTTATTTATACAATCGTTAACTAAACACTTCTCTTTTAATCAATCTCATTTACTTTGAACAAATGTACCTACAGAAATTCATATACCGCGTTCCTAGAATTGAACTCGTATGTTTACACTATACCGCTCGCTGCTTTATATCATAACGATTGTTATGGTTCATTTTTATTATTTCAACCAAGTTAGATACTAAAAATACCTGTTTATACGAACTCAATCTTCGTCATGATTTCATTTGCATTCGTGTGTTATATTGTTACCCGACTGCGGCGAAGATCAAAGGAGGGTTATGTGTTAAACCTGTATGCATGTATGTTCGACCATCTATCTAATATATTTAAACGAGCAATTCTTGTATATACTTTTATTTTATTTTTGTATTTATTCAAGTTTTTAGTTAAAAAAAAAAGAAAATTGTACTTTTGGCCAAAAACTCCGAGCGAAGCTCGGTGACCCAGGTACTATATATAAAAAAGGCAAAAGTGATGACTGATGTATCAACACACAGGCCAAACCCTTAAGGCAAAAAAATTGGAATTTCGTACACGTATTTCTCATATGACGAAGGCATCCACTAAGGAAGGATTTTTTCAAAATTCAACCCCCAAGGGGGTGAAATAGGGGATAAAAGTTTGTATGAAGCTTTATATTCCTTGGACATATTTGCATGAAATTTCGTATGAATCAATTCACTCACCGTACTCAAGTACGGCAAAAATAATGAGTTACGTAATATTTCAGCGTTTTCTAAAATTCAACCCTTAATAGGGGAAAATAGGGGATGATAATTTGTATGAAATCTACATTTTTTAGAGTTTTTCTCTAGTTTTAGCTCGAGCGAAGTCGCAGGTTCTGCTAGTATTATTATAAAATTTTGATGATTCATAAGGTCTAATAAATAATAATATTTTAATTAAAATAGCATGGAGCAAATTTTTGGTGACAACCCGTGTTATTAATATGTTTTATGATTTAAACAATATATTTCGCATAAAAAAAAGTAAGGGGTCCACCGAATAAATCGTGATCTTAGACTAAATATATACTCATTGAATTTCTTTACTCCATTGATTTTTTATTTCAATCTAATTACAGTATTTAACACGTTTTGATGTCCGGAACAGCTAATGCGTTCTAAACATAGCCCCGCCACCCAGAGCCATACAAACAAACGCGATCGGTATTGAGGCGACAGTTGTTTTGTAACTATTATTCTATAGGTACATATAATAAAATAGTAATTAAGTCAAATCTGTACATTAAATATTTTTTGGAAAATCTAATTGAAATAAACATTATTATCGATACAGAGTCCGAATGTATAGTTTTCAGAATTTTTGTCCGTCTGTCTGTCTGTCTGTTACCGCATCACGAGAAAACCACTGGACAGATTTTGATGAAATTTGGTATGATTTTAGCTGGTTATCCGGGTCAACATATAGGATACTTTTTACCGCGGGAAAATATCTCATTTCTGAGAAAAAATACAAAAACTGCACTGTAAAAATATACTAATATGTAAAACCTAAGAATTTGGTTTTTGGTCATCTGAACGCGGGCGGAGCCGCGGGCAATGCTAGTTACTTCTATGATTGGCTTAAAACGTTTATCTGTTTAGCTTATTTAGCTTCATAAAAGATGTTTTTTTTGGAATGAAGGTCTTATCGATTTTTTTAAAAGCAATTGTTAATTTTTTTCTGTAGGACAAAAAAATTTTTTTTTGAAGTCAAATAAAAAAAAGAGGGCTCGTTTTATAAAAAAAATGTATCATTTCAGATATCAAAAGAAAATACATGATCCCTTTTAGCTTTGCAGTTATAGAGATAAGCTCTATAGACTATAACTGCTAAGCCAAAAGGGTTAAAAGATAAAATATGATCAAATTAAAAATATATAATATGTAAAATTATTTTTTTAGGTATAAAAGAATATCAATTCTTAAAATCTTTAAATTTTATTCAGGGACCACACGACTTCAATTCTAAAATTTTTAAAGCATTAGGTAATAATAAAATTAAAATACATTGTAGAATATCTGCCAAAAAGTAATTTTTCTATAGAAATCTTTAATTCTAAAAGCTAATATCATAATATTATTATGACTTAGTCACATTCACAATCGTTATTAACTTTGCAATTCGTATCTAGTGCTTCGAACGATTTAAAGTAAATCCGACGTTACACCCGTAGTACTCGTAGAGCGTTGAAATAATCCAGTTAGAAAGAGGCCAAGGCTTGCACCTCTGAGGCTTCTTGAACCATTTACTTTCATTGATTTTTTAATACTTTGTTGCGATGTGCTTAATAAATAATTACATGCGTCGTATAAATATAAAAAAAATGAGTATCTGTAATTAACAATTAAAAAAAAATTATGTTTGTCAGCGCGTTTGTTTGGGAAGCGTGTGCGTTTGCAGCAAGACTTTATTTTTGCCCGAATGCGGTCAAGCTATATAATAAAGACTAAATAATTAACAGAAAGACTCACTAACTAAACTTGGCCTGACCCGGGACTCAAACCCAGGACCTCCGGATGTCTCAGAGGAGTTACACACAAAATAATACAAAGTATTTTGTAATACTTTTAAGTCTAACAGAAACCTTAAAGAGATCTTTGCTTTTTATAACGATCATAAAACCAGACAATAGGGCGAGTTACCACACATTCTAATCGACCTATTAACAGATACTTAACAATTTAATAGCTGTACCAGATGTAGAGCAAACAAGCAACTCTATCGTTTTTATTGATATTAAAGGAAATCGTTTATTTAATTTTTTGATAAATAAATCTTTGATATGGTAATTTTAAAAGTAATATATATATATATATATATATATATATATATATATATATATATATATATAACATATAATAAAATATTACTATTTAATCAAAGTAAACTAAAACTGTAAATAAAATTATAAGTATAAAAGTGTAAAGTGTTTATTATGAAATATTTTTCAAAAACAATGACTTACGTATTATGTAAAGAAAATACCCAAAACAATAGTAGTTGATTTTTTTGTCTGTTTGTCTGTAAATTTTTGTGCATAAAGTACTGAAAGGTGATAGCTTATTACTTATAACAATGGCTGGTTCGGCGGAATGGTACTTCTTACAAAAAAAAAACAGATTTATTTACACAAAAGATGTTTTAGTAGCATGGTTAAAAATTAACATACTGTTAATATAAAATCTCTCATTTCCATACGAAAATACAAAATTTAGTTCGGGCGTAACTTGTCGCTTATCTTTATCTATCTATTCATAGTACAGAACAAAGTCGTTGTCTATTTCTCCGCATGCTTCTAAACCACGTAATGAATTTTAATACGGTTTTCAATAATAAAAATAATGATTAAGCTATGACGGTGTTTCGTCAATAAAATTAAAAAAAAAACTGACTTCCAGGCACTTTAATGTAAAAAATAACTAAACGAGGGTTTCCATTTAGAATAGATACCTAATCAGATATTTTCGAAGTTGGTGCCATCTGGTGCAAAGCAAATCTAATATATTTCGATACGTAAAACACATATTTACCTATTAGATATTCATATCTTAAAATATTGTCGGCTTTCGATAAAATGTATATGCGACCACCTTTTGAAACAAAAAAAAAATTTCCAAATCGGTTCAGGCATCTTGAGTAATCGTGAACATACATTAAAAAAAAGATTCCGACGAATTGAGAACCTCCTCCTTTTTGGAAGTCGGTTAAAAAACACTGTTTGGCGAAACATTAAGAGATACCTCAAAACAATGTAGGTACTAGAAAATTATAGGTCTTAAAAAGGCCTATACATAAACATGAGTGTTTCACCTAAAGTACATTTACAACAACTATTTTTATTTATTTACATAAATTACATCTATTTAAAACGTACTTAGGGTCAGTTGCAGCTAGCGTATAACAATTGGTTCCGTTATAATAAATTTTTAGAAAAAGCTTCCTTAACCTCTAAATTTTCTTACATTTACGCGAATATATAACATTTTAAATAAAACTATCTTATCGGATTTCTTCGCAGATCATGGTGACTGGAGAGATGATTGCTGTAAAGCCTTCGAAACGTAGGAACCAAAAATCAAAATAAGTCCTGGAAAAAGTCCAAAAAGTTTTTTTTGTTTTATTTATACAACGTTAAGTAACGGACAGACTGACTAAATAAAAAAAAACTAAACTTTTCTGTACTATTTTTGCATATAGTTTCGTTTGCACAGTACTTATGTCTATAAAAAGTAGCTCATATCACTTTAAGATATAAGCTCAACAATAATAATATACAAATCGCTGTATAACATAAATCCAAAGAGTTTTTTTTTCTAGATTGAACTAGATTGAACAGGGCGTAACCGCGGGTTCTGATAGTAATTAAATAAAAATATATGTACTGAAATATTCTCAGTTTTTTTTTGTGAAACCATGAAAATCATTCATCTTTAAAGAAAAATGTACTTACATATCTTAAATGCCATAACTAAAGCACCAACTAAAGCAGTTTCTCTTAGATTTAAAACCATATAAATATTTTAGTGTAGAACACTAAAGTTACAATGATGCGGTCAGGTAACATTTTATTACTTTTCACTAGAACCTAAGTACGTACTAAGTTCTCAATATTGTGGAAACATAAACAACTTTGTATGAGAATGTTTATAGTTTTCGCGATACTCATTAAAAAGTAACTTCTATTTATGGACAATTTGATATAAGATTACATAATTGAATGTTGAACGGTGATCCATAGTACTCATCTATACTATACTCCTTTTGGGATTCAAACCCACGACCTCTTATGTAATATGCAACGCTAATCTGACTTCTGTAGCGTCAATCTAACATAATGTAGGTTTTGTTTGGTTGTCAATAAAACTCATTCAACTATTTTATTTTAAAATATATAGGACCTTTTGTGATAGGCTACTTCTATTTGGAATTTACATGGACTTTATTTCTATTTCGATTAAATATTCATTACAAGGAAGCAAAACGAAAATATCAGAACAAAAATTGTTATTAAAAAACATAAAGAATACAATATTTTTTACCTCTATCGACATCCTCCCACACATCATCTTCTTCATAAGGCAAATCCTGCAAACATCTGGTGCAAAAACTATGTAGACAAGCTAGAAGTCTTGGCTCTACAAGCTCCTTCCGGCATATTCCACATTCCCACTCCTTAATCTTGATCTTCCTTACTCCATATACTGAGACTCTTGAAGCAATCACTAAATTCTGGCTCGATGGTCGAGAGCTTTTAGTTTTCAATGGGCTATTACCAGCACTTATAGAAGAAGGCTCTAAAGACTTACGTCGATCTTGCCTTTTACGCGAAAAGCTTCCGAAAATATAGAAAATACGGTCCACTTCCATTTTTTTTATTTATAAAAAGCTTGAATAATCATTCAATCAAAGCAACTTTAATCTCAAAATATTCAAAAGCTCTATTGTTTACGTTTTGTAAACATAATATGCTAACGTTGTTGTGTTTAGTTGCGATATTTAACGATCCCGGGGCAATTTAAAAATACAACGTACAGTTGTAACGGCTGGCAGAGGTCGACTGAACTCATCTACTTATGCTTTATTCGATTTGTATTTCATATACAAGGGGATGAAGAGTCACTTTTAGTTTTTAAGTAATTAATTATAAATACCTGGAGTCGAATATTGAATTAAAAGATTTTCTGATTTGAATATACATATTATATTAATTTACTAAGAATACTTACCTTAACAAAGCAAACCAATTTATTATTGTTTTACATTACCTTACTGTATATATTTTTATTTTATTATATAGCCAAAAGCTATAGGTAAGAACTATAATTTTTTTTTACTAAAACTAATTTTTTGACTTGTTTCACGGATTTACTTTGATTTTTGGTTTCCGACGTTTCGTATGATTTTTTTTTTATTTTAAATATCTACACTTTCAAAATATTATTCCTCAGATTTCTTATTTTAATTAAACTATATAATCGCTAAGTTTTGGACTATATAGAATTAATAGGGTGATAATTTTCATTTTATTGCATGGTGTTAAGAGGTCAAAATTTGAAGGAAAACAAATTGAAGAGGCAAAGTCGAGTCAAGCCAACAAGTCCGTGTACAGAAGTCAGAACACGTGCAAATGAGTAAAACCGATTCAAAATTACCACTTTATTTTTAACAGTGATAAATGGTTCATTACAATAAGTATTTGTATTCTCGTAATTAATGGCATAAGGCGCAGTCACGATCAATTTCCGTATATTTGAGGGATGCTGCACTGAATGATTATGATCGTTCTATTTTTGTCTTTGTCGTTTCTCATTTTGCTAGCTAGGGGTGGGATGACACATGTTAGGGTTGCCTTCCGGTGTCTGATTGAATGATTATTTATATTCTCACCTAACAATTTTTAAAAAGCCAAAATTTTTTAATGATATTTTCTGTTCCGATTAGTTAAAGACTACTATAATTGCGAGCTATACATAGGTATAATTTCAGTTGCCTATATTTCAAAATAATTTTTTTTTTAAATATTTTAATAAATCCAAAAACCATTTAAAACGTTATAAAATATAATAAAATGTTAATTTAAATTTTAATTTAAATATAAATGTAAATATTGCTATTATTTGAAATGTTATTAGCATTTATTTTAAATCTTTTATCTTTGTCCTACCCTACCAGATATCTTTTTTTATAAATTAAGGTTTGGATTTCCTCTTGCAAATGAAGTAGTAGTGAAGCACTAAAGGATGTAATCAAGAGCACTTCAATATTTCGCTCATAGTAATGCACGTGCGATCCGAATCATGCTTTTTACGACAGGATGCAGGACGTGAATAGTTAAAGATTGTTATTTTATTATAACTAAACTAATTTTAATTATTAAAATAAATTCACATTATATGATAATTCAAACAAAAGAGTGAGAACAGTACAAGATATACCTACATATTATGTGTATTTAATTTAAAAGTAATAAACACCTTCGTCTCTATCGAATTAAAGCAAATTTTATAGAAAATGGGAACTTCATTGTTTTCTTTTTCAAAAAAGAATGGAAGTGAAACCAAGTAATAAAATAAACATTACCAATTTAAAGACATCACATAAACACACAAGTCGATAACTGTCAAAATATGTTATTTTCGTTACTAAATGGGACGCGGAGTGACCGACATATTGGCGCGAAAATTAATGTCAGTGTCCACGTGGCACTTATAAATAGCCGAGATGTGAGATTACACTTCTAAAAAAACAAATTACAGATTAAAAAAATATATATTTTTTTTTAAATGTTATATTTAGGTATTATTTTCCCGCAATTTTTTTAAGCGCGCACATTCACGCGGCTTCGTTGAGCACACGGTGAAAACTAAACAGCTCTATAATACTTAGTAGAGGTAATAAGATTACTCATTACCTTGAAATTCGAAACAGTTTCAATCAATGTGCCTATATTTTATATACTTCCGATGTGTATAAAGATTTTTCATTTAGATCAGAGCGCTTTAGTTTATAGTAAAAATATTTATTACCTACTTGCAAAACCCGTTACCTCATATTTATTTTTGGCAATTAAAGATAGAAAAATAGAGGATGAGGTAATTATGTTTCATTATATACCTACTAATTATTGCCAGCGGCTTTACTTACATAAGAATCTATGTCCGACCTCATGATTCAATCGATGCCTTTGCCAAATTTCATCGAAATCTCCTTAGTACTTTACGCGGGGAAAAATAGCTACAAGCATATATAGATATTTTCATCTATCTTATATAAATAAAAATCAATGTTGGTAAGCGCATAACTCAAGAATGGCTAGACCAATTCGGCTATTTTTTTCTATGTTCCTTAAGGTCCACGGAAGGTTTTAATAAAGAGAAAAAATAAAAACTTAACGAAAAAAAAAATTATATGGCTAACGCTGGCTAATAACTATTTATATCTATTTAAAATGTACCTAGCGACGAACGCGAGCGAAGCGAGGGTGAGCCGCTAGTAGGTACATATAATAAAATTGTAACTAAGCCGAATCTGTACATTAAATATTTTTTGGACAATTTTATTGAAACAAACATTATTATCGATACAGAGGCCGAATCTATAGTTTTTAGAATTTTTGTCTGTCTGTCTGTTTGTCTGTCTAGACAGACAGATGAAATATTTTCCACACAGAACAGTAACAGACAGACGTCTGTCTGTCTGTCTGTTACCGCATCACAGAAAAACCACTGGAGGGATTTTGATGAAATTTGGTACGGTGATAGCTGATTATCCGGGTCAGCATATAGAATACTTTTTACCGCGGGAAAATATCTCATTTCTGAGAAAAAATACAAAAACTGCATTGTAAGAGTATACTAATATGTAAAACCTAAGAACTTGGTTTTTGGTCATCTGAACGCGGGCGGAGCCGCGAGCAATGCTAGTATAAGTATATAATACTAGCAACTTAGACTTACCCTACCTTTGTTCGGGTGCCTAGGACCCTTAGGTGTATGTCCACTCACTCAACGGCTATTTTTTTCTGACTTCAATCAAAATTATTATGGTTTCTAATAGTAAAGACATTTTTATCGGGATAAGGAATAGCATAAAGCACTACATATAAATGCAGATTTGTCATGGATTTCGAAATTCGCACAGTAGTCTCCAAAATCCACAGAGACGTTTTTCTTACATAAATTATTTAAAATCCTTACAGTATTTTAAAGGAGGGCGATATATAGATAGGTATTTGTTACGTTTCATAAAGAAAGTTTATGCGTCGTAGGTACTTTTACTCACAACCACTCAATGTCCACAAGTTTGCTGCTAAAAATTACTGAGAAACCATACTAGTGCAACTTAAACGTTGATACAACACGTAAAATTTAAATATATTCGATATAATAACAGAAAATTCTACTTTTGATAGATGTCTACGAGCGCCTCGAAAATGTAAATTAACTACCTACGTACCCACATTTTATTCAAAAAAAAACTATATTTATATATAACCTAGTATTAATCTCAATTTTTTATCGAGGTTATCTACCTTCCCGTGCTCGAAAACAAAGGTGTTGCTCTCACGGTCCACTTTACTAGGTACCAGTCTGGAGCAGCCTGCATGGTACACCTCTCGGCCGCCTTACAAGTATATTATAATGTATAGTATAGTAAATATATATTATATTTAATTATTATTTATTTATTTTAACATATATTACTTACATTAAATTTAATAAAATACCCTAAATAATAAATCTTGTAACTTAATACAGCTGTTAGTACGACGTATTGATTATTTTGTTGCGTGAACCTCTATTATTTATTTACTCGTCCGGAACTATGGTTTACACAAGTCAGGTAAATTAGAATCGGTTTCAATACTGGTTTTATTTATTCAAATAACAATGTTATTGTATTTTCTCAGCGTTGGTGGTCTTTTTCGGTCCACGTTATTTTATTGTAGATAACATTGCTAATTTTATTGTAGTGTAGTGGCTAGCACGTACGGCTGTACATGTAGAGGTCCTGGGTTCGAGTCTCCTTTCGGGCCAAGTTTAGTTATTGAATCTTTCTGTTTATTAAGCCTAAGTAACAGACATCTGAACGCGGGTGGGGCCGCGGGCAATGCTAGTGTAGCGACTTTATCATTAGTGTCTCTTTAGGCAATCCAGCCGAGCGAGAAACCAAGACCGGGAGGTGGCTCTGATAGTGGACCGTTGAGGCATCCCCATTATTGTTGTGATCTGCCTTCTCACGTCGAGGAATCGTGGTTGAGTGCGTAAACGATCCTGCGGGTCCTCTTGGGTTTTAGTGGGTAGTACGTACTGGCCGGTGTGTTCCACATAACCAACCTGTATATAGATGGTGCGCGTAAACGTATTTTCCATCGTTAAAAATAAGGTTTACCTACTGTGCGTAATTAATGTATTCTCAACAAAAAAAAATCTATTGAGCATCACCAATATAGTCTATACAATTTGTTCTCAACGAATTATAAAACATTAAAACAATTTCCAATAATCCCTTTATTTTTATACAAGTTTTTTTTTGACATTAAAACACAGCACCATCTAGTTCCATGGTAAGCTACGAGGCCTGTGTTATAGATACCAAATAGCTGATACATTACATATTTATAACTTTAAATACATACATAACTATTATGAATATATAAACACTCATGACAGGATTACAAACATTCGTGCTCACAACGACTACTCAGCCCGATTGGCCTGAGTGGTCGTTGCGTGCTCATTACACATATGAATGCCGCCAGCGGGAATCGAACCCGCGACTACTGGCACAGCAAGCAAGGTCACTACAAACTGAGCCAAACGTGTCATCACGAATAAAATGTAATTGTAGGTAATAAATTATACATTTTTAATAAAAAAAAGCCTTTTTTGGTATATTATATCGATTATTTATCACAAAAGCATTGCGTACATTTTTACGGGAATTAAATTCAAAGGATCCTGTCGTCAACAATATCTTATTAAGGATTATAGTAAGTATTATATGTGAGTTTATAAAATAAAAATAGAAACCGTTCTACATAACAAGGAAATATTTATAAGCAAGTTGCAAAGTTGTACAATGGGTCATACATGTCGAAAAGGAAAAAAAACATAGATTTGTCTTAATTGTTGTTTAATTATTTTTAGTATTTAATGATTTTGTTTGTAGGGAGTAGGAACGTCATTCAAAGAAAAAGAACTTTTAAGGTTATGATATTAATTATATTATATTTCAATTAAAGTGTATGTCCTTTGTAACACCCTTAAAAATATATATTCTACTTTATTAATATTGTACATAAACATAAATTTTATATAGTAGTTTTTAACCCTATTTATATGCAAGAAAAAAGCATGTATTTGAAAAATGAAACGCTTCTGTCAGTGTTATACTAAGACATTGACAGTTGACGCTATTGCCTGACTAGAGCTGTCGCTTGTCAAACGACAAACACGGTTACGGGCTATGGCGATTGAGTCAAGCTGATTTCTCTACAAATCCACTACTTTATTTTCTAGTGTGGGTGTCCCGAGTAGTGGGATGTTTATATTTATAATGAACTCATATTTAAATTATGTCAGTACTAATATCAGTGTAGCGTAGTGTAGTAGTGTTTATTTATTAAACGATATGTTGAACATTCATAAGTTATGGCTATTTTCAAGTCTCTGTGTCATTGTTATTGTAGTTTTATATTTTCAGTCAGAAATAGCTCGTCTGGAGGACAGCTATCGCAAACTAGGTCAGTATGCAACATAAATTCCTTATATTATCAGTGCGGAGAAATCGGTATTAAAACAGTTTTCTTTACAGAGTACAAACTATTGCAATCTCATTCGGAATCTCGTCAATTTTTTCAAAAAGATCCAATAAAAGATGATAATGATTTAGTGGTTATATATAATAGAGTACCAAAGACGGGATCTACAAGTTTTGTAGGTGTAGCTTATGATTTATGTAAAAAAAATCACTTTAAAGTTTTGCATATCAATATAACAGCAAACATGCATGTGATGTCGCTAAGTAATCAATATAAATTCGCTCAAAATGTAACAAAGTGGGATGAGATGAAACCAGCACTATATCATGGACATATGGCTTTTCTTAATTTTGAAAGGTAAGCTATAAAATATACAATTATGTATTTAGATAAATAAATATGTAAACACCCTGTCTATTATATATAAAATTCAAGTTATTTTATATTTGATGCTAGAATTTATAAATATTTAATTTATCTAGAAGATGAATTAGCAACACTTAGTTCTAATCAAGTGAATTATTTATAAACTTAGTCACTGTACTTACTACCTATTTCCTGCATTTTTATTTCAAGGTAAATATGACAAATAAACTAACTTGTTTACTTATTTTAAAACTAACATACTTTACACAGATAAATAACTTACATAAATTGTATCCTGTTCAATAGTTGTTATAATTATTTGATTATTCAAGTCAATTATAATGAAAAAAATCACATATACAAGAAATTATTAAGAAAACTAATATTTAAAACTAGTAATTACTACTTGTTATAAAAACCATTTTAGGTTTAATACATGTTTTAGTCCATATCAGTAGTGTTAAGATGGGTACCGGGTCATGCAGGTGTAATTGGCAACGAGTGTGCCGATAAGCTCGCTAGAGGGGGAGCTCTTGGCATACAGCAGGGCCCTGAGCCCTTCTGTGGGATACCTAAGAGCCTAGCTCAAAGAACCCTAATGATAGCATGTCTTAAGACTGCGAACAAGACCTGGACTGAATCAAATGGAATGAATCACTCCAAGGCATTAATTAGAGCCTACGACAAAAGGTTTAACAATCTTATGCTAGGGCTAAACAGAAAAACCTTACGAATACTGGTAAGGGCCTTTACTGGACACTGCTGCTTAAACAAGCACATGTTCAACCTGGGGCTGAGCGAAACGCGAACCTGCAGAATTTGCAGGGAGGCAGACGAAACGCCACTACATCTTCTGTGGGAATGTGGACCGCTCATGCACAAACGCAGTATTCATCTAGGAAAATAATTTCCAAGCCTAGATGAAATAAAAGAGTGTAACCCTAAGAAAATCCTGCAGTTCTTAACATCAGCAGGGTTTAGTGGTTCACTCTAGTACAAAATAGCGGCGATCACAATAGACCAGAAATGGTCGTAGTGATATATAAATAGCCGCCATACAGAAATAAAAAAAATAAATAATAATCCATATCATAAAAACTACTGAACTGATTTTGATGAAATCTTTACCTTTGTTGAACCGATTTTGAAATCTTGACCTTGTTCCCTAAGTTGAAATAAATGTAAGCAAATAAAAATTTTGTAATTTGTTTGGAAGACTTTGAAAATAAATTTCATATTATGTGAATATTTTACAGTTCCAATAATATCACATATATATATGTTCAATTGAGATCATCCTTTTTTAAGTTGGTTAATCATAAATGTTTCAGACTGGGAACTTCATCAAAGCCAATATTTATAAATCTTATAAGGAAACCGCTAGATAGACTAGTGTCATATTACTATTTTTTAAGACATGGTGATAATTTTCGTCCACATTTAGTTCGCAAGAAACATGGAGACAAAATGGTATGGAATTATGTAATATATATAAATAAAAATAAAATTAATATGTAAAGATAATTTGAACATGTTTGTCTGTTTGTAACATGTAACCTAATCTCCAGAATGGTTGGAGTTGACTTTAATCTCACTTTTTTTTATTGGTGGAATAAGTTTCATAGAGATTTCTGGTATAGGTAACATTAGGGTAAGTCAATGTAATTTTAAATCGTTTACTGCATGAAAAGAAAAATATAATTTTCACCTATGTTTCATATATTGTTAAGGTAAAATGGAGGAAAGAGATATTTGAAATAAAAATAATATAAGCAGTGGCGTAATTACCCTTTTTGAGCCCCAATGCAAAAATAATGGTAGTTGCTCCCCTTTGCCTATTATAAAATTAATGCAGGAATTTAGGACACTTTTCTTCAGATTTTTTAAACTTCTAGCCCCGAGGGCCATCGCCGAAAAGATGATTTTTGAAATAAAAAAATTGTTTGTGGCCCACTGGGGCCGCCTTGATTCCAGTGCCCTATGCAACATAACTACGCCATGTTATAAGATTTATGCATAAAAGTTATTGAATTAGTATAAAATATTGCAGGAATTTTATTCATGTTAACAAAATATAGAGTAAATACTTTATTTCCAGACATTTGATGAATGTGTAGAGAAAAGTCAACCGGACTGTGATCCCAACAATATGTGGCTACAAGTACCGTTTTTTTGTGGACATGCCGCTGAGTGCTGGTAATTGTTTTTTATATTTTTATATAATGTTATATCCTTTACTTGTTGGAAGTTTATCTTTTATTTATGTGATGGGCACATAGCGTGTGTCTATTTAGAAATATGCAATGTTGCCCACTACAAAAATACACAGAAAAGAGAAAAATATACTTGAAACTAGCGGCTTACCCTCGCTTCCGACATATAGCCTATAGCTTTCTTCAATAAATGGGCTATCTAATATAAAACGAATTTTTCAAATCAATTTCAAAATTATATAGTCTATATATTCTATACTAACCATTAAAACGTACCTATATGTATGTATGGATATAAATAGATATAATATATCTCATCACTTTACTTATGTACTTTACTCCTGTAAGGTTATTAATCTTTAGGATATTCACTAAATAACAAAAAAAAAAAAATTTTAGGAAACCCGGCAGTGCATGGGCTTTGCAACAAGCGAAACATAATCTAGTTAATCACTACTTAGTAGTGGGGGTGACTGAAGAAATGCTCGATTTCATATCAGTATTAGAAGCTAGCTTGCCCAGATTATTCAAAGGGGCGACAGATCACTATCTAAATAGCAATAAGTCTCATTTACGACAAACTAGTTCAAAAATAGATCCCTCACAACGCACAATTGAGAAAATACAACAATCAAGTATATGGAAAATGGAAAATGAGTTGTATGAGTTTGCATTAGAGCACTTCAAATTTGTTAAAAAAAAGATTCTGCTAAGAGAGATGAATAGTGTGGCACAAGTGTTTTTTTATGAGAAAATACGACCAAAATGAGTGAATGTATGGATGATTTAATGCTTAAGATACTGGAAACAGGATTGTCAGTTCAAATCCAAGCATAGATCTTTTTATTATTTAATTCTATCTTCTGCTTGGTAAGAAATACTTATATTTCAAAATTCCAATCGATCCGCTATTCCTCCAGGGGAGTTGGGTCAATCTCCCTAATGTTGAAGAGCTCTGCTCATCTATGGGCATTGTATGTAGATTAGTGATGAAACGGATAGTTCTTTGTCCGGATATCGGATACCAGATATCCGGCGAGCTGTAAGGCCGGATGGCCGGATAATGGATATCCAACCTGTTGTATGTTGCGACAAGTGCATATGTTTTTGTAAGAATATAGGATTAAATGACTGAAGATTCGAAATTTTCGACTATTCGGATGTAATTATGACTTAGTGATTAGCTAAAGTCAATTGTTTACTTGCTCCATCACTTTTAGAGCCTTATAGTTGGTGGACAGTTAACTCAAAGCATATATATAATACTTTGATAAATGTGGGTACATATATTTGTTAAATTATGCTTTTACAAGTTTATTTTGTATTATTTATCTCACGGATATTTTTTTCTTTCAGTTAATGAAAAAAACCGTACTTATTAAATATCCAGTATCCGGCCGGATATAGCGTTACCATCCGGTATCCGGCCGGATAGCAAAGTAAGGCTGGACAGTTATCGGATATCCGTTTCATCTCTAATGTAGATACATTATACACTTGTAGTTTTGTATGTGGTAGAAACATTCCAGATATTTCTAAGAATATTTATAGACTAACTTAAAGAACCAATTATGTGTATATTTTGTATTGTGACAGGGAATTAAAAAGACACTGGCGATGTAGTGAAAATAGCCATATGCTATATTTTTTTTTCAATTTATGTGACTTTGTCTTGAAAATTGATTTATTATATCGATAATACTATGATATTTTATTATTTATTTTAACATATTATAATTAAAGTTGTATTGTTAACGAATTAACAAACATATATAAATATTGCTTATTTAATCATTTAGATGAAGTTTTTTATTTGATACTTATACGTTTTTAATTGAATCAACCATACAGAAAAATAATATAGATTGTGGAAACTAAAAAATAAATAAATAAATTTTAACTATGGACAAAATAACAACAGTTTATTGTAGTTATGGTAGTTATGCTTATTTATACTTGATATTCTTTATAAAACAAGTGTTACAGAAGCTAAATAATAAAATTTATTTTTAACAATATGTACACAAAAAAAATAATGATAAAAGAGTACCTTATCGATGGAACAACGAATAGCTCTTTTTAATTTATTCAGATTGTATAATGCTTTTCTATTAAGAACCTTTTATGTATTTTTTTAAATTGACATTTTTTTACATTTTCATGTCTTTATTTTTATATTAATTGTCCCTAGAAGTTCATACATTCATTTAGTGGCTAGTGTGTCGGTTCGTCCGGACGAGAACCTGACATAACGTGTCTCATTTTGACTCCGCCCCCATCCGAAATTATTCGAAACTTTTATATCAGATTCGGTTACGGTTACGGAGCACCATAACATCCCTAATATATTATCATTATTACTTTCACCCTTTCTTTCCTCATATTTGTTAGAAAAACTCGATAGATGTATTACGAAATAGTTATTTTAATCTGATATTCATTCATATAATCACGGCCTATTTATATTTAATTACGCAGAACTAATTTTAGTGTCACGTTAATTTAATCATATTGGATAAAAAAATTAAAAACAATATTTTTTTTTTTTTATAAATGTAAAAGGATATGTTTCACTACCGGCTAGTAAATTTGATTTTTTATCTGTATATTTCTATTAAATTTGCTGTAATTTCAGACTTAATTATTATATATGTGCAATTGAAAAATACATCTGGAACATTAATAACAAGAACACAAAAAAATATATATTGATCAATCGATTTAAAAACAATGGGTTATTCGATAATCGTTATGAAATCGATTTTTATTTGTAGTAAATCTGAAAATCATAAATGTTTATCACGCTCTATAGACACGATAGAAGGAACAAAATCATAATTTGCATTATTATATTAATTACTTTTAACCAAACCATATTACTTATTATTAAAGATCTAAAAATAACTATACAGTAAATTGAAAAATTGTATTTTAACTTTTAGTTAAAATATATTCGTTTTAAACTTTATAGTCTCGATTAGTAAAGTTGTTACAAAGATGTATTCGATAAGTAATGATGTAAGTTATATTTTAATTATTTAGAGCGCATTTAATACTAATAGTTCTTCCATGTTGTCTTTTAAACGATTTTTACTTTAGATATTTTTTATCTGTTAAAGCTCAATTTAAGTTACAACAACTTTTTTTTAAATATTTTGATGTTATTATAGAAAAGCGCATTGTTGAAACTAAATACATATTGGTGTAAGAAAATATATAATTTTTGGTGTCAGTGACCCAAAGTAACTTTCTAGAACAAACTGTGTCTTGTGTGTATGTCTTATGAAGACTGCAATATGCAGCGGAATAAATCTCTTGTAATCGATCTTGAATCTGTATGTAATCCCATAAATATTATAAATGCGAAAGTTTGGATGGAACGGCTAGAACGGCTGAACGGATCTGGATGAAATTTGGCACAGAGATAGATTATAGTCTGCAATAACACATAGGTTACTTTTTATCCCGGAAAAATATATGGTTCCCGTGGGTTAGATTTGTTATTGTTTTTCAGTTTCGCTAGTAAATTACAAAACAATTGTAGAAAAGTTGATAATTTATTAGAAACAGTTTATTAAAATGCAATTAAATGACATTTTTATTATAAAAAACTAGAAATCAATTATTTGGTTTGTTCTATAGTATGTTTATTTTAAGTATTCTATCCCTTATTTACGCTTATTATTAGACAAGGATAGCAATAAATGTTTAGATTGTAAATGGACATTTACTTAGTAATGTTATTTTTTGTAATTGTTTAATATTGATGTTATTTTATATTATTATGATTAGTTTTTAATTTTTATTAATCGAATATTCCACGACTCGTAGTACGAGTTTTAAAGAGCATTGTGACAGTATTTGGCTATTTGTGCTTTTCATATGTACGTATATGTATCTCCTAGGAACATCCCTAGCAAAAAACATAAAAAAAACAAAATCGAATACTAATACTAAAATACAATGCAAGTAAATGCGTGTACTCAATAACGATTCTTAGAAAACTTAATAAAGGCCTCTCGTTCACAATTTGATATTTTTGTCAGCGCAATTTATTTTTTTGTCATTTTTTAACAACAAATTTAATCGACAAAACATGTTTTTTTTTGTATAATGTAAGTTATGTTTAGACACTTCAATATTTAAGTGTGGACATACCAGTAATAAAAATGTCTATAAAAGAGATTTAATTATGCAATTTAAACATCATTTTTGGTAATACGAAACGTTTATTCAAACATGGTATATCTATACTTAGATGTCGGTAGTGTGAATTAATGGCCTATGCATGAAAATATGTAGTGGAGTAAAATTTACATTTAAAATAATTTATTTTGTATATATTTTATCTTACTAAGGATATAACGTTGTGATAAAATATATTTCGGGTTGTACTTATTTATAGAAACGAAGGATAACGCTTCATTCTCCACTTATCGACACAACTAGTTGGTTTGGATCATCGATCAAAGAAGTACTAGATACACGGTACAGTTGTTTTCACAAAAATAATTAAATTAAAAGAGCGCTCAAATGTTCAAATGAGCGCTCATTCGGTGAGGACATTTTTTGTCGCTGATTGTGTATCTAGTACTTTTTTGATCGATGGTATGGGTAAATTGTAGGTTTTACGTTGGACATCACTATGAATAATGTGCTTATAAATTTAGCTGGCAGCAAATTTCGGTGCATAATTTCTGTTAGTCACAAAATGACAGTCTGAGACCTACTGGTGATTGGTCTTGCCATCAAAGATCCATCGTTGTAATGAACACGGAACGAAAGCAGATTATTACTATTAGTATCCAATAATACTCATTGATATTCTACTTATTCTTAATCTGTTGATTTACGGTATATATTATGTTTTATAAGGTCGTCAGTTTGTATGTAAAAATTGGTATATATGGTATATGTACATTATTAAATATAAAAATATGAAAGCGTGTAACCTTTACAAAGTTGAAGTAAAACTTCTTTGGCGCTGTGGCAGATACCGCAATTAAATCAAAATATAAATATAATAATTTTTATAAAGTTATTGGCAATAAATATTCATTTTTTAAAGTAATAATTATTATAATTTATTAATATATATTTGTTTTTAATTATTAATAATAAATTTCACTCTCACTTCCGCGATACTCACTTTTTCAATGTATTGAAAAACCCCTCAGTCATGTCTACAGAAGTTTTAGGTACTTCAAAAAGGAAATGCAAATATTACATGTAATAAAACTTGTGACATTATGTGAAAAAGATATATTAGCATTTTTAAATTAAAAACGTATGTTTGTCCGTATGCGCTGACGGCTTTATATTATGTACAAAAACACAGTCTACTGGTTTATACAGTCCTATTACGTAAGTATCTAAGACACGGCAGTCGTGCAGAATATATGGGGTGAAGACGTGTGTGAGGCTCCCGTCTGTTATATATATTTTTGTACAACAGTCGGGTGTCCGTATTAGGGTTGACGGATATAACTAAAAGTTGCCACAAACACACTACGAGGAGTTTCTATGTTCGTCTGTATGTATCTATGTTTTTCTTTACTTCGAAACTGTTCGCCATGATGATTGATATTTATACAACCCTTGCATTTGACAGGATATCTGTTGAGGTCATAAGCGATCACTTAATGTATGAATTTTTGCACTGTGACACAGATTTTTTTAACAAAGGAGTATAAATTCTATCTCAATGTTATTTAAAAAGAAGAAAGAAATTTTTCTACGGGAATATAGAATTTCATACATCCGTACTTATTTGTTATATATATTTGTAAGAAATGTGAATCTACACGCACCAGTTATAAAGCAATTTATGTTAAATTAATAAATGCCAGTTTTATAAATGTCGACTTTTATTTTGCTGTGATAAAGTACGAACAGGGGTAAATATGTTGGGACATTAACACACACCACCATCTAGTTCCATGGTAAGCTACAAGGCCTGTGTTACGGATACCAGATAGTTGATACACTACATATATAATTTTAAAACATACATATTATAAAATATATAAACACCCATGACTGGATTACAAACATTCGTGCTCATCACACGAATGAATGCCCCCAGCGGGACTCGAACCCGCAACCGCTGGCACAGCAAGCAGGGTTACTACAAACTGAGCCAAACGTGTCGTCGTAGGGGTGGATCTATATATTTATAGGATTTTTGGGCTGCAGGCATCCCTCAAAAAGTACTAGATACACAAACAAACAAATGTCCTCACTGAATGAGTGCTCATTTGAACATTTAGGCGCGCTTTTATATATTTTTTTGTGAAAACAATTTTAAGCGTTGCATTTAAAGTTCAATTTACATTATTGTATATTTATTTCAACTAGAATAGATTACCTAAACACAATTGGTGACAGTTTTAATAGAACTTTTGCATGGGATTGTGTTTCTAGTACTTTTTTGATCGGTGGCTGCAGCCAAGGCCCCTAATATATAACAGGAAAACTCTTGTTGAAAACAATGGATAATATTGTGAACTTAAAAAATAAAAAATATTTAAATATGAAAATTAAGGCCATGAAAGATTGGCCCTGAGTTCAATTAATCAGAACTAAACACTGACTTTATGTTAATATTTTGATCTAGGACTATATATTATTTATTTATTTTTCATTGGGATACATACGGCATGTACACATGGCATCTGTTTTAACTTGTATGTTTTTTTTTCTGGTACATAAATAAATAGATAAATACGGCGTGTAATTAATAAAATTTAGTTAAACACTTCTAAACAAAAATCTCAAGCCAATAAAGTTTCTATTAAACACCCAAACGAAGTGAACTTAAAAATTAGCAGCAATATATCGAACTAAAGATTATATATATAATCGAAATAAATCGAATTGTTCCAACCCATCATTGTACTATATAATAAAACTACTCGTAGATTTTTAAAGACAAAATGACACCCAGTACCTAAGTGTTAGCCCCGGGCCCCCCAAAGTCCCAGTCCGCCCCAAACATCTCACTACAAAATAAATATTTTGATTAAATTAGTTATTTTCCAAAATTCGACTGCATAATCACTACATATAATAAAATTCTAATTAAGCCGAATCTGTACATGAAATATTTTTTGGAAAATCTTATTGAAATAGACATTATCGATACAGAGGCCGAATGTATAGTTTTATAGAATTTTTGTCTGTCTGTTACTGCATCACGGTAAAACCACTGGAGGGATTTTGATGAAATGGTATGGTGATAGTTGGTTGTCCGGGTCAACATATAGGATACTTTTTACCACGGGAAAATATCTCATTTCTGAGAAAAAATACAAAAACTGCAATGTAACAGTATACTAATATGTAAGAGCTAAGAATTTGGTTTTTGGTCATCTGAACGCGGGCGTAGCCGCGGCTAATGCTAGTAATTAATAAATTTGCACATCAAATACTCACTGTACAAATTTTAGATGAAACTTTATATTAGGATCTCTAGTACCTATCATAAAATTGTACCAGAGTTAAAGTTGTACGTTAGATACACATACATATATCCTTTGAGAAATTCGCGTTAGAGTATTTTCAACCGACTTCAAAAAGGAGGAAGTTCTCAATTCGACTGTATTTTTTTTTATGTTTGTTACCTCAGAACTTCGTCATTTATTAACCGATTTGGACAATTTTTGTTTTGTTTGAAAGGGTATACTTCCAGATTGGTCCCATTTAAATTTCAAAAAAGTACCACCCCTAAGGGTGGAAAAATAGCTAATAATGAATTTAATCTACTTCTAATTGTCATATTGACTTGAAACTTTGCAAGTATTTCTATTTCCGTTGATAGTACAGTGGTTCGGTGTTGTTGACCTGATCTGATGGCAAGGCCAGAAGGTGGATAGGTGCAACTCTTCAACGACTAATAGAAGATACTTTGAGTTTGGGCTTATTTTGTTTGGTTTGACAAGCCTAACGCTTTAGAATTCTTACTTTGCTACAACTGTTTACACTAAAAAGGGAAAAATAAAAACTTTTAAAAAAAATAAATAAAAACCGACTTCAAACAAAAGCACTAAAAAGTAAAAAATAACTGATTGGTAGTTTTCATTTACTATACATACCTAATCAAATATTTTCGAAGTCGGTGTGCTTTGCTTTGTATGAGCTGGCGCCGATTTCGAAAATATTTGATTAGGTATGTATTTAATAGGTAGGCTTTAATTACTTAGCCAAAGCACACCGACTTCGAAAATATTTGATTAGGTATGTATAGTAAATGAAAACTACCAATCAGTTATTTTTTACTTTTTAGTGCTTTTGTTTGAAGTCGGTTTTTATTTTTTTGTTAAAAGTTTTTATGTCAGTATGTCATCGTCATCAAAGTCCATAATGCTTAATTGTGCAACACTGAGAAACGAAACGAAGAATTCTAATAGATTTTTTTTTCTGAATTGCTAATAGTTTGAATTTTGAAGCAGAAAGCTTGAGATTAGACTTCGATGTCCTACGTTACCTTACCTTTTAGATAGTGCGAATATTCGCGGGCAATGGCTTTGTAATTTGTACCAAAATTTATTTATTTTTAACCGACTTCAAAAAGGAGGAGGTTCTCAATTCGACTGTATGTTTTTTTTTTATGTTTGTTACCTCAGAACTTCGTCATTTATTAATCGATTTGGACAATTTTTGTTTTGTTTGAAAGGGTATACTTCCAGATTGGTCCCATTTAAATTTCAAAAAAAAATACCACCCCTAAGGGTGGAAAAACAACTAATGATGAATTTAACCTACTTCTAATTGTCATATTGACTTGAAACTTTGCAAGTATTTCTATTTCCGTTGATAGTACAGTGGTTCGGTGTTGTTGACCTGATCTGATGGCAAGGCCAGAAGGTGGATAGGTGCAACTCTTCAACGACTAATAGTAGATACTTTGAGTTTGGGCTTATTTTGTTTGATTTGACAAGCCTAACACGTTAGAATCCTTACTTTGCTACTACTGTCTACACTAAAAAGGGAAAAATAAAAACTTTTTAACAAAAAAATAAAAACCGACTTCAAACAAAAGTACTAAAAAGTAAAAAATAACTGATTGGTAGTTTTCATTTACTATACATACCTAATCAAATATTTTCGAAGTCGGTGTGCTTTGGCTAAGTAATTGAAGCCTACCTATTAAATACATACCTAATCAAATATTTTCGAAATCGGTGACAGACCATACAAAGCAAAGCACACCGACTTCGAAAATATTTGATTAGGTATGTATAGTAAATGAAAACTACCAATCAGTTATTTTTTACTTTTTAGTGCTTTTGTTTGAAGTCGGTTTTTATTTTTTTGTTAAAAAGTTTTTATTTGTCCAATTGTAGTACCTAGTTATAAAAATATATTAAATTACATAATTATACTTTTTCTATATATGTAGGTACTTATAATTCAATTGGATGAAGAATAAGAATTTTAATGTTAATAAGAATGATAATTTTTATATTAATTTTATTAAAGCAGAACATTTGAAAGTAGGCTGCCAATATAAATTTTACATGATAATTAATTCATAATTGTATCGTTTATTATTTAAACACAAGTCAAACTTTTCTAACTATACGTTTTCATAATTACACGATTCAATATGAGGTTATAGGTACTTCTCAGAACTAGGAGTTCTAACATATCAATTATCGTATGTGTAACATCTGAATAAGTTATAGACGGCCATAAGTATCACTGAAAAATTAAATATATGACCCTAATCGTCTCATGACTTACCTTTTAAGTAAACATCGCGCTACTCATTTTCTTGCAAGAGTCCTGCATTTTTACTGTAATTCTATACGCGTTCATTCAGGGAGGCGTCGATTAAATTATTCAATGTATCTGCTATCTCTTTTCGCCTACAAATTCAGTTTCAGTGTGAAAGAGACAGGTATAACACAAGGTGTCAACTGCGAAGGAGGTTGTAAATGTTTAGTCGTGCGTTAAAATTGCTTCAGAGCGGTCGACCCGCGATGTGTGCCCATTTCGAATCACCGGCAGAAATGCTTTCTCGTAGACATAACTTTCGAATAACCAAAGTTAAACTAATCAGTTAAAGCTAATGAAGATGAGTTAATCTTATTTGTTTTATTTCAACGGAACAATTTTTATGTTTTGTTTGTAATGTTCTATGTGAAGGTCGTGTCCTTCAATCGATGAACAATTAAATACGTGTGACCACTGTCCACTGGACCGTTTTTGATACGTTTTTATCATAAGTGCCAATATAAAGTTAAGCTTTATAAGGACTAGTTTAATTTTGTTAAAGGCAATTTTAAAAATTAATTATCTTCATGGAACTATGGGCATCTGTTTAGACACTGGTAAGTTTGTCCCACGTTGGGCGCCAATTATATAGGTATCTACTTTATGTCATCTTATTAACCATTTTATTGTTAGTCTATTTGGCTATTAAATTCAGTTAATAACAAAAAGTTAAGAAATATAATCAAAAAACAATAAAATCCTCTAGCAATATCAATAATGACAGTTTATTTTTGAGCACCAGGTACCATTACAGAGGTAACAAGTTCGACGCTGTTATGTGAATATTTAACAGCATCGAAACAGATAGTTTTAAGGCATGAATATAACTATTGCATATTTATTTAGATAAAAAAAAAGTAATAAAAAGTCCTACTTAATCTATAACAGAATATTTCAAAATATAACGAAGTTTTTGTGAATAACAATGTAATTTCTTTTATAATGAATCACCTCCAAGTCAATACTGGCTTTCGACATCGCAAATGATGGAGCCCGCCGCCTTAACAAAGATCCATGATTTTACAAAAAATAAAGCATATTCTTGGACTTTTCAAGGTTATTAAGCTATTTACAAAAAGTAGGACTAATACCTAAATTATAAATGGAATCTTTCTATTATGTACATGATAATGAGTTTGGGTGTCTATTGCAATGTTTATGTATAATCGATGCTAATATAGGTAACATTTATACTAGGACAAGCTTCTTTCTCAGGAAACTTATTTTCGTAGCTCTGGATCAATAATTTTATAACTTTTTGCAAAACTACAAAACGGACTTTTTGTATCATATGTTTAAAACATTATAGGTTAACATTTTTAAGCATAATTTTCAATCTTAATAGAACAAAACAATGAAGAATTTGAGACGGGTGGCGATCGCAGTCGCCGCGAGAGTACGTGGCCCGCCACTCCGTCCGGTGTCCCTTTCCCCATGCAGAACTCCAGCCACGTCAAGTTCGAGCCGCCCAGCGTGCCCGTCATATTCGTATTGGGTAATAATCTATATCTATAGATATAATAAAATTGTAACTAAGCCGAATCTGTCCATTAAATATTTTTTGGAAAATCTTATTGAAATAAGCATTATTATTTATTATCGATACAGAGGCCGAATCTATAGTTTTTAGATTTTTTGTCTGTCTATCTGTTAGCGCATCACAGAAAAAACACTGGAGAGATTTTGATGAAATTTGGTATGGTGATAGCTGGTTATCCGGGTCAACATATAGGATACTTTTTACCGTGGGAAAATATCTCATTTCTGAGAAAAAATACAAAAACTGCAATGTAAGAGTATACTAATATGTATAAATGTAAAACCTAAGAATTTGGTTTTTGGTCATCTGAACGCGGGCGGAGCCGCGGACAATGCTAGTCTTATATATATTATGTATCCTTACATGTTATATAATATTTATAGCACTAATAATTTCATAGATTTACGCGAATATTTGATATCGGCAACGCGCATGTGATGCCCCAGGTGTTGCAGGCGTCCATAGGCTGCGGTAACCGCTTACCATCAGGCGGGCCGCATGCCTGATTGCCACCGACATGGTATAAAAAAAAACTACATATCTATATATCCATACTAATATTATAAATGTGAAAGTGTGTTTGTTTGTTCTTCTTTCACGTCAAAACGGAGAAACGGATTGGCGTGATTTGTGTGGAGATAGTTAAAGGGCTAGAGAGTAACAGAGGCTACTTTTTACTGTGGAAGATTATCTCATTCCCACGTGAAAATACGTTATATAATATATAGTCTATGTATTCCATACTGAATGAATGAATGAAATAAACTTTATTCAATTAGACTTATTTATTACAAGTGCTTTTGAATCGTCAATTTATTGTAGCTTAGCGTCAATGTAGTCAGTCCGTGAGGAAGCTACCATCGGTTCGGAAAGCAGTTCTGCTGAGAAGAGCCTCCAAGAAATTCAACAGTTGCTCTTTTAAATATCGAAGTTACTTATATTTATTTTATTAACATAACAATATAGATATCCCGTATATGAGTCAATATTTTTCAATTCCACACATTTCCATCAACAAGAAACTCTAGCGATTTTTACGAGCAAGTAATATGTTGCACAGTATATATTGTGACGCAACCATAAGAATACCAATTTTTTTGATAACATCTCGACGAACCCGAACAACACTCAGACGACGCTATACCAAAATTCATTGAAATTTGTTAACCAGCTTAGATGTAAAAACAGACAGACGGAGTTTCTTTCGTATTCATAATATTAGTATGGCCGTGTGACAGGAGAAGTACTTATTAAATGTTATCTATTCAGTCTGTACCATTCCATTAGAACAGTTATAAAATTTTTACCCATCTAGGTAACTTTGCAGGAGGTCCAGGCAGCGGCAAGGTGACACACTGTGACAACCTGATGCAAGAAAGACGAGGAGTGGTCCATATAAACATGACTGATCTACTCCAGCAGTATGCGATTGGTAATGGTAAGAAGCTAAATCATTTTATTCTTTTTAATTATAAAACTATATTAAACGTAACACGAAAATTTTCGTTCCATCATTCGGAATGATTTATTCCTTAAATACAAGGTACAGCTAATTCATATGTTTATAAATAAAACTCAATTTACTTCAAATAATATCTATATTAAATAAGCTTAAATTGTATGTCAATTTAATTCTCCAAATGAAAGATTTTAAAACTTAAAAAACAAAAACATTAGTCTGGAGTTTCTGTAGAAAACCTTTGCAAAACATACTAAAAATGGGAACTTTTCTTTCATTCTCTATGAAATATAAGTTACAAAAAACCGCCATAAATTATATCAATATTGCTTAATAATGTTTCGGGATCGTTATATTAATAATAAATGAACTATTAAAATACTGAAGAAGCACTAGGATATACTGACTGACTTAAAAAATATAATTCAATAATTTATATTCAGCCATTTTTATAACGTCCCACTGCTGGACACGGGCCTCCTTTCAACACGAGGGGAATGAGGCAATAGTCCACTACGCTGGCCAAGTGACTTGACGTGTCCTTCAAAAACTTGTCAGGTTCCCTCAGACATGCATGTTTCCTCACGATGTTTTCCTTCGCCGTAAGACAAGTGGTATTCATGTTGGAAAATGATTCACATGTGTGAGTTTAGATGAAAATTCAATAATACGAAGCATGAATTAATAAATTTGTTGCTTATTTAAGATACATTTTGGCCAACTTTAGTCAGATCAGATCAGAGAGAGATCTGACTCAGATATGCTACGAGAGCTACGCTTCGGTCTTTTGGCACATGTTAGGTATTTTTGAACCCAGAAACTTTTACTATTTACAGTACCATATTTTAAATATAAGCTCGGTGACATCTGACTGACAGACAAAAATTCTAAAAACTACAGATTCGGCCTCTGTATCGATAATAAAGTCTATTTCAATAAGATTTTCCAAAAAATATTTAATGTACAGATTCGGCTTAGTTACAATCTTTATATATATAATTCTTCTGTGAGTGTGTATGTCACTGAACTTCTCTCAAACGACTGGACCGATTTTGATGAAATCTTTTGTGTGTGTTCAAGGGGATCTGGGAATGGTTTAGATTCACAATTTTTTTAATAGAAAATAATATATTAAAAAAAGTTTGAAATTTTCAAATTCAAGACGTGTAGACAGGACAACGTCTGTCGGGTCCGCTAGTTTTATTATATAACATTATTTCTCGCAGGCTTTTTGAAAAAAAAATTTTTATACTTTTTTTCGTTTTTCAGAAACGTTTTTTCAGCAAAATATTTGTTGATAATATTTATTAATCCTCTACTTAAAATAAAGTGAAGTTGACTATAAATAAAATATTAGCTAAGCATTAAATATAATACGATGTTACTCCAACAGAAATTAGGTCACCCAAATATCAAGCTGCTAATTTAAAATGAATGGTTAATAAAATTAGTGTTCAGAGATTGTAGCCGCTCGGAACAAGTACTACTGTTTTAGTAGGCATCATTCATTATTTTTAAACCTAAGTTTTTTAAGGAAATTTAATTATTCATTTAAATTCATCCTAAATAAACTCATTTGCTATATACCTACATGGTATGTACATCTATACATATAATAAAATTGTAACTAAGTCGAATCTGTACATTAGATATTGAAATTAACATTAATATCGATACAGAGGCCGAATCTATAGTTTTTAGAATGTTTGTCTGTCTGTCTGTCTATCTGTTTGTTACCGCATCATAGAAAAACCACTGGAGGGATTTTGATTAAATTTGGTATAGTGATAGCTGGTTATCCGGGTCTACATATAGGATACATTTTACCGCGAGAAAGTGTCTCATTTCTGAGAAAAAAATACAAAAACTGCATTATAAGAGTATACTAATATGTAAAACCTTAGAATTCAGGTCATCTGAACGCAAGCGGAGCCACGGGCAATGCTAGTTATTAATATAATCTTTAATTAACATCACTTGTACAATATTCGAAAGCCAAATAAAAGTAAAGACTGAACAAACAGACAATGATGACAGTTTACAAGTAATACATACCTAACGTATTATCAAGAATATATAATTTAGTAAGCAAACTTGACATTATTTGTTCAAGAAGCATCTACAAGTTAGCGGTCAGAGTCAACACCGATGTCACACATCGCGATCGATGTTCTTGCATTATACAAGTTTCAAAGTTAATTTGCATGACGTCCGATTTTTTTTTTTCAAAAATACTATTAATTTTGTTTACTTTTAAATAATAAGTCCAGCCAATAGGTGAATTAATCTACATAAAATAAAGCAATTTTCGCGGTATTGCCATTCGATAAAGGGGCATTTTCCTAAATTCAAAGCCTGTTTGGGAGGTCGCCCAAGAGACGTTGGCGCCACTATCGCGAGAAACGCGTTTTAAATAAGTCGGGAAACATAACATTATTAATATAAAAAAAAAGTTATAAGTAAAAATTGTAGGTAATTAAAAGATCTATAACTTTGATAACAAATAAAATTATTTGTAAACTAGTGACTCACCCTCGCTTCGCTCGGGTTAGTCGATAGCTTGCTTGCCAATACAAACTTTTATTCTAATTTTCACCCCCTTAAGGGATGATTTCCGGGATAAAAAGTATCCTATGCCCTTTCCAGGGTCTCAAACTATCTTCTTACAAAATTTCATTTAAATCGGTTCCGTAGATCCAGAGATTACCCTCTACAACGTCACAAACTCACAAGCACACAAACTAACAAACTTTACCTCTTTATAATATTAGTATTGATGAACGGTTAGGCAGAATTAATCGCGAAAATCCAACGAAGGTAGCGAAATTTGTGTTTCGAGCGCGATATCTCGAGAAATATTAATTTTAGAAAAAAAAGGTTTCAATAAAGAAGATAAAAAAATTAATTTAAAATAGAAAAGATTTCTATACTTCTTTTACGTTCTGGAGATATTGAAAATTGCGTTTTTCGCGATAGTGGCGCCAGCGCCTAATGAGCGACCCCTCAGACTTTGCTTTAGGCTTAGAAAATGTCCCTTAATCGAATAGCAATAACGAAGAAATTCCTTTATATAAGATCTATGAATATATGATCTATGAATAATCTATACATATAATAAAATTCTGAGTCAAATCTGTACATTAAATATTTTTTGGAAAATCTTATTGAAATACACATTATTATCGCTAACAGAGGCCGAACCTGTAGTTTTAAGAATTTCTGTCTGTCTGTCTGTCTGTTACCGCATCACACAAAAACTATTGGACGGATTTTGATGAAATTTGGTATAGTTATAGCTGATTATCCGGGTCAACTAATATACTTATACGCGTTTTGGTCATATGAACGTGGGCTAATGTACTATGAAATGTTAAAAATGGTACAGATTTGAATGATTTAAATCTGAAACAACTGCCTATTACACAATTTTTACGTTACGGTTAAATACGTTAATCTGCAGAACGCAGATTTCTTATGACTCTTATTAGATAACGGATCCAGATAAGACTTAAAGTGTCTATTATCTCGTTGTAATAGTTAATATTGTATAGAAGTTATTTTATATTGCATTTTTATACTCATGAGTCCTCATTCACCTCTAATTGTAATTAATACTTCGTACAAATCAGTTCCACGATCGAGAAATGTCAACGGTCAGTAGTAATTAGTTTTTTCTCCATTCTCAAAAAGATGAATTCTTTTGAAATATCCCCAAAGTACACAGTGGTGACAGGAGAGCTGGTGCATTTTTCGCACAAAGAGGAAGAGGAGAATGCGATGAGAATTAATGAGAAAGAGGGGAATACGGCTAGCATTCTTGCCATTATTCCATGCGGACATGACTTGTACAGTAATAACTAAGTGTACATTTATTTTATATATTTTGTATATAATTAAATATATTTGTAATTATCTTTATTGTAAGAAAAAAAATCAAGTTTAAAAAAATATCGCATAAATCTATACTAATATTATAAAGAGGTAAAGTTTGTGAGTTTGTGACGTTGTAGGGGGGAATCTCTGGATCTACTGAACCGATTTAGATGAAATTTGGTAAGAAGATAGTTTGAGACCCTGGAAAGGACATAGGATACTTTTTGTCCTGGAAATCATTCTTTAAGGGGGTGAAAATGGTGATGAAAGTTTGTATGAGGAAGCAGGCCAGGGACAAACCCGAGCGAAACGAGGGTGAGTCGCTAGTTACATATATTTTGAAAATAATAGGTAACAAAGTATAAAAATATTATATAATATTCCTTAATATTATTCCTTAATCCTTAAAAAGTATTATAGTTTAGTGTCTCGCACCTTTGATATTTTCATGTGCGGAATATTTTCCAACATGATTACCAGTTGTCTTACGGTGAAGGAAAACATCATGAGGAAACATGTATGTCTGTGGGAACCTAGCAAGCTTTCGAAAAACATGTAAAGCCCGCTAACCCAGATTTGGCCAGCGTAGTGGACTATAAGTCTAACCCCTATTGAAGAAAACTCAGTGCCCAGCAGTGGGACGTTAAAAAGGACTGAGTACAAACATTCATAACAGCAATTTAAGCAATCAACGTAATTCCACAATTAAGCGCCTTCTCCGTGGGAACAGTCAACTGCGTCTGACAATATTAGTAGTTACATATATATTATACGGTAATATTTCAAGAAGTTTCTTTGATTATTTCACCATATCATGTTTCAATTTAGGGATTTCATGAAATCTTTCATGATTTTTGGCAATTATTATGAGCACTTGTTGCATACAAATCCATATATGTAAAGCCGACAATATTTTAAGATATGAATATCTAATAGGTAAATATATGTTTTACGTATCGAAATGTATTAGATTTGGTTTGCATCGGCTGGCACCCACTTCGAAAATATCTGATTAGGTATCTATTCTAAATGAAAACCCTTTTAGTAATTTTTTGCGTTCTAGTGCCTGGAAGTCGGTTTTTTTTATCTTTTTATTCGTCCATTTTTAGTGTAGACGTAATAAGCAGGTAATATGTTAAAAGAAAGTTTTTCGATTAAGCAATTTATTTAAAATATAATTTATTTGTTGATTAAAAAAAACCGCTTAACCGATTTCGATAAAATTTATATGGGACCACCTGGGAAGCAAACAAAACAAAAAAAAATCCAATTCGATTCACGCGTCTTTGAGTAATCGGTGAAAATACATAAAAAAAAAGATTCCGATGAATTGAGAACCTCCTCCTTTTTGGAAGTCGGTTAATAAATGGGGAAACATCTATAGGTATGACTTTGGTTCCTGTGAGATATACACCCATGATGAGATGAGATGTCATTCTATAATAATCATTGAGGAATAGAAATCAAAAAAAAAACTTAAATTACTGTCCCACATATTTTTTTTTATTCCTCAAAGATAACATCTAGTCTAAGCCCCAGGGATAGAAATTATACGGAAATTCTGTTTTAATTGTATTTTTTTTTTGGTATATTTATATTACATGAAAATTGGCACAATTGTTCGACAATATTTGGGTGGCTATTTAAAATATCTATTATCATAAGAACGTGGGACATTGAATAAAACATTAGATGAAAATGGTTTTCAGTAATATTATATTACTAGGGACTTACCGTCGCTTCGCTCGGGTGCGTCTCTATTTTTATTTCGTCCCGTTTTAATTTTATTGAGTCTAACCCTAATTCTTTTTCTAAAATAAAAGTACCCTAAGTTACTCCTTAGAACATCTTACCTATCTACCAGTGAAAGTCCCGTCAAAATCAGTCGAGCCGTTTCTGAGATTAGCTGGAGCAAACAGACAGACAAAAATTAAAAAAAAATATTTTTCTTCTTAATACGTTATATAATTTCATAATATGCATTTAGTAAAAAGCTGTTATTTTGACATTACAAACAGACATTTCAATTTCATTTATCTGTATAGATAATTTACTTTTAAAAGGCCTACTTTACCTAAAAATAAAGGACTGTCCATAGATATGCAAGATTTTGGAACTTTGTCAAGCACAACGGTTACTGAAGTGCTGATGTTAGAAATGAAGATGGCGCCTACGGCGAAGACCTATCTCGTGTCGGGCTACCCGAGGTCCATGAGAGATGTTGCTGAATATTCAGATAAGGTATGAATAGTTAAACTTTTTTTATATTTTTATCATTTACTAGCCGCAACAGTCCAATATTGGCGGATTTAAGCTCGATGCCGCCCTAAATGTGAATCTGTATTCAAATTCAAGGTTTACCCCTTATAACAAACATCCAAACATACATAAACACAATATTATTATATCTATACATATACCTAATAAAATTGTAACTAAGCCAAATCTGTATATTAAATATTTTTTGGAAAATCTTATTAAAATAAACATTATTATCGATACAGAGGCCGAATTTATAGTTTTTAGAATTTTTGTCTGTCTGTCTGTTACCGCATCACAGAAAAACCACTGGAGGGATTTTGATGAAATTTGGTATGGTGATAGCTGGTTATCCGGGTCAACATATAGAATACTTTTTACCGCAGGAAAATGTCTCATTTCTGAGAAATGCGACATTAGAATACTAATATGTAAAACCTAAGAATTTGGTTTTTGGTCATCTGAACGCGGGCGGAACCGCGGGCAATGCTAGTATTAACATAATATAAGTCACCAGAAAACTTTCTCACATTTTATTCGGTAACCACCGTCCTTGTAACGAAAAAATCCTGGAATGAAAAACAACAAGACATCTTTTTAAGCATTTCCTATTATAAAGAAACTAGGTTTTGCCCGCGGCTCTGCTCATGTTGTTTTTTATAGATAATTATAAAAAAAAACTTAGGTAAAATAATCTTTGATAATATCGACAAAATATGCCTTTTATATTTGGTGTCTATCGAAATATATATGGTTAATTTGTTAATCGATTCGGGAAGGACCTTCTAACAAAAATCATTGTCTAGTGTGTCAAGGTCGGGGTTCCTTACAACTTCGATCCTTATGTTGTAAGCAATAGGTACTAATTTCTTAGATAAATATTATTTAATTTAAATTAATAAAATGGCTGTTATTTTTTTTTCTTTTTTTTTGTATATTGCAACGGCATTTATATATTTTTAATTAGATTATTATCAATTATTTTATTATGAGCAAAATTTTCTTTTTTTCTGATTTCAAAAAGGAGGCACCTACTCTTTTCATATTTTTTTTATGTATGGTGGTACGTGATGTTTTTAAAACATACATTTTACCTCGAGAGTAGTTTCTTATGAATTTTAAAAAAAAACCCCGTGTGTGTGTGTACTTATTGTACGCAATTAAGAAGTTACACTTCTTTGGCGTAACAGAACAAAATTAGCTAAAGATTTCATCCTGTATGTCACAACTCTCTGTAAAATGAATGCAGCTAACCTCATCATGTCGCTTTTTGGCTGTCAGTGTGCGCGCGCATCGTAAAAATTTTACTCTTATAATTTTTTTAATATCACTTAAAAAAATCCAATGTTCCATTTCCAATGTTCGTACCTTTAATTTATAATTATTTTAAATTCAGTGTATATTTGTTTATTTAGCAAAACCTTTCTTTTTGTTTTACATGCGTTTAGTTCCTCTAAACTATCCAATAATGATGATTACGCTATTTAGACATCAAAAACCTCTCTCTCGACGAAACCATGTTTTCTGTAAAGTGTAAACAATAGTAACGACGGGAAGCAAAACTTAAAATAAACCAGCGACAAAATTCGAAAAGATACAATTTTTTGTCCGTATTTAAAAAAAGGAGGAAGTCAATCTGCTCGTGTTTTTTGTTTGTGTATATGTTACATGGCATAAGTATGCGCCTTATGGCTTATACATACAAATGTCAAGGGTAGTCTCATGGGTATTATAAAAGTATATTGGTATGAAATGCTCAAAATATGAAAAAAGTATATAAAAAATGAGTGAGAAATACTATTATTTGAAACATATTTCTTGTCTTTATAATATACCGAAATACCGGGAAAATAGTTTCTGTCTACTCTCATGGATGCATTAACTATATACATACGAGTATAGGAAATATATATATATATATATATATATATATATATATATATATATATATTTAATATATATAGGAAAACCATATCACTTGTTCCGCTGCTGCGTGAACTTCAAGTAACAAACCAACAGACTGACAAACAACATTCATATTTTAAATAAAACTATCTTTTCGGAATTTTTCGCGGATTATTCGGATTTATGGTTCCCGACGTAAAATTCAAATAAATCCACGAAAAAATCTGAAAAGATAGTTTTATTTAAAATATCGAATATTCGCGTAAATCTAAGAAAGTATAACATTCATATTTATTATATTATTAAAATTAGCAAAGAATATTGAGTATATGTGTGTTTGTTTGTTACTTCTTTATGCTGAAACAGCTGGATGGATTCGTGTGAAATTTAGTTTATAAGTATTAGTATACAGATAAACACACACATAATCTATTGTAAGGCATCCTGGGACTCCCCCGAGCAAAGTGGGGGTAAGTCACTAGTTATACATAATGCAAAAGATCTTGATTAGAACTATCCAATATTTTAACTATTCAGGCCGTGCCGTAGTTGCGAATTATAGAGGTAATGTTAATGGAATTGTACGGCAACAGCTCCTTGGGGACGGCAGGAAATACTGGTGAAGTTACTCGAATTGATTGGTACTATATATCGAGTGATATATGTAGTTACGACTCAGACTTATAACTTCCCATCTCTTCCATATTAAACGTGTGTATTATTCGCTTAAATAAGTAATGTTTTTGATTTCGCGAATAAATTATCTATACTAATATTGTAAAGAGGTAAAGTTTGTGAGCTCGTGACGTTGTAGAGGGGTAATCTTTGGATCTACTCCACCGATTTAGATGAAATTTAGTAAGAAGGTAATTTGACACCCTGGGAAAGACATAGGATACTTTTTATCGCGGAAATCGTCCCTTAAGGGGGTGAAAATGGAGATGCTAGTTTGTATTGGGAAGCAAGCGAGGATGATCGCTAGTATACATAATAAAAGCTAGGTTTATTTTTGACTAGCATCCCTGGTTGCGTTTTAACGTTCATTGTAGTATAGATTTCTCAGAGATGATATATTTTCCCGCAGTAAAAAGTGACCTACTTATATATTGACCTGGATTATCAGTTATCATTATACCAAGTTTCATCAAAATCTATCCAGTGATTTTCTTGTGATGCGTTCTCATACAGGCAAAAATTCTAAAAAATTATAGATTCGGCCTCTGTATCGATAATCATGACTACTTCAATAAGATTTTCGAAAAAAATATATTTAATATACAGATTCGACTCAGAATTTTACTATATGTAAAGATTTTCCATTATTATTTCGGGGAATTTATATTTGTAGTTATTTTTGAGCACTTCTAAACCGTATGATGGCATTTGCCTTTAATTAAATTGCCATGACCCGGAGTGAGGCATGTAACTAATTGACCCTATGTTGTGTACCGGATAGTGGGTACTAATCTGCATTCTAACAATTATTGTCCATCGTATTGATTATATAAATACTTTTTGTTAGATTCTGTATCCTTATTGGTAAAAGATGGAAAACTCTCAGACGTATTCCTTTTACGATCTATACAAAATATGTATGTACTAGCGACTCGCCCTCGCTCCGCTTGGGTTCGTCTCTACTTACGTTTTAACGTTTAGTATAGATTTCTCAGAGATGTGATATTTTCCCGCAGTAAAAAGTACCCTATATGTTGACTCGAATAACCAGCTATCATCATACCAAATTTCATCAAAATCCCTCAAGTGGTATTTCCGTGATGCGGTCCCGGATAGACAGACAAAATTCTAAAAACTATAGATTCGGCCTTTGTATCGTTAAGAATGCTTATTTAAATAAGATACTTTTTACCGCGGGAAAATATCTCATTTCTGCAAAAAAATACAAAAACTGCAATGTAAGAGTATACTAATATGTAAAACCTAAGCATTTGGTTTTTGGTCATCTGAACGCGGGCGGAGCCGCGGGCAATGCTAGTATAGAAATATTATAAATTAAGCACTTTAAATACAAAATGAAAATATTATCTGACCTCTTTGATTTGATGAGCTCTCAGTACTCAATGTCATTGCCGCCAACATCGTTCAATATGTCTGGCTTTTTATTTATTTAGTATATAAATTTAGGGTCAATGAATGTATCGATTGTTATATTTCATTTCTGAAATTTCCCCGGTTTGTTTCCCCCCATTTGACAGTTTAATCTGGAAAATTTGATATATTGATAGTTTTTTTTATCTATACATATAATAAAATTCTGAGTCAAATCTGTACATTAAATATATTTTGAAAAATCTTATTGAAATAGACATTATTATCGATACAGAGGCCGAATTTATAGTTTTTAGAACTTTTATCTGTGTGTCTGTCTGTCTGCCTGTCTATCTGTCTGCCTGTCTATCTGTCTGTTACCGCATTACAGAAAAACTACTGGATTTTGATGAATGATAATAGATGGTTATCCGGGTCAACAAATAAGATACTTTTTACCGCGGGAAAATATCTCATTTCTGATAAAAAATACAAAAACTGCAATGTAAGAGTATACTAATATGTAAAACCTAAGAATTTGGTTTTTGGTCATCTGAACGCGGGCGGAGCCGCGGGCAATGCTCGTTTTGATATATTTCTATAGATTTTGACCTTCGCTAATTAGACCAATAATTGAATTAGAATATAAAAAGTTTTTCGGGAAGTCTCGAATAAATCGATTGTCCGACATAATCAAGCAGACTGCTAGCACCTCGCGGTTAATTTCTAAGAAATCAATTGTTAACCAAGCCACCTGTGGCTCGGCCGTCGCTGACAGACTAGTTAAATCAGGATGCTGTTTTATTAAGACGGGATAGGATCCGTAGAGTTTAGTGGATAGTGCTGGCTTTTCTAACCGCTTCCACATACCTGTATGTATGCAACTGGTATGTTCTAACCCTGGGAACAAAACATCTAGTTTAGATATCAAGTTCCTTACATAAATAACTGTACAAACCAAACCTACTTCTAACGTAACATTTTTCTTAGAGGTCTTACATATGTAATTTTGTTAGTTAGAAAAAAACATACTGGAAATAATAATTGATCAAACCTAATGTCCTGAAAGAGCCGAGTCACCGATGATATCTCGTGCTTTAGTAAATATATATACACACGCGATTCGGTAAGCGTTAAGCTCCACGTATCATTAAGTACATATACAGATGATGTGGAAGTTTTTTCATGAATTATATGTATGTTTTTTATACAATCTATACTAATATAATAAAGAGGTAAAGTTTGTGAATTGTGAGTTTGTGACGTTGTAGGGCGTAATCTCTGGATCTACTGAACCGATTTAGATGAAATTTGGTAAGAAGATGATTTGAAACCCTCGGAAGGACATAGGATACTTTTTATCCTGAAAACCATTCCTTAAGGGGGTGAAAATGTGGATGAAATTTTGTATAGGGAATCAACCTAGGGACGAACCCGAGCGAAGCGAGGCTGAGTCGCTTGTTTATAATATTTGGAGTTTTTGTATGATGAAATGGAATAATTTCTTTTAAATCTCTACATCTCTAGAGATAGATTCTTCTTTAATGCAACAACTGATCAACAAATCTATGAAATTTTTACGATGCATAGATATTTTATTCGAATCATATTTTATTTGCCGGACTGTAAAACGTTGGGAGCTTGAGATTTTTTTGGAACATCAAATGGTACCAATGGGATATCTATATTTAAAAATAATATTCAAATACCTTATAAAGAAATTTAATAGTTAGCAGAGGGTAACAGCTTGAATATTTTATATGTAGCCGTTCTAGGTAAGCGGGACTGATAATGACAGTTGCCACAATGCAATTTATGCCCTTCCTAACTATCATAGCAAGCTAAAACGTAACAAACAAACTACGTAACTTTCATATTTATAATATTAGCAGGTATAGATTTGTTATTTTAAATAAAACTATCTTTTCGATATTTTTGGTTCCCGACGTTTCTAAATTCTAATGCTTTACAGCAATCATGGTCACGAGAACGACTAAGGTTTTAAACGTCTCAAAGGTCATATATATATATAGAAAAGTATCTACTCACAAAACTATAAAAAAAAACTATAATAATTTAAATCTAAATTTTTAACTATAGATCCAGACGATAAGCGGTGTGGTGCTAGTCAGTTGGAGGCAAAGGGTCCTGGAGCGGCAGATAGAGTACGGGGCTCGACTTGGCCACGTCGTGTTAAGCTTGGCAAGAATGGAACTGAACAACTTTTATAAGAATGTGATGCCTGTAGCAGATTACTTCGATCAAAGCAACATGTTAATTGCAGTAAGTACTCAACTATAACTTTGACCAACTTTATATATATATATTTTACTTTTTAGGGTATGTTTTTGGAGTATATGAATGTTGTATTTTTGCAAATCGGTTGTTTGATTGAAACGATTCTCATAAAGTTCGGGTTTCATTTCTCGAGGGTGATCACTTCACAAAAATAAAAATATAGCTGATATTGAAACAAGTACCACTTTTAATCTAAAAAGTTTTTATTATAAAATCAGTAGTAACCTTTAACACATTTTGAAATTTTACTGATAACACTTAAACTCGTCAATGGCTACTAAATAAAAGAAAAGAACACCGGTTGACAAACAGAGACTATGAACTCGATGAAATTTAAATTAGTATATCTACTGCTTATTTGCTTCCTAAAGGGATAAATAAGTCTAATTTCTTAATAAGTAAGCTTCATAGAGTAATGGCGGGTAAAAGAATTAGGTGAAGTATCATAATATGAAACTTTTTCCTGAAGACTTACCCTAAAACCAAAATTACTTAAATCGCTTTAGACTTTTCTAACAATCGATATACATACATAACACACGTTTGGCTCAGTTTGTAGTGACCCTACTTTTTGTGCCAGCAGTCGCGGGTTCGAGTCCCGCTGGGGGCATTCATTTGTGTGATGAGCATGAATGTTTGTACTTCAGTCATGGGTGTTTGTTTATATTTATAATATGTATGTATTTAAAGCTATATATGTGTAGTGTATCAACTATCTGGTATCCATAACACAAGCCTCGTAGCTTACCATGGAACTAGATGGTGTTGTGTGTTAATGTCCCAACATATTTATTTATTCATTTATAACACATAAATTTTGATAGTCAAAACGGATTTCTAAATATTACACATCATACCGGCAATAATAGTTAATTTAAAAACAATAGGTTTTAATTACGATTATGACGAAAATGTAGAGTTGGTATAGAGATATGTAGAAACTATTAACTGGCATATAAGTTTTATTTATATTAAGATTTTTTAAATTATTTTTTTTATTCTATAATGGCTTATAGTTCTTTATATTATTCACAAGCTTTTGATTAACTTCCAACGTTCGTTTTAAAATTTGCAAGTCATTTATCAATAATAAAATAAGAATAATAAAGCCTTATATATCTCTAAATTTTAACATCAGACAAGATTAGTGCGATCTTAATTAAAAGAGAAGATTGCGTTAATACATTCTCCAGAGAATTGCAGAAACCACCCCCCCCCCCCCCATCCGTTTCGACGTGAAAGAAGGACAAACAAACAAACACACTTTCACATTTATAATATTAGTATGGATTTATTGCACAACAAAATACATGGTATCGTAACATTAAACATAATAAAGTAAAAAGGGTGTAATGTAAAGTCAGCCTTCATGAATCATTCATTCTTTAATACTATTACCCAACAGGCCCATTAGCTCAGTTGGTTAGAGCGTCGTGCTAATAACGCGAAGGTCGCGGGTTCGATCCCCTCATGGGCCACATAATTTTTTTCATATATTATTATTAAATAATTATTATAAGAAATAAAAATTCAATAGGTATTAAAATTTTGTCTTTTACAACTATTTTTATGATAAAGTATTAGTGGAGATTAGGGATGTAACAAAAGAATCAAACCAGATCTTTAATAGTACGAGAAGAAAGAAATATTTTAAATATCAAATTTAAATTCTTTATTCAAGATTTAAATATGTTGGGACATTAACACACAGCACCATCTAGTTCCATGGTAAGCTACGAGGCTTGTGTTAAGAATACCAGATTGTTGATATACACTACACATATATTATTTTAAATACATATATATGTTATAAATAGAAACCCATCACTGGAGTGCAAACATTCGTGCTCATCACACAATTGAATGGCCCCAGCAGGACTCGAACCTGCGACCGCTGGCACAGCACGTAGAGTCACTACACACTGAGCCAAACGTGTCGTCAATTATATTTATTTTTATTTCTTCTAATTCAACGTTTATATCCATGAAAATAATTGTTATTAAGAAACGTCAACGAGCTTGCTTAATGCCAAACGTCAAACTTATTAAGGACTAGCATTGCCCGCGGCTCCACCCGTGTTCAGATGACCAAAAACCAAATTCTTAGGCTTTACATATTAGTATACTCTTACAATGAAGTTTTTGTATTTTTTCTCAGAAATGAGATATTTTCCCGCGATAAAAAGTATCCCATATGTTGACCCGGATAACCAGCTATCATCATACCAAATTTGTCATCATCATACCAAAACAAAATTTGTCCAGTGGTTCTCGTGATGCGGTAACAGACAGACAGAAAGACAGACAGAAAGACAGACAGACAAAAATCCTAAAAACTATAGATTCGGACTCTGTATCGATAATAATGTCTATTTCGATTAGAATTTCCAAGTAATATTTAATGTACAGATTCGGCTTAGTTTACAATTTTATTATATATATATATATATATATATATATATATATATATATATATATATATATATATATATATATATATATATATATATATATATAGATAGATATAGATATGGATTAATATAAAGATTTTGAATTGCCGAAAGCATATATGGCAGGAGACAAAATCATGTTTTATGTAGAGATTGCCTGAAAAATGAAATCCCATATTGACATGACTAACTATTGATGAAATTATAATAAGTACAAGAATATATTATTGAAATTTGAACATAATATTTTTTTTCTCACTGATACAATAAAGCTCGTCAATAGCAAAATATAAGAAAATAAATAAAAAAATAAATAAATAAAAACTAAACAAATAAATAAAAAAAGGATAATAATAAAAAGAAAATAAATAAATAAAAACTAAACAAAAAATAAGAAAATCAGTTGGCAGCAGAGAAAAAAAGGCACTGAACTTTTTTGTCTTTGCCTATTAATATTTAGATTGCTTATAGGTACATATACATACATATATTATGGATTAATCTCTATGTTACAAAATCCATACTAATATTATAAATGTGAGTTTAAGAGGAAGTATGGATGTTTGTTACTCTTTTACGCCAGAACGGCTGAACGGATCTGAATGAAATTTGGCACAGAGATAGATTATAGTCTGAAATAGCACATAGGTTTATTTTATCCCGGAAAAATGTACAATTCCCGTGGGATACGCTTGTTTTTGACTAGGGATAAACCTGAAGCGAGGGTGCGTTGCTAGTTAAACATAAGTATAATCCAAAAGTTAAGCATAAAACCAGAAGTCACTAAGACTCGAAATAAAACTTTCTACAAGAAAATTTAATACTAATGGAGGATAAATTTCTTACCATTAATATTTAAAGTGTAAAAATGTACGTAGGTACATGATATTTATCAAAATTGATAGAGTATCATTTTATTAGGCTTATAATATTTTATGGCGTCTAGATAATAAATATGTTGATGTAGGAGTAATATATTTTGCAATTGATCCCATCAGGCCCATTAGATCAGTTGGTTAGAGCGTCGTGCTAATAACGCGAAGGTCGCGGGTTCGATCCCCTCATGGGCCATTATTATTTTTATAGTTAGTACAAGAATTGCAATCCAAAAATCACATCGAGCTGTTTCTGTTGTAAGCAGGTACAATAACCACACTTTTGCACTTATTGTATTAGTAAGGCTAGGGATGTCTGTAGGAGACATAAATAGTACTTGGCAGATGCATCTCGGCCATGGTTTCCACCAACTAAAAAGTATTTATAGCCTCTGGTCCAGAAATATTGTTATAATAAATAAAAAAAATCCATACAACATGAATGGGAAAAAAATAATTTCACAGTTTTCTGACTAAAATAAATCTAAAGTAGATAGCAAAAGGTAGTACTGTAAAAATCAGTAACTCAGCTCTGACATCGAAATCTCACGCAACACTGATTTCCATATACTTCTAGCTACTTTTTTAGACACTTTTATCTAAAACAGAACACTAGGATAACATAAAATATATGATGAAAACTGGTTCAAAATCGGCATAACGTACTGTAACACACGTACGAATAAACAATTTTTTAAATAACACTTCGTTTAAAAGTCGGTCAAAAATATCTTTTCGACGAAGTATAGTACTTACTTATATCTATAATATAAAAATGAATCGCTGAATGTGTTGGTAAGCGCAAATCTCGAGAGCAGCTGAACCGATTTCGCTAATTCTTTTTTTAGAATATACCTTGAAGTACGAGGATGGTTCTTACGGAGAGAAAAATTTAAAAAATTGTCTGGAAAAGTCTAAAAACAACACTTTTCTATACTCCCATACAAAAGATTCGTAATAATACTTAAAAGTCAATTTGAACTTTAATACTATACCATAAAGTTTAAGTGTTAGTGGAGAGGTTCCGGGAAGGCAAAACAATTGAGTGACCTTAGTATCGTATAAATATTAATGTCAATATTATTAACAAAAAAAATATATATGGCTAACGCGGGCTAATAACTATTTATATCTATTTAAAACGTACCTCAGAACGAGCGAACGTAACGTAAAAAACGTACCTCGTACGAAGCGAGGGCTTGTCGCTAGTAAACAATAAATAAATAAGAGCCGCATATGCATTATTGCGAACAAATTGCTCCTTTAACTTCCATGCAAGCACAAAATAAATAACAGAGTGTAAAACGCAATAATCAATGTACGTCATGCATAATAACAATACTGGGTATAAAAGAAAACGTTTGCTGGACAGTGCTTACATATTTTATTAGAAAATCGCTGTTTCAAGCCCTCTTGCTCATTATTATTGTATATGAAATTATAACTTCCATTTCAATGTCTACTGAACAAGTGTAAACTTGTTGTACATGTAAAATGCAGGCAATAATGCGGCATTATAGGTCACTGTTTTATTTAAACTACAATACTCGCGATTAACTCATAAAAAACTAGTATATGATATAGACTAGCATTGCCCGCGGCTCCGCCCGCGTTCAGTTGACCAAAAACCAAATTCTTAGGTTTTACATATTAGCATACTCTTAAAATGCAGTTT